TGGCTCTGATAGCCCGGTCGGCTCAGCGGTGGTTCAAGGGGTAGGGGGGGATAGAAATCGTCTCCTTGTGTTGATCCCTCGGGGGTATCGATTGCACCAGGCAATGGTCCCAAGCTTTGTCTTAACTCTTCCAACATCCTCCTCTCCGTCTCTTCTACTCACTCTCCTGGTCTACTCATACTTCTTGTAACTCTCCTCTCTGGCTGCATACAATTTTGAACTTCTCCGAGGTTTGTACGGGTCGTTGGTAAAAGCGATCCTTGATACTGTCACGGCCGTCGTTTCTTCTCTCCTTCTGACCGACGGTCGACAAACCTCGGCTGACTACGTCGTAGTGGGACGTCGATGTCTCACTAGGACAGGGTACTCGTGGGGGAACTACGGCTAACTTCGCCGTAGTAATACGTCGAGTGGTAAATGATAAGGTGATCGTCGATGAACTGCGGCTAACTTCGCCGTAGTGCGTCGAACTACTCAGTGGTAGCTCTCCTTAACTCGAAGGTTGTAGCTACTGAATATATCACTCACTACTGACAACAATCAAGGATCGCTGAAGAAGTTCAGCGATCTGTAAACTATCTATACTCCCCCTCTCTTCTCATAGAACGTCCCTCAACTCTTGTACAGCCTCGCGCTCAGTCCTCTTCGTTCAACTTCGTCGTACCTCGCCATATCCCCGATACCCTATTTCGCTCACCTCGACTAACTTCGCCTAACTTCCTCTGCTCTGCTCTCCCTCGATTCCCCTCCTCTAACTTCGCCGTAGTTCTCCGCTAGTCGGGGTTATCATGACAAATACCCTCTAGGATCTCGTATCTTTGCCGTAGTCGGTCTCAGTGGTTTCTTTGCCGTAGTCGGTCTCAGTGGTTCAGGTGGTGGTTGGTGATGGTGAAAGGAGGGTCGGTGCTGGTGGTTGTCAGGGATGTTACGACGTGGTTCGTGACAGACGGCCGGGACTCGGGGAAGTTGGACGAAGTGCGTTGAAGTACGTCTAAGCGCGAGAGGGTTGGGTGAAGATCTAGGAGGAGTAGATAATATTAGCTGAGAAAGATTGTTGTCAGTAGTGAAAGATTGATAGAGATAGCTACATACAAATTAAGATACATCGCCATCAGAGAAAAACCCCAGTTAGAGTAACTACGGCGTACTTCGGCGTAGTTACACTCCTTTCGATGTCTGCGCCCTCCTGGTTGGGTGAGACATCGACTTAGAAGCGTCAAGTTAGCCGAGGTTCGTCGACCGTCGGTTTGTTAGAGAGAAGTTGTTCGACGGCCGTGACAGTGTGATCCGGCAGTTATTCCTGTTCATCTCATGGACTCACCAGAGGTGATTTGATGTGTATTGACAGGTGGTCGGATATATGGATGAATGACCTTTGTGCTCGTTTGGATTCCTATGCACCGAAAATTGTGTTTGTTCTAGTAAACAAGTTGCTCGGAGAAATTACCGCTTCAGGACATGCATGCTGTAGCCGTACGTTCGCTTTCTATAATTGACACCCGCTAGTCGTGACAGTAGGGGTGCTCAGTTCTATAATGGCTAGTCGCGACATTATCACAGATAAGTGAACACCCGTGATAACGAGCCATTTTTATGTCATAAATGCCACGTGTGAGGTAGAAAATGCCACGTGTAACCCCTCCTTCGCGTCCTCCCCCATGTCATCTCATGCAGGTTTATGTATATGTATCTCGGCCATTGCATTTCTCAACTATCTACTAAGCAAAACCCCTCGGATTTCGTGTCATGCCTTCCAAAACCCCTCGAGCTCACCTCCTGCACGATTTAGAAGATGCCGCATTGCTTCTGTTTCCTCTGCTGGACGATCATACCTCAAGGGCCTGTTTGGAAGACATAATTCAAGCACATCAACAAATCTCAGCAAATCGTTACTTAGATCGATACCCGACTGTCTCTAACAATCTTCCCCGACCCTCTTTCTACCACAGTGACATTCTCCTCTTCGCAGAACGAGGCATTCGTCATAAACAAGCATTTCGCATGTCCCCTAGCCATCTTGATGACATCGTCGATTTTTTCAAGGATGATCCTGTCTTTTTTTCAAGCGGAAACAAGCCTCAGGCCCCACCAAAGTATCAGATAGGGTTACTGGTCTACCGAATGGCCCATGGACATGACTGCAGGACATTAGATCGCGAGTTCGGGGTCTCAAGCGAGTTTTCCTTCCAATTGCTCTGTCCATTTTGCTAATTAGTTAGCCGGCACTGTATTCAAGTGGTGTGACCGGGCCCTCATTGCTATACTGAAAAAACGATCTTACTTCATCTCCTGGCCGTCCCCCACCGAAAGAATTGAAATCAAAGCTCGATTTCTCTCTGAATACTCAATTCCTCACTGCGTAGGCCTCATCGACGGCTATCATGTGAACCTCTCAACTGCTCCTGCTAGAGATGATGCAGGGGCTTATCATAGCCGCAAGGAGAGGCATGGCTTCAATGTCATGGCTATCGTCGATCATACAAAGCGTTTTCGATATATTCATTACGGCTATCCCGCTTCCAGCAGCGATCAACGAGTTCAGCGAGCTATCGAACCCCTTAACACGCCCTCTCAGTATTTCAGCAACCAGGAGTACCTCCTGGCTGATTCTGGCTTTACAGCATCGTCTGTCGTCGTACCAATGTTTAAAAAGAGTGCTGGCCAAGCGGTTCTTCGAGGTAAAACCGCGTATTTCAACTCTCGAGCCTCTGTCATGAGGGTAGGGGTCGAACATTCAATAGGTGTGTTAAAGGCTCGATGGACGATACTTCGATCAATGTCTATGAGACTTCGAACTAAAAGAGACGAAGCTATGGCTCACGCAATCATTGTAGCCTGTACAATTCTCCACAACATCCTCATAAACACCGACGAATATTACACCGAAGAAAATACTGGAAATTTACCAATTGAACCACTTCGAGATGACCTGCCTGCAGAGGAGGTAGCAGAGGACAATTTCTTAGGTGCTGGTCGTCTCAGGCCACACATGAGAAGACGTCATGAGTTGGTGGAGCAAATGTTAGCATTGGAGACGGGGGAAATCGACATAGACAACTTCATTTTATCATGAAAAAAGGTGAGTGGTTTCAACTACCTATCACTCTCCGACCAATTGCTCCACTCATCATATTCGGTGTGAACGTCTCCTTCCCCTTCTTCTCTGTCCCTGTGAGCTCTATCATACCTCTCCTCTGCATCTGCGATAGCCTGAACCCAGGAAACACGAAGTTCTACCGGTAGTCCTTGCTCTGCAGTGAGACGAGCTTGAGCCTCCTTCGATGTTATGACCAACCTCTCATTTTTAGCCCTTTCCTTCCTCTGTCTCTTCGAATCTTCTCTTTCTTCCTCTTGGATAGCTAGCTTACGCTTCTCTAGGCCTATCTCCTCCCTTCTGCTCGCAGCAATCCCCTCAAACAACCCCGCAATACCTCCAGCATTGTTTTTTCCTTCCCCCCTCCTGGACGATGTGTAAAGGCCTGTAAATCAGCTATACCCTGACCTTAGTGGCTATGCAGTCCATGTCACCGTGCCTGACGTACCTGCAGCTCGCTTGGTCAGCCTATGATCACTAAAACTGCGTTCCCTAGTCGCAGGACGTGTATTTTCGCTTTGAGTCGATGTATCTTCAGTTTGAGACTCTTGCTGGCCTAGGAAGTCATTCAATGACATCTGAGATGGTGATGGAGGCCTAGGAGAGTGTGGAGATCTCTCAGGAGAAGGAGAGGGGTGGTGAGAACCCCTCATAATCGTCTCGAGTGTGACATTCGAATTTCCGGTGGTACCTGTGCGAAGGGATTCTGTCCCGCCGTCTCTTTCGGCAAATATGGGGTCCACAGAGTCATATTCAGGACACTTCTTCAGTACAGTGGCTGCAGATCAGCTAAGGAAGCATAGGAGTGATGAACAGCCAGGAGACAGATGATACACAGGTCACAGGAGGTATTCGGGGAGAAGGGGAGAAGGGAGAGACGGGGACTCACCTTTAACCGTCTGTTCAGCTTGATTTATCTTCTCTGGATCCTCACTACCATCCACCATACTCTCGAATAAACCCTTCCCTGTGTGATTTAGCCAGTCACGGGCCTCTCGCCACCTTCTTAAGAGTTCACGAATCTAGAAGACATCAGCAGAGTTTTAGGGGGGGAGAAAAGGAAGGAAATCACACTTACCTTGTTTTGTATCTGATCAGTCGATCTTGTAGTTGGACATCCTGACTTGGACATCCACTCAGAGCATTCCCTAGCCATCCCCAGCTTCTTCTTACCCCCTAGGCCATGTTGATACTTCTTGAAGTTATCTCCCATAGCTAACCACTCAATAAGGTAGTTGAGCGAGCAGTATTGGCCGGTACCTTGATCTTTTGTCCAGCCTAAAGTTGCTGGGGGGTTGTCCTGACTATCCTCTTTGTCCCTGTTCCTCCTTTGCTGAGTTCTAGTAGATGGTTGCCGAGCAGTGGAGGGGATATGCAGAACCTACTGAAGTTAGCAGGGGTATGCGAAGGGGGTTTAACGACATATTTACAGGTGGTGACGGTGACCTCAAATTACCACCCCCCGAGGTGTCCATAGTATCAGCTTGAAGCTACAGCTCTCCTCTTTCAGATTCTTGGCTTTTTATCGCTTTAAAGTGTCTCTGTAAGAAGATACAATAACTCTACGGTGATGATGAAAACTCAACGGTCACTTTTCACCTGTGGTGATGTCGCGTTTGTTTGTCATCAAAATTACCCGAAGAGGAAATTTTTACGTCATTTTAACACGTGTTATTTTGGCGTATCAGAAATGAGCACCCCTAGTGCTATTCTCATCCGGCATGTGTCTTACATCCACCCAAGCTGTTTCGGAAGTTAGGCATGTCAACTCCATGCAACTGGCCCATTAGGCGCCCAAAATGTGCACCTTACCTTGGCATATCTCCACGCAGCGCGCGCAGCGACGGGCCATCGATGAGTACGCCGATAGCCTCGTATACTTGAGCACCGCTGTTATCACACTTTTCAACAATCCCACGCGTTGTCTATCTTCATGGTAGGATAATGAACTTGTCATGGCCAAAATCGTCCCGCCGCTCAATTTTGGCCTCGTCGAAGATGGTGTGTTGGCTCTGTTCATGCAGTAAAACCACTCACCCTCAGGCTTCTATCGTTCAGCTCAACCCACCGAACTCAACTTCTCCTTTCTTGAGAAACTCAACTTGAAGACCGTCATCTGGGTCGGGTCCGAGGAACCAACTGAGATCTTGTAAGTTTCGTTGTTCCTTGATAAGTCCATAGGACGTGATCTACACGCAATATGGTTCATTAGAAGATGAAACGCAAGGTGATGAGCTAATATCAAGGAGATCTTTTCTCGATGCGGGAGATGTGGAGCTACACGATCTCAGTCCTCAGATATCTTTGAATCCTCATTTCCCACCTGCGGCTACGGATGGAGGCGTTGTGCCCGTTCCTGGACATTGTGGGTCTTCCAGGCTGCTTAATCCTTCCCTCCGCTGTCGCCGCCTCTGTGGATCATCCCCATAGCCGAATCCTCAGGGAAATGGATGCGTGTATGAGGTTCTCTGAAGGCGCTTTTGGTGTGAGCTGATAGCAAAGATCTACAACCTCCTCTCCCTCCCCCGGCCGAACCTCTCATAATCCGTGCTCTCACCCTCTTGCTCGACCCCAAAACCTTTCCTGTACTCGTATGCTGCAACATGGGGAGACATCGGACTGGTACGGTGGTGGGATGTTACCGCAAGCTACAACGGTGGGCCTTGAGCAGTATTCTAGAGGAATATCGGCGGTATGCGGGAGCGAAGGTCAGGGTGTTGAACGAGCAGGTGAGTTTGATCAGACCACCAATCTTTTGCTATCAGGTTATCCCGTACACGATAAGTGGGAAGAACACTACTCGCTTCAAAGCAATCATGACTCAATCCAGTTCTCGCTGCGATATAAAATGCTGACCTGCAGTTTATAGAGCTCTTTGACACAGATTTGGTGTCCATCACTTCCCCAGCCTTGTGACCTTTCTGTTGAGTTAGCCTGTCGAAGGAGAGTCCGTCACTCAAGTCCACTCTGCGTCAATCATGCACCACCATCTACCCTATTTTACTGAGAAGGACACGGTTATCCGCGCCCTACAACACCTCTGACGAAAAAGACAATGTTGTACATCATGCCATGCATTATACTCAGAACGACACCACCTTCGGCTTCTTCCTCATTGTCTCCTGTCTTGCTCCCATTACTTCTGTCTGTACCATCTCGACAGGCACCGTTCTACTGTCACTCTCTTCACTGATTCCAGGAGGCTTCGGTATCCTCTCCCCATTCTTCGCCGGCAGTTTCTTCTCCATCTTCCTCCTCTTCGCCTTCTCTCCCAGCCGAGACATGACACTGGCTTCGACAATGAAGTCGTCCTCGTCCGCTCCGACTTCTCTCTTCCCCTTGACCTCGACAACAGATGTGATATTCTCGCTCTGAGCCTCCCGCCTAGCCTTTTCCTCTGGACAATCCTTAGCACGATGCTTGACGCTCTTGCATACCTTGCAAGCTCCGCCCTTGATATATACACCCTTGGGATTGTCGGGGCATTGTGAGGAGAGATGTCCTTGTTGCAGACAGACATAACATGTGGCATAAGGAGTGGGATTGTCGGGGTCTGCTTCTTCTCTGCACGCAGAGAGAGAATGTTTGGTCGAGTTGCAGCTTCCAGTCAGCTTTGAGTCATGCGTCCGGTTCTTATAGCAGGCTTGTCCCGGAAGGGATGTCAAAGCATGGAAGAAATCGAGCTTACCGATAACATCTTCCCGAAGTAATTTCGCCCCCCTTCTTGCCTTTCTTCCCCTGTGCTTCTTTTCCGGTCTTTCTCCCTTTAGTAAAGTCATTTGAGTCGTCCACCTTATCGAGGCTGGACGTCGACGACAATGGAATGCCCTCCAGCATGGCGGCTGTACCCTGAAGTATCACGGGACATTCCCGAGCTGTATGTCCGTTACCTCTGCAGGCAAAACATGTCGTTTGAGCCAGTCTATCGGTGGTTCGTTGTTCTCGGCGAGCTACGTTCCTCTCTTGAGCGAACTTTGCTTTTCCTACATATCAGCGGAGTGTCCGCTCCCAGGTGTGCCTGTGCAAGATCGAAAAGACGAGCCAGCAAGAGTACAACCTCTGGTGACCAAACTCGAGTAAAGTATGCACAAGTTGGGGAATGATCTCACTAGCTATCTCTGGATCTCGACCCCATCCTCCAGCCTTTGGAGCTAACTCCGAAGTTGTCTGGGCCACTTCATTCCCATCATCCACTCTTGACTTGCGTTTTCGTCCCGTCGATGTGTCATGATCACTGGCAGACTGCTGGGGGCGAGTTGACAAGGGTGGCAGACTCGTCTCCTCCGCCGTAGAGGGTACGAAGGTCTTTCGAGCCAATCCTATAGAGGTATATCTAGTCATTACGTTCAGCTGTTCTGTGCGCTATCGTAGTCGATGTGATAGTGATGTTGGTATGTAGAGTGAAAATGGTGAAGAGGACAAGGTGAAGAAATCTGCCCGAAAATTTCAATCATATTTCTTGCAACTCTTCTCTCACATCGAACCATATATCTATATTCATATGCGACCCTTACACCTCCTCACTGTGTCCCCTAGGCTCCTAATTAGGTATACTGGTACAGCGGACCTACCCCAAGCTTCAACAACTCGTTTTGCGCGTCATGCAGGACCGTCCACCAGAATCGCAGCTTATTCCTTCCACTCCTCCGCCATCTCATCCAAGAAAGCATCTAAAACTAAGGGTAAGACTGTGAACAGGGAAGAAGTAGAAGAGGCCGATGATATCAATGAGGAGATGGAGACCCAGCTAGAGAAAGTCAGAGACAAAATGAACAAAGCTGCCGAATGGGCTAGGGGACAAGTATGGGAAAGTGTCGAGAGAGGTAAGGGGAGAGTGACACCTGGTGAGTCCCGCAATGTTTATCTCATGCCCCTTACTCTCGCAAATTTCTCACAATACTTCAGTGACCTCATGTACTGGCAAGATATACCGAGGAAAGCGGATATCACACAGGACATACATCGGCATAGCCTATCTATCATAAGGGAAATTGCGGTTTACGAAGGGATATCTCAGAGGAAATGAGACCACTTGACGGACAAGTCGGCATCGCTGACGAATAGCTCTATTAGACTCTGTCAAGGTCACATTGGAAGACGGTGCCCATCCATTACAAGAGATTGCAAGTATCACGGTCCGCGGACAGGCTCTGCAGCTCGAAGTGTGGGATCCGGATGTGAGTTTTCTATCCTACCGATTCAACTTGTCGTTCTCGGTTCTTTTCCCTTGAAGAACGTGTCACATTCACTCAAAATGACTACACTCCACTTCGAATGACCTATGGAGTTCTCGCGCTGACTGTTAGCTGACAAAATCCGTCGAAGCAGCTTTGCACAAAGCAAATTTGCCTGGTCTGCACCCGCAGAAGATATCCCCTGGAGTATTGAAGATTCCCGTTTCCAGGTGAGTCTTCGACTTCCTTTCGTTGTTATGGCCTGACAACTCCCTCCCGGTTTCAGTTCCCCCATTAGGCTCAAGATTTGGTCGTTACGTCGAATTAGTCGCTTCTACAGCGTAAGAGAAAACGTCGACCGAGAAGACTTTGTGTAGCTAACGCATAGACCAACGGCAGAACAACGCACAGAAATTTTACGGGCTTTAGGTACATCCATCGAGACGGCCAAACAACAAGTTCGTCAAGCCCGACAAGCTGGTCTGAAATCATTGGGCAAGGGAACAGAAGGAGGAAATGCGGTTCAGAAGATTTCTGAAGACGTCGGAGGGGAATTGGATGGCTTATTAGCGAAAGCAAAGAAGGAATTCGAAAAGGTATGAAACCGATTGATCCGGTCATTTCCACCATTGCCCAATACCCATTGTTATTCAAGAGGTACCATTTGCTACCGGACGACTGATGGTTGATGATCAAATGACGTTTGGTGGGGCGTCCTTTGACCTGACAAGATGTCACTTGCCCGTTACGTATCGCGTTCTGCTCCACTACAGTACTGTACTCACTCAAGATACTACTCTGACGTCACTGAAACCTCGCCCCCCATGTGGGAGAGATATAAGAGAAGGAGATGTCGATGAAGCTACAATAATAGTCCACAAGCACTTGCCACTAAAACAATGTTCGAACGTACCAGCCGACACACCACCCATGGCACGTATCGTCAGAACCGTGAACGGGGACTACGATCAGTACGTTCTTCTCCCACTCAGTTTTTATTTCCTCATTCCACACTGTCCTCCTCACGTCCACTCTTCCATTCTGCCAGGACTTGCCGATCAGACATTAGGCATGAGACATGCCAGTTAAAAGATACCCTTGACCCCTCCGTCGCCCGCAGGGCCACTGTGCATATGCACCCAAAGCGAAGGACGATACTGAGCGGGGTCGTACATCGAAACAGTGCTGATCTACAGGCAATTAATAACCCCCGTACGACCCATGCTGGACGTTCAGATGCCAGACACGAACTACACGCCATGGGCGTTAGTGCTAATCGGTTGGTCCTCTTTCCACTCTTTCTCTGCTCTTCCAACCCCACTCTCCATCTGCTGCACAGATTGTGTGACTGCTTGTGAAGGGCTTCAGTAGACGATCTATGAGGACTTGAGGTGGGGGGTTTGAGTCAGAACTCATCGCTGACTCCACTACAGACCCTCACTTGGAACTCGCCTGAGACATTTCTTCCATCTACCGGCGAAAAGTCATGGTCAGAGACGCAGTCACCGTGCCGCCCACACCAGGATCTACTGAACCCCTCACTTCATCTGCTCTAGTAACTAAAGTCGCTGCCTTGATTCCTTGTACAAATCCTGATGATCTGATACGCCATGTCGAATCTTGTATGATATCATTCCCACCACCCTCCGATCCAGCTACTCATCATGTGTAAGTTGTAGTCATAAGAATTATGCATGCAATAATGTTCACAAAATACACACCTTGTTCAAAAGTCTATACACAATCAATGCTATCTAGATGGATGTCTCGGATACTTCACATAGGTCTATCCCACCAACTTACTCTACGTACTTCTTCTACCTCAACACCATCATCCTCACCTTCCTCCTCTTCATATAAATGATCGTTATACCCTTCGAAGTCGTCTCGCAATCTTTGTGTTCTTTCTCCCTCTTCTTCGCTTTGTCGAGATCGATCAATGGATACAGGAGGATAAGGATGACCATCTTCGTTTGTCTCTCCCGTCTCAAATTTGGAATTGTCCAGACTATATTCCCCTTCCAATGCACCGAGGGCGATAGACCGACGCAAAGGGGCTGTTTCGGTACTCAAAGAGGAGTAATTATGTGAATGGGAAGATGGATCGAGTGGGATGGCATGACCGTGTAAGTCGACTGCTAGTGGTGCTGAAATGGATTTTTGGTATTTGTGATAAGAGTAGAGTGCGATACCTGGGGTCAGTAATCCAGTTTTCCAGTACGTGACTGATCAGATTTGGGTGATTGCGAGCTCCTTGGGATGCAAGAACATAGGGGTGAAATGAAGGAGCAAGAGTGTGACCGACGTAACGAGAGTTATAGTAGGAAGGCAATTGCAAGGCGGAGAGAGGAAGAAAGAACACATCACACACCACAAACAGTCACGACTACTCCGATAATGTTTAATTCAGTAAGTTGATCACCGAACACCCATGCGGAGATGGAGATAGTAGTGACTTCTTTTACGATTCCAGCTACGCTCATCGGTACGATACCTGCTCTTTGTATTATACTGTTGATCAGCCTTCCTCCTTGACGATTTGAATCATTTCTTTTGTTTCACACCTCCCTGATTATTCCTACATGAGGAAGGAAAACGAAGCGAAGATAAGTACAACTAAACGGTTCTATGCGATACAAAGTCTTGACTAGGCAGGAAAGGTGGAGATAAACTCACAAATATTCGCTTGCTACCATAGCAAAAGCGATACACCCTGGTAACAAGATAACTCCCATAGTACCCACTGAACTCCATCCATCGAAGGCACCACTATACCAAATGGTCGCCCAACCCTCGACGATCATACTGACCAAAGCCAACGTGATTGCCATGAGAGGAGCCAACCAGAAGATAGTAGCGAAAGGATTACTTAATCCCATACTTTTCTTATGCATTAACGTCTCTGTTAAAGCCCAGCGAAGACCGGCCAGAGCAGAGGCGGAAAAAGTCATGATTATTCCGGGGATGGAAACGGAGGTGGTATTGAAGACCATCAAGAAGACACCGAATGAGATTAAGGAGATGACGGCTATGAGTCGTAGGGAGTAAGATTCTAATCGGAACAGAAAAGCGAATCCTAGAACGAAAATGAGGGTAGAGGATTTACACATGGCTAATGGTCAGTCATCATCTCATTATCCTCCATCTTCCATTTACAAGAAGATATTAAGTGAGAATGAAGGGCATCGGGAAATAACAGAGGATGAGGAATGAACAGGACTCGCTGTAAAGACTCAAGGTTATGAATTTCAAAGCGAGGTTAGAGAGACCGATATCAGCTCCTGTGGATGCAGCGGTAGGTACGATTTTCATTCTGTCTCATCAGCTCTTATCCATGATCCTCGGTCAGAATGAAGTTGAGAGAAGATATTCAAGATACGGAGTGACTGTGTTATTACAATGTGGGGACAATTAGGAATGAACACTCACACGTATTGTCTCCTCGTTGGTCTTTCAATAGGTCGGTATCTAGGTATAGTCCAACGAATCGTAGCTGCCAATATGAACTGTACTACCATATGCCAACCAGTGACGAATAAGGGAAATCCGAAACCATAGTATTGAGGAGAGAACATCCATTTGTTATATAGTGAGAGTAAAGTAGCGAAAATGTACCTTATCATGTCAGTCATTCTTTCCACCAAACTGTCTCCCTCTTTGAGTCGAGACCGTACTGCGTCCATATATTGTCCATAGTGATGTACCAGCAAAATGATAAGATTCTTAGGAGATATCATTGGATTGGAGCTTGAGAAGAGGTCATCTCAAAACAGAGCAGACGTACCAAGACAAGATACACATTCCCGTTATAGCCGTCTCTCTCCACCAAATAGCTTTCTTCTCTTGCATACTAGCCATATGAACTTTGCTCTCTTCCCCTGTCCCGCCAGCTGATCCCAGAACCCCACGAATATCTCGACCGTCCATATCGTCTCCCAACTCCGAAGTCGGATATCGCCCATTCATCAACCTATCGGAAGTTTGCATTTCTTCTCTGAGATCCAAATCAGAAGCCGAGTCGTCGCTGCGTCTCTTGTCGCCCATGTCTTTCCCAAAACGGTTGGGTTCATCCGCCAAGTTTGTGTGGCCGAGTATAGGGCTCGGATCCGGATTCAAATCCAAAGAATGCCGAGATCGTTTCACGGGTGAGTGGTGATCTTGGTCAATTATTGAGCGTTGTGAGGCATGACGGATGGAAGGCGTGGACGGGGCGGAGGATGAACTTGACGCCCTGTTGAGGCTGGGGAGAGTGCTCCATTCGGCGATCGGCGGTGGCTATAGGTGACTTATGACAGCCGTGCAACAATTGCCGGGAAGTGGTTGAGTTCTACCAGCTAGCCTGGGATGAAGCGCTCAAAAACAATGCCTCCACCCTGAATCGAACAGGGAACCCAGTCATTACTAGTGACTTATCATAACCATTAGACCATGAAGGCACCGTAAAATCTTGCAAGTCTCAAAGTTTATAATTCGTTAGTGAGAATTGGCGGAATGTCTATGACCGTTGCTGTGCCAGTTATGTGTTGAGCGTCTGTCGACGGTGTGACAAATGGCGATTCCACCACAGATTAACATGTCAGTAAGACAGGTGCCCTTCGTATGAGGTCAGAATGTCGTCGTACAGTCAGCTTGAAGAAGATACATCGCGGTCATGACTAAAATAACAAATCCTCTTCCGCTCCTCTTGGCTTCGGAGCATCCGTCGTATAACCACCCGAAGAATCCATAAACTCCAAATCCCCTAATTGACCATATGGATCCTCACCAAACAACCCTCCATCCACCGTGGGAGTGACAGGTGATCCATTGTTACCATCGCCAGCGACGGCCGCCAATCCATGATTTGACGTAGGGGCAAGAGCTGTGGTGGATGCTGCGGAAGGACGAGTCGGGATGGTTGGTGCGTTGGATGATGTCACTATGCGGGGTACGGTGGAAGGTCCTCCTTGAGGAGTAATGAGGTGTCGTCTGGAAGAAGAGTTTAAGGCGGGGGAGTCGGGTAGGTATTTGGGTCGTGCGGTACGGATGAATTCCTACATGTTAGTACTCAGATTTAGACTGCCAGGAACTCTTCCTCCCATTCAAATGGATACAATGGACAACGAAGAGGTTGAGATGGCTTGATGCGATATATTACTCACATGAGGTCGTTTGTGATATATACTCCCAAGTGTGCCAGTAAACAATAGCAATTGGTCTAAATTGCCTTTATCCATCCGGTCCGTCTCGGTGGAAATTATTGGCTTCTCCGATAGGACGATCTCCCTGGCAGCTGTTGGATTGGTGGTCAATAATCGCCAATACATAAATCCCTATCTCTCAGTATTTTATCAAGACAGATACAACAAAACACTCACTCGATCCCGCAGGTCGGGATTCTCCGCTTCTTCCGTGGCGAGCTTCAACACTTTCGGCAACAGTTCAGATGCTGCAGATGGCCGCCGGATGAATAATTTGACAACAGCAGTCAAGATGGCCAGTTGAACCTGGTGAAGAGTAAGCTCTTCCCTGACGAAGTCACATTACTGCAAAGCTGACACCTTGCAGGGAAATGAGGAAACTCACCTCCGCAGGCTCCTCCTTGAATGTGAAACTGAAATCATCCAGCAACTCATCCGAGTTCTCTATTCTATCCGAGTACTGTCCCACAATCCAGATCATCGCCGCCTTCGCCTCTGGTTCATCCAACACGTCCAAGTTCTCACACAAGGTCCCTATCACGCTCTCATATTGATTCGGATACCGACGGAAGATATCTTTTATCACCACTATTGCTTCTTGTACGACATACCCTATCCGGGTGCCCATAAGTCCAAGAAGGGTTGAAATGCACTGATCGCTTGACGACGCTATTTTGATGGCTAACCTTCCTATCGACCGAACAGCTTTCCTGACGAAATCAACGTCAACCTCTGAAGCATACTCCTTGAGCTCGGCGAGGACCTCTGTGACGTTCTCGTCCCCTGTCAGACGGTACATGATTTCTAGCTTGGCGAGCTTGACGTATATCGGATCGTTGTACTTGCAGAAAAAGACTTTCACTTCGTTTTGCAAAACTGCGGGACGACGTTGTATGATAAGGAGGATATTCCGAAGTGCTACATATTGCACTTCCGGTCCTGAGGACAGGAGAGTGACTAGACGTTAGCGAAGAAGATCACATGACAAGCGACGACACCAGTAACATACCTAAAGGAGGGCCCATTTTGCGTTCCAGCATACGTATAAGACTTTCATCCTCCATATAGTTCATCAAGTATAACACCACTTTGATGGTTGTCAAGACCACGGCGGAGTTGGCATGTTGTAAACGGACTGAGATTCGTTCTGCAAGTTGCTCTGCGTCCATGTGTGATTGTGGGACAAACGACAGGAGGGAATCGAGAATGTAGATCTGGCCCCATCTGATCTGTCAGCTTTATCATCCCGTATATGATCTCAAGCGCGCTTCGCACGAATTCTCTGAAATGAAATCCGAGTGTTGCAAGGGAAACGTAGGGACATACTCTGAGCATTCGCCGAGAGCGGCAACCAGTTTGCCAGCTACGGTGGCATTCAATCGAAGTGATATATCATCGGACCGGTCGGATATCTCCACCAGAGCAGCGACAGCATTAGCGACAACCGTAGGGTTGGCATCTGCCAGCAGATCTCTTGAATGTCAGCTCGGTAACCTGGTGGTTTCACAGCTTACCTGAGCATGGCTACGAACCCTTCCTTCTCCACAACTTTACGACCGTAATCTGAAGCATATATCTTGGCGACTCTGTTCGGTAAGCACAGCCGGATGTTGAGCAGATAGAACTTTGCTATGCTCCGCGCAGTGAAAATGGGGGGTTTGATCAGGGAGGGTGATTCGACCTACGCTATCGCCCCGGTCTTTCGAACGTAAGGATCCTGGTCCTGCAAAGCATGACTCAGCGGATCGATCATGGCGTGTATTATAGGTGGTAAAGGTATGGACGACATGGTTCGTATTGCCAGTCCACGTATGAGTGGATTTCTATCTTCAGCATCCTACGTCTCAGCTTGGAGTCTCTTTCGCCTCTATCCAGATGAGAAGTATATACGTACTGATAGAAAACCAGATATGGCAGTAGTGATTTCTTCTGGTCTTGTTCTTCCATAATTCACCATGAACAAGTATACCACTGACTGTTAGCGATTGATAGTAATGATCATGAATGAGGCAGCATGACTAAGGGGCGTAAAGGCGTTGGAGATTTACTTACTTTTCTTGATGTCGAGTACTTGGACAGACATGCATTGTACAATGTCGGGAAAAAGAGATGACACTGCGATCAACTTAAGTTTTCCGAGCCACCCCTTCATTCCTTGAGCTGAATATCCCTTCACACCTTATCCTATATCAACGATCAAGAGTATGATATATGTCTAGATGTAAGGGTTGAAATGAGCGGTGGCGTGAAGGAGTAGTACATAGCGGAGACGAATGAGGACTACAGCTCACCATCATTACCCATAGTCATATTCGCTACCACTTTCTTCAACACCACCTTTTTCTTCACATACCCCTTGTCACGTTTATCGTTGGCCTGACGTAGTTCATCCCTCAATTCTTGGGTTTTACCCCTTGCTGATGGTCAGCTACGTAGGCGACTGATCAATCTCCCTCACATCTATCCTCTCATTCACTCCAGTACCTCAACTCCTCACAAACAGCTTTATAGACTTCTTACCTACAACGACATGCATCTTGAAGGACTGAGTGGGAGGTGATGTGCTGAGAAGGTAGGGAGCAGGACGTACTGAAGAACTTTGCGTCTGCCATTTCCGTTCTGTGTAATCTCTCGACTATCTATTGTACTTTAATCTCAAACAGGAGAGTCTTGATGCCGATAACAGGGAAAGCTGAGGAATGTCATGAGATCTCCAAACGGAACGGATGTAGAGGTTAGGTGTATGAGACGGTTTACAATAGACCTCGACGTCCACTTAGGGCACCCCCCTAGTCTCCTCGGGGCACGACCTGCCACAAACCCTGAGCTCAAGTTCATAGGCCCGGCGTTACTGAAACGCCGACCACGCGACGGACATGAACTCGCCACTGATCGGGGTTTCAGTAACGCCGAACTCCACCACAACGACGCGACATGTCTGCTCGCTACCTACCAACCTGTCCTCACCACCACTAATCTCTTTATCGTCATTATACTAGTAAACTTACGCTCTTTTTCACACACACTGTCTCTACTCGTCTCAAGGATCATTTTGATACTCTTCTCACTCTTTTACGACTACTTTTCACCCACTTCTGGCCCTTCGCTTCTTCAACTGCGCCCTTCCTGACTACCACCCATCAAATCGCTATATCTCTTTTAATATCAATTGTGGTATTCTCTCATCTTCTCGACGCTATTCTCCTCGTCTCTGCGAGTCTGTGAGTACTTGTTTTATCATCAGAAGTGAAAATCTGACTTCAATAGGTCCTCTCGCCATCATCACCCTCGCCACTGAACACCTCTGGAAGAAAAACTTTTTTTACTCTTCAACAACACATCTTCAGCCTTTCTCAACAACTCGACACTGTTCTCCTGACCTCTGCGAGTCTGTGAGTACTCTTCTCATCGAAAAATGTAAAAATCTGATTGTCATAGGTTCTCGTCATCATCATCATTTTCGCCACCGACATCCCGGCCAAAAAATTTTTTTACTCTTCAACAACACCACCCCCGGGGTTCTAACTTGTCGACATGTATTCTGCTGGTCTTGGGCTACGAGTGAGTACCATTTTTACTGCATGAAGTAGTCAATCTGATGAGTTAGATGTCATCACCGATTCTTATCCAATCATCACCACCCTCATCACCAATTCTGGATCGTTTTTCAAGGTCCCCTTCTATAAAATTCAGTCCTCATCACTCTCGATCTCCTTCTATCGTACCAGAGACTCAGCCACATCGTCCTGGAGACTTTGACGATGACAATCTCGAAGAATTGCTCGACAATCTTGGTCTCGATGTTTACGATGAACCTGGGTTCGATCGTGTGGCTCACCACATCCACCCTCCCCTCGATCTCGAACCTCAACCAACCATGGAAGCAGCTCGACTTCATACCCAACAGGTAGCAATGGATCACCTTGTTGTTATCGTCACCCTACGCAGTAAAGAAAGCAAAGGAAAACTCGAGCTCCACTGTGTTCATGGTGGTGATGGTCGGTCACATCGTTCTCATGATTTCGAACATGTTAGAAAGCGACCTAGAACTACCAAACAAGACAACTGTCCCTTTTCGATCATATGGCGAAGAGAGACCAAGAAGATTGCTCAAGAGGCGAACCGCGAACCCCTTTGGATCCCCTACACCATCGAAAATTCTCATAATCATGAGCCTGTCCCTCTTCTTCATTACTCTTTTATTCGTCAGGCTAGTCGGTCTCCTCAGGTTCTTCAGTTCATTCAACACCTTCTCGAGAGTGAACACACCCTTCGTGGGGTTGTCTCGGCCGTCCAGCATCATTTTGGTGATAAAGTCTCCCTCACCGCGAAAGATGTTCAAAATATTCGATTTCGTCATGAGAAACTTCTTCGTCAAGGCCTCTCAGCAACTGAGGCTGCTATTACACGTCTCACCGACAACAACGATCTCTTTAAAGCGTTCAGCAACAGTAAAAAAGAACTTTGTGGACTCGTCTTTACCACTCCGTCAGCCAGAGCTATGACACATTCGTATCCTACAGTCCTTTTCATGGATTGTACCTACAGAACCAATCGATATCGTCTTCCAATGCTTCATATTGCTGGATTTACTGCTACAAATCAAACCTACACCTCTGCAATTGCGTTCTTAAGTCGAGAAGTGACTGAATGGTACTCCCTCGCGATCAAAACCTACCTCGAACTCATGGGTCCTATCAACAATGACATCAAAGTCATCGTATGTGATCGTGAGATCGCTTTACATAATGCTCTGTCTCTCCACCTCCCTCATGTTCATCTAAATTACTGTCGATGGCACATTCGCGAAAACATCAAGGTGAACTGTCGTAAAAATTTTCAGTCCCTTTATTCAGCACAGCAGTGGGTCAAGAAGTTATCTGAGTTTGGTGATTACTTCATGGTGGCTATCTGTAAAGCAAAGTCTGAAGAGTCATTAGAGAAGGCTCTGTCATCAATGCAGAACCGGTGGGGACATGAGAAGTTGGATGGTGCGAGGGCTTATGTGAGACAATTGGTGGATGAACACAAGACACACTTTGTCTCTGCTTTTATCGACAAATACCCTCATCTTGGACAGACAGCAAATTCTCGACTCGAAGGAAACCACCGAGCATTCAAGAGTCGTCTCAAAAATGCATATAGCGATCTATACGGGTTACTGCGAATTGCTCGTCTCTTCTTCGATGATCAATGTACCACCATATTAGACAAAATGGCTCAGAACCGAATGGTACAGGACACCAGTGTCAACGCTATCTTTATAGATGTCAAGAATCGAGTCTCTAACCAGTCAATTGGCCTCATGACCAAGCAGTACAAGATCGCCACTGCTGGGAATGTCAATGATGATGAGAGCAACCTGTATTCGACATCAATGGGCCTCCCTTCTGCTCGGCAGATAAAAGAAGTACTTGAAAGGGATGGTACCATTGCTCTTGCTCCTCTCCATCGTCATTGGCGTCTTCTCAACCCCATGTCCTGGCCCACCACCATTGAACAGGCCACTGCGAAAGTTAGTGGAGATATTACTGGGGTTCATCAACTCTTAGGGCCAGAGTGGGACATCGATAATGATACCAACCGAATTCGTGACCCCCACCTTCGAAGAAACCGGTTGGTGTTAGCCAAGAAGAACCTCAAGAACCTCACCACCACTCAGATCGACCTGACCACCATCGAAGACGACGATCTACCTGCTGATAATCCCTACTTTTTACCTCCTTCTCCTACTCTTCCTCCTTCTCCTAAAAGAGGAGTAAAATCGAATTCTACACAGCTCGCTGATGATGTCTCTCATACCGGTCGATTACACACTCAGTCTGAGAAATTCCTAGGTACCAAGAAGAAGGCAAATCGTCCCTGTCCCCTGTGTGGTTCAAGAAGTCATGGTCCTAAGAAGTGTAAAAGGGCTAATGAACATCGAGAGAGGGATCCTGAGGCCTATGATCGCGAGGTAAAGGCGTATGATGCTGGAGAAACGACCTGGACAGAGGGATCAGTAATGGGAACTAATTCTGCTCTTGAGAAGAAGATCGCGAGTCTTCAGGAGACGGTTCTGGGCCTGGCTAAGAGTATTGAGGACAGAGATAAAAGGGAGAAGGAAAATCAGCCTGTAGTAGTGAGGACAGAGGACAGGATGGTGAGGACAGGAGAAATGATCACTAGGACAGGTTATTCGGTGGGTTTCTCATATGATAATCACATTTCTCCTTCCCTCCTTCTCCCCCTCTCTGTCCTGCAGTCATTCCTGGCTATATTGCTCTGTCTCTGACTATATTGCTCTGTCTCTCTCTATAATGGCCTCACGATCTCGAAAATTTTCACTCTTCTCTTAGTCTCTTACTTCTAAAAGTTTCCTGCAAGCTGATTGGTCCAGGAGACACCAGGAAACGGCCAATATCAACCGAATGTGAGTCTCTCATACTGCATTTTCGGCTGTATCCGACAGGGGGTCACTAATGAGCAGGTACCCCCCATTTTCGACTTTTATCCTCCTGAGGAGAGGTACCTACCACCCCCCCCTCTTCCACCTACTCTCCCTCCTCTATCCTCTCAATATTGGCCTCCCTATCCCTCCCAGGGCTCTTCTAGACATCCCTATGGCTCATATTATCCTCCTGGACATTGATAGATATGGAAAATGCATGGACAATGGCCGGAAATGACATGGTATAGCTAATACTGACATTGGCGATGAAAGAGAAGAGTGAGCAACCAGAGCTCGCGGGATTTCAGTAACGCCGGGCCTATGAACTTGAGCTCAGGGTTTGTGGCAGGTCGTGCCCCGAGGAGACTAGGGGGGTGCCCTAAGTGGACGTCTAGACCTCACTGATCACTGATCACTGACCTCACATGGTCGCTCGGTCCTCGGTCAGAAATTGATCCCGCCCCGATCGACCAAAGTAAGTCAGCTGACTGACATCTAGCACCCATACTTATCTGTATCTCTATATACTCCCACAGTCATTCGCAGAACCAGAAGCCCACTTTGCTTCTCAGAGTAGCTCTCAGTTCTGTTGTTAAAAGCTCTGACCTTTCTGCCAGACCTTGACTTTTGTCCGTGGCGGCTCCCGAATAGGTTAACAGCCCATCATGACATTCCCTCTCCGCTTCCCTTCTCTCCATTTACGACCCGCACGATTAACCTCATCAGTCGGCACCTCCTCTAGACGGCTCTTGATACATAGAAGAAACTTCGCTCAGTCCTCTATCGAAGAGACTGAGGATGTGAAAAATGTAGGGATGGACTCGGGAGAGAAAGGAATATACGATAAATTACGTTCTGCCTTTCCAGGAGGTAGGTTGGAAGTTCAGGATGTATCTGGTAAGTAACACTTTTTTTTATCTCTATCTATCTCTCCCTCTTCTTCTTCTTTTCTCCATTAGTGCTGCAGTTTTCTTCTGTTTCTATCCATTGCCTTTGCTGTTCTTTCCCTTCTTAAACACACTGATCGATCCCTTGCGAAGTTCTTTGCCGTTACTTGTCTCGTGGAAATAAAGGCTGATAATCAGGCGGTTGTGGTTCTTTCTATGCCATCTTAGTTTCTTCACCAAAGTTCAAAGGTCTCTCTACTGTCAATCAACACAAATTGGTGAATGAATGTCTAAAAGAGGATATACAGAGTATCCATGGTCTACAAGTGAGTCATTTAGTCAATTACTACTTATCAACGCCCGGAGTCACTTCCTATTTCTCGCCCAATCACATCTCCGTCATTTGCGGACATCCAAATCTCTGCACTCGACTGCACTTCTTATTCAACAGATGTGTCATTGATCCCGACTCTGGTAAAACACGAGGTAGCGCTGACAAGTAGTTAAAGACGATACCCGAAGAATGACATGCATATGCTAGGTACAGAAACAAAACTGATTGAACTCCAGATTTTGCTAAAATTGGTAAGATAGGAAAGCATGATGGACACTGGACTCGATGTGACCTTGGGAATGATGCGACTTGCCGAACTGAGGAGAAGATACACAAGAGACTTGCGCGGTGATTACTCAACTTTGTCATTAATGACCAACTCTGCCACACCATTTACAGGTGTTGAGGCACCCCCATCTGGAGTACTATTTCCAGCGGTGGAAGAGCCGTTCGCTTTCTTCTTTTTCTTTTTTTTCGAGGCGGTGGAGGCGGGTGGACGGGTGAGGATTTCGGCGCCTGTCTCAGTGATTCTGTTGGTCAGGTCTAGTCCCTTTCATCTCAAGCAGCGGGCTCGGGCCTTGAAAGGGTGATTTGGGAGACAATGACCTCAGTAAGGACGGGAGGCAAAGTCATTCAACCTCAATGAGAGGAGCGTGAGTGGGAAAAAAAAAAGAAATGCACTCACAAAATAGTCTCTTCGAATTGAGCCGACCGTCTGCCGTCCAAGGTGACGGCTGTCCAGTCGTCCTTCCAATGATCTGGGTCGTTAGTCTGGGACAGAACAATCAAATATTTCACCAACCCAGATTGGCCGTGCCGAGATTGATCATGGGTTCTATCGTGAACACCTGTCCCACTTCCATCCTCCCCGCCATTTTCGACCCTCCGTAATGAACGATATGAGGGGCGGTATGAAACTGATGGTTAGCAGACAGCCTTCAATCCCTTGAGTGCCTCGAGCGCTCTTTACACCACTGAACGCATAACGGCATGAACTCTCGCACTCCTGCATGAGACCCGGAACGGTAGAGCCACAAAACGCCAGCCGATTACACATCAGAGCATAATATCTTGAAACTTACCAATTGATGTATCCCATGTGCGGTGTACCGCCTGACAATGCTATATCCCATAGGTTTTACGACCTCCTCGATCTTGTTCCCCACCTCCCGATAAGCCAAACCAGGTTTACACATGGCTATAGCTTCGTCCATCGCCTTCTTGGTGTAAGCTATCAGATCCGCGGACTCCTGGTCGATCTTCCCTACGGGATAAGTGGCATTCAGATCGCCGTGGAAGCCTTTGTGGACTGGGAGTCAGTCCTTCGAATTCGCCTACACTAGCCGTCCCCATACACGCAGGGTTACCTGCCAAACTCACATGCCACAACAAGAGAAGGGGCGAAAGAGTCTGAAGCTAAACATGATAAAGACCGTCTTCAAGGTTGAGGAAGAACAGGGATGCCTGTCGAGGGGAGATTCGGTACCCTAGACGGACGTCGACTCACATAACGTTACGTCCAAATTGATGATATCCCCTTCTACCAAAGGTCTCTGGTCGGGGATCCCATGACATATCACCTCGTTTACACTCGTACATATGCTTTTAGGAAACCGACCATAGTTCAACGGACTGGGATATGAGTCCCTGTCTATGCATGCTTGATGACATATGGCGTCAAGTTCGTCGGTGGTGATTCCTGGTCGGATGTGAGAAGCGACTAAATCGAGAACTTCACGTGCTAACTGATGTCATCAGTTCTCAATCATCTTCTCTCATCTGCACACAGACCATATGTGCCGTTTGGCATATCACACAAATCATCCGTGGATCTGCAGATCTGGTCGCGCCTTGACTTCTTTCTAGAGCATTGACGGTGTGGAAGGAGAAGAAAAGAAGGAAGGAAAGATGAACTCACTCGGCAAACTGTTCGCATAGCTTCTATCTCTTCCTTATTGAGAATCTTCACTGATTTTTCCCTGACCATCTCGCACGCGGACATTCCCTGGGCTGATTTATCAGCTAATTTCTACCTTCGCAAGATTGTAGCCTTCATCTTCCTCCCCGGCCTGTTCAAAGTGCCTGGATCCCTACAAATCTCAAACGCTGAGTGTCCGCTTGGCTCACCTCGACTTTCTCTGATAGGCCAAAGTAAGCCAAGCCTTTCAGTACTGTAGCTACTAAATTCAAGGTTGGTTGAAGGCGAGGAAGGAAATCACTCACGATGATCCGCATAGTCCGGTCGGGCGATATGAGGTGGCACCAATCTCTTTGGACTTAACGGATACACAGGTCTCAGCGGGCCTGTAAATTGATAGTTGACCATGTTTGGGGGTAAGGTTGATAGTTCTGTTCATCAACTTTCCGTTTCAAACGCTCAAGACCTTTGCGGTCATAACAACCAAAACTCACTCTCTTCTTCAGCTTTAGCAGCTATGTTGACGATGTCATGTAACATCTTATGTTGTGACTTGGAAATTTGAGCTTATTTTATGGTTTCATCTTCATTACGTACCCCTATATGTTAGCTTGAGCAGAAGTGGTCAAACTGAATGTCAAGTAGAGGGCTCACAGTTCCTTTTAAAACATTCTTGATCGCAGAAGAAAGAACCACTGATCCCCAATCTACTCATCAACATATCCGGACCGCAGCACATGGGAGAAGATACTTTTTACAATTAGGACATTCCAACCGAGAAGCTTCTTTCTCCCCACATCCCGCGCATTTCATCGTGATCACCTTATACTTTCAGAGATACTAGGAGGTGTGGAGAAGAGAATGAGAGAGAAGGAGTCGTGTGAGAGAAGCAGAAAGGAAGATGGGAAGGATTAAATTCAAGCATTTCGGACTTAAGAAACCGGCCGGACCTTCCCGATCGTCTGACCCTCACTCACTCTTCTCTGACTATCAAACTTCACGCCGCTTTCTTGTTCATACCATATGTGTCATGACAGCGATATAGACATAGGGAGAAGTACAGTACAGTCCGACCAGACTTAGGAGACTACAGACAGTCTGAGAAGTAGGATAGCGGATGGAAGATGACCTCTAAGGCCGGACCCTTCCGACGTATCCCTCTGAGAGAGGTTATGTGAGTTCAGTGGATACCTCATCATTCGTCCACAAGTACTGAAGTATGACTGATCTATAGCCGGATAGCAGCTTGGATACCAGTGGGAATCTTTTTCACTCGTAATGTATATTCATTGGCTCACATCACCGGTGTGTCTATGCAGGTACGTTTAGATTTTTCTCTCTTCTCCTCGATCTCTATAGATCAGCTTATATTCCATCTTGTCTCTGTTCCCTTGGAGCCTTCTTCCTTTATTTCTTTACTTCGTCAGTATAGTTTCAGACTGTAGCTCGGTTCAGAGCATCTTCGACCTCTCGGAATGAATCGAGGTGATACTGACTTTCAGCCAACATTCAACCCCAATCTCTCAACTTCTCCCCTACACCACGACGTAGTTCTTCTAGAACGCTGGAGTATCAGAATGCATCAATATCGTCGTGGAGACGTGGTGACTCTTTGGTCCCCTCAAAACCCGGATGTATTAACTACCAAAAGAGTGGTCGCTTTCGAGGGTGATCTTGTGAGTTTTCCATGATCCCTGCCACTCATCTCTGCTCGCTTCGACTACTTTCATCAGCTTCTTTCCGTCCTATCCCTTAATCAAATCATCCGTGGAACGAAATGTCATTTCTTGTCCAGCAATATTGAGAAGGGAAAACATGGGCAAGATTCCTGCTCCTTATCGAGATGAGGGAGCCGAAATTGGGTAGAAGAGGAGATCCAAGACAGGAACGAATTTCTCTTCATCCGAGAGGAGTGGAACCAAGACTGAGAGCTCACAATAATAGGTGACACCTCTCCCTCCCTCCGCACCTACTCCTATTCGTATACCCCCCGGACATGCTTGGGTAGAAGGAGATTCGCATTATGATTCATTAGATTCAAACACTTATGGACCGGTCAGTCAATTCCTTTCTCCCTTCATTATCATACTCTTGTAATTCTCACTCGTTGAAGTACCTGAGCGAATATCTTTCTCGTCTCTCGTTACCAGCCTTGTTCCAGAGTGGAATCGACCTGACGTGCGACTTTGATGTCAGCTGACTCTCAGATCCCCTTAGGCCTTATAAATTCCCGGGTGACTTATATACTCTGGCCTTTCACCCGATTCAGCCCGGTGGTCAATGGTTTAGGCAAAGCCAAGGGTCGTGTAAGGAAATTTACAGGGGAAGTCTTTTAGTCTGTACCATTAGAACATCTAGCATTGATCATTTGCATCTACAACTTTTCCTCTGGCATGCTACATTCGATAGATCCCATGACCTCCGCGCAGCCACATCATGATGTACCAAACTGGTCTTACCGGGTCGCTCAGACGCCTGGTTTCCTTGTAGGTAAGCTCTCGCCGACTACTCCATACACATCTGTCCGTTTCTGTATCGCCAGGGGGATTTGTGTTCTCGTTGAGCTGTACATCAGCACCGGTCCATCATTTTTATCTCGAGGATTCAATCCCTCGTAACAAAGTTTTAGCTTCACGAAGGATATTCGAAGTGGCGATTACTCACTTAACCACATCAAGGTTGATGTCACACAGGAAGAACTCCCCAGATTGTCTATACAGAGCCTCCACGTCCTCTTGCGTTCCAGCGGGTGTTTCGTCAAGACTTCTTAATCGTCCCAATGGTTTGCCCCAGGGATCAAATGCTATACTCTCACCCCAAGAAGAGCGTTGAGGGTTGTGAGCTCCCCATTGAGCAGCGGAGAGAACGTAAGTCTGATTCTGTATTGCGATACCTCTCTATACCATCAGCATATCATTGATTTCCAACGAAGGAATGCCAACGTTGAGTGTCGCTGCTTGTCAGCACAATCGATCGATTCGCATCATATAGCTACATCTGCCCTTTCCCCTGATTCCCCAATCTAGAAGACAGCCAATCATCAGGCACTTCTCTTGGAGGATCATGGAGAGTCGCCGGGAAGGAGCGATGGAGTCATAGATTGAAGGATACTTACACCAATGATCTCGCCCGGTCTTTATAGCGAAGGCGGAAGGGAAGGTCAGAACGTCTGCTCCCATCCGTCGTAGGATGATAGCATCCTCCGGAAACCTCAATGTCAGTTTAGATCCTTTTGATAGTCTTGAGATCACCTCATGTCATAACAGATCTGTAATCCAAGTCTGCCTATAGGGCCCAAATCAACAGGGGGAACAATCTCCATTCCTTTCCTGACCCTCTCACTCTCACCAAAGATCTTGGGTGGCTGTGGTGTACCATCAGCTAATGACGGCTGAGTCAACTCCACGTCATACATGTGCAGCTGCACGTTAGCCCAGTATCATAGTAGCTCGTTGGACTGACCTTCCTATACCTCGCTAGCAGATCTCCATGAGGTCCGATGAGTACATGAGTGTTGTATACCTTCAACGAACCAGATGGCTCAGTGTCTTCTTCGTCCGATTCGGGCGTCTCGTGCACACCAGCAGAAATGATCACTCCGAGTTCTTTCGCCAGAGAGCGGAGACCGAGAGTATATGGATGCTTCGATAGTGGTGGAGAGAGAAAGTGACATTCTTCGATGGAGGAAGTTATGAAATCCGCTGCTTCGGGCAAGAAGCAAGCCTGAACATTTAGCACACCGATCTCTGCGAACAACAAACTTGACCGTTTCCAACTCGGACTGGAGGAGGTTCCGGAGTTCTAGTGAGCCAATCGGTGCAGATGGAAGAGGTCAACTTACTTGAGCACCAGCAGCTACAGCTTTGCGTACGAGATTGCTCGAGATCCGGAGATTGTGCTCGGGGTCATTTGTCGATGTGATTTGACAGACGGCCACCTTGGGCATCTTGCTCACAGCACTTAGGGGTGTAAATTCTGGCCTTTTGAGACAGAGTCCACGCTTTGGGAGATGTGTATCGAAGCTCTGCGATGCCCTTTTTACGAATGTAGGGAGTAATAGCATGTACTACTACCGAGCTTGGGGGGAAGATAGGCCGAAGGAGAGAGTCGGTGGAGACCGATCACGTGACATGATTCGAAGAGCGGGATCAAATATTTCGATCAAAAGTCCTACCAACATTTTCGTCCTCCCGAAAAAACCTTCTCGTATAACGATTATGACTTCGATATCCCCTCTTAGCTCTTTGGCTACGTTCACGAGCCCTCATGCGAGCTCTTCAAAGCGTCCTCAACCTCATGTGACGCTCTCTCCCGTTGTTGGCGCGGCAGACAAAGCTGTGGCGGTCGTGCAAGGTGATGGTATATGGACGTATGATGTGAGTACCAAACTAATGTCTGGAATGTCATTGGAGTACTCATAATCCAGCTATCGACGCTTCGACCCATCACAAGCTTCACAGTCTCACCTAGCACTATATTCTCCACCAGAGCTCTCAGTTATATGCCTATGAGTAAAGGAAAGGAGAAGCAGAAAGATGGAGACCCGCAGATGCACCAACTGGATCGACGGAGAATCATCCTGGTCGGAGTACAGACAGGAGAAAACGTTGCCAAGGATGTCGAAGGGAACACATTGTGGGCATGGAGAGGGGAGGATGGAAGCGAGCACCAGAAAATCACCGTCAGTCATGAGCTCCCCTACCTTACCTCTCAAAGCTGATGGTCAGTTATCCCATAGTACACACTCCCTCCATCACTTGGCCGCCCCTGTATGCTCCGTGTTGGTGGTCGGTTCCAAAGGCGAGATGACTCTCCTTGACGATTCCTTCAACACATACTCAGTGGTTGAGGGCACATACAAACGTCCATCTCAACATATACTCGCTGCCCGCGTTTTATCTTGCACCAGTAGAAGCGCCAAAGTGGTTTTAGTCGATTCAAACGGTCACTTTGTCCACATGCAAGTCATCTATGAAAACTTAGACATAATCACGACTTCGGTGAACAATGAAGGTAGGTTACCGTTAGGTGATGTATCAATTTTAGATTGTGCGGATATTAGCGGAGAAGGTGTGATCACTGGAATCAGTAAGTCCTCCGTCCCGAGCTTGCCAGTCAGTCCACTGAGTTCGAAGGCGGGGATCAATTGATCTCATACGATATCTTTTCCCCACACGAAGACAATAAATCATATCCAACCCTCATACATCCTCCTTCTCCAGCCACAATCCTATCCATACCTCCGCTTAGCGGTAGACCTTTGATTCTACTCCCCTCCGCTACTCCTCAGCCCAAACTATTGCTCGTCACTCCATCTCTCACCCTTCCCGCAGTGGTCAAAGATGCGGATCTTTCCACTTTTTTCACATCGGGTAGTATCACTTCTCTCTCCGTTATATCCCAAGTCAGCGGCAATATCTTCGTAGTAGGTATGGTCGTCCTTCACCATGATTCAGAAGGCACTGAAGGCCGTTCTGTGCTTTACACATGTGAACTCACTCTACCCGCTCACGGAGTGGGCATCAATACATTGCTCGGTTCCCAAGCTCGGACCAAGCTATACATCCGCTCGACTATCAAGACACAACAAGACCTGAACGGACAAGAAGCCAGCTTGATCCAAACATTGAAACACGCACTCTCACATGGAAACGTGGCCGATGCAGAGAATTTGTGGAAGGAATGGATTGATAAAGAAGACGAGAAAGCTGGGAAGATCAGCGGAAAGGTCAATCTCAGAGAGGTTTTCGTTAAGAAATTGCTTCACGTTCTCTTTGAAGCCGCCTTGCCTGACTCAATAGAATCTGCAGGCGAGATGAACGCAGAAGCGAAGACAAATAGGTATGCTGGAGAAATCATCAAAAGTCTTATCAGTCGTAAGGGGGTGAATGACGATATGTGGGAAGGAGGTTTGGTCATGGGTGCACTAGTCCCATTGAAAGATTGGGTGAGGCTTATTCAAATTCAGCGGCCTTCATTTTGGACGAGCTGACTCTGACAGGACAATATCCGCCGAGCTGTCAAATACTTCCCATCACTTTCTCCATCTGTTTTAGTGTCCCTACTCCAACTATGTACCTCGCAGACCTCTCGCGCCCCACCAGTTAAAAACCTTCTCTTCGATATTCTTTCCCTTCCGGCTCCTAGTCCACAATACAAAACTGAGCTGCGTCGAGGTCTCAACGTAGATGAAGCTGCTGTCATTTTACAACATCTGGTACAATGGGCAGAGTTACATGTGGAACATATCAGCGAAAGCTTCGAATGGGATCTCGATTCTTCCAAACCCCCTAGTCTCCAATCTCCACCAGGTATCCCATCTCTCGACTCGGTGCGTATCCTATTGCTCATAATGTGATGCTCACTGACTGTTTCAGATAGCTATACATTCTTCCGTCTTGCTCGACGCTCATTTACCTTCCCTCTCATCGCATGAACCATCTCAAGAGCTTTTAGAAAGACTTCAAGGAGCACTTCAACCCCTCTTGGAGCTTCAAGAAGACCTCATAAAGCTCCGAGCTCCTGTCGAAGCTTTGTTAACTCTCGCTAGAAGAGAGGAAAAGTGGGCTCGGGCAAGGGAGCAGAAACGTGAAGCTGGTGCAAGGAATGCGTTTTCTGCTACGCGTCCAAAAGGAGGGATGGGTAAGAGGGAAGGACAGACGAGGGTTCAAGGAGTGTTGAGTGAGATGGTGGGGAAATGGAGGGTAGAGGATTTCGTATTTTGATGAAGTCTCTACTTTCCCCTCGCGTGAAAGTCGGACTTTGTCGCTTCCTCGGTCCATTCGTCCTTCCTTTCCGTTCTTTTTGTTCTCACACTCCATATACAAACCTACCCACTTTGCCATGAACACATCTTCCTCTGACTTACAGCCTCCTCTCTAACCTCTTCTGCGCTCGTTTCTAGCCTTCTCGTTGTTCACTGCTTTCTTTCTCAGGTCTACAGTCTTTTCGGAGATAATGAAAGACCGCCATGATGACACGTCGATGTGAAATTCTTACAGCATCGTATTACATCATCGCCTTATTCATTTCGACTCCCATATCTCTAACGCCCAAGTGTACTGACGTACTGACCGCACCTGATGACACATGTGGTATAAATGTCCGACCGACACGCGGTGAAACGGGAAGACTTCTCTTGGTCGTCTGGACGATCTCGTATGTCAAAGGGGGATGTCGTCTGATCACATCATTTTCATTGATGAAAGGATCACATGTGTCATTTCTGTCATGCTAGGGTCATAAAGTAGACGTCGAAATCACCTTACCACTATCAATCATACATATCACCATTACCTCTACGCCACTCGGAAGTTTTACTTGAATCATGTCCGAAGATGATACTCAAGCAACAGTTAATTCAGTTTCTTCCTCTTCTTCTTCCTCTGCGCACCTCGAACACTTGTCAACAGTGGAACTTACCCTGAGAAGTATCAGAGAGCTTACTTACTTTACTCGTCCGAGTGCATTATCAATGCCATTGTCAAATGAAGAAAAGAGCCTTCTCGATGAGATTGACAAGCCCGGGAAGTGGTGGGGGATAGGAGAAGGCGATAAGTGAGTTCATCCTTATTCCTTTTCCATCTTTGTCACTTGATCTTCTTCCCCTTCTTCCTATTTGTTTTACGTCATCGGTGCTAAAGAGTGTTATCGATTTGCTGTTTACAAAAAAACCCATTGACATATTTCAGTTTCAAGATCACCTCTCACCATCAACCACTTCAACCTGACGTCTTGGAACTCTTGGAACGACACATACTCGAATTGGCATCAAAACTCCAAGGACCTTTGTCTCAAATCACAATAACTCCAAATTCCACATTGTCGCCGGATGAAGGTGTTGCAATGTATCAATTTGGTGAATTGACTGACGCTAGAGAGGACCTTCTGAGTTTGGGAGGTATAAGTGTTGAAGGAGACAATAATCAGCAGACACACGGGCAAAGTCAGCCAGAAGAGGAAACCGATGCAGTCATTACCCAGGAGATGGAACCTCATCGGTATCACAACCGCTCAGAATAATTATAGGATGATATCCGGTTTAATGAGGATCAAGTTGTCAATGATTACATTGGTGAGGGAATTGACATGGCTGTTATCTGAGTTGAAAGCTTATCTGTCAATGGATGCACGATTCGATTATATCGACAATGCTAACTCATGTGTTGTTACTTTGGTGTGTTCGGTGAAGTGACCGGTCTGGTGTGATACAGTATCATCTGAGTTTTGAAGCTAGGTGTGGTCAGTGTGTTCTCTTGAGCAACTAACAGCGATGGAATTTCGTCTTTATCATTGTCTCATATCAACGTGAGTTGATACACCCGTTCTACGACGGAAATCAATGTCCGATTTGTTAAGCGACCAGTATTGGAAATCGACCACTTCGCTTATCGCTTGTTGGTTGGTCTTCATGACATTTCAACAAACGGATCAAAGGTGAATCTTCACATGGATTTCAGACTGTCAAAGGATCTCATGGTAGCGAATACTCCTCATATCCCACTCTGTTGTGGTACAACAGACAGCCAGTTGGCAAATGATATCCTCACCGATACCCCCACTTCTTGTTCAACCCCTTCCATTTCACTCTCGATTGACTCATTTCTTACCATCACTTTCACCGCGTATTTTCCACCGAATGACTACTAACACCACCATCATGTCCGCCGCTGCTGATATTGATACCTCTTCTTCATCCGCTCCTTCCTCCTCTGATCATCAGGACTATACACAAAGACTTCAAAGGACCTTGCGACAGATCAGTCAGCTAGATTACTTCACTCGTCCGTGTGAACTATCCAAGCCGTTGTCAGAGAATGAGATTCAACTTCTTGATAGGATTGAGCACTTCGGGACGATCTTGGACGAGGACTCAAAGAAAATGTGAGTCGACGCTTTCGAACACCTATCCATCTCCTTCTTTTCAGCCCGCTGGCACATCCGCTCATCCGATCTTGATCTCCGCTCACTACATCCCATTTGTCCTTCCTCACATCAAATCTGTCGACCATGCGCCTGTGACATACGAATCATTGACATCACATAGCTTCCACGTTAATCGCCACACTCGACGTCTCCGAGACCAGACCATGACCCTCGTATAACGACATATGTCCGCCCTAGGATCGAAATTGAAAGAACCTATCAGAATTGTATTGGCCGATGACAATGTGACCACGACGATGGAGGAGAGTCTAGCAGTGCGTCAATACGTCCAGCTACTCACAGCAGATGACGCTCTTTTGTCTTTTGGAAATGCATCTACGGCAACAAACTGTGAATGGGTGGGCGAGGGAAAGCGACAAGAAAAAAGATATAGTACCATCACCACCCTCATGGAGAAAATCCAAGAGAGGCAGAGGGTCCCACCTGGAAATGCTGGTGAGGTCGAGATGACTGATTCGGAGGAGAGTTGGAGTGATGAAAGTATAATTGTTGAGGCGTCGGATGAGGGAATATTCATGGAATGATCGAGCTTGAACGTCTTCCGTCTCACCCACTTCGACGATGGTCATACAACGCGTAGACTGACGATTGATTGAGATAGTGAATGTGAAGGTGTGAGGATAAGAATGCATGGATTGATGATTGTGACAAATGCTGATTGGTTCGTGGTGTTGAACCGGTGAAGTAACCGATTGGGATGGGATATTATCTCTTCTTCGGAGACTGGCCATCTAGTCGTTTGATCGAAGAAGCAGCCTCTGCATCACTCGCCTGTTCTTCCAGTTGATCCGAACTGCCTATCAGCTCACTTCGATGCGCATGACCCATGACATTCTGGCGAGGAATTTGATCAACTTACCTCTTCCAAACATTTTTCGTAGCATGCATCAACTCGTATAACTGTCCAACCTGCTCCGCGCTCATTTTCTCTAACCCATCCATGTTCAGTCTTCTCCCTCTCCATACCTTCTCCCCTGTTCTTTGACCATCGGTGGGCAAATCACTTTCGTTCTCCAAAACGCCTATGTTTGGTCTTCGATCGGAGGTGATGGTGGAAGAAGAACCTAATCCGAGGTCTGATTGAAGTTGATCTAAGTAGACTTTCCACTGTGAAAGAAAAGCGATGATATGTAACGGATTATCTGTCTTGCGAGTCAGACGAAATTCGGATTTGATGTATGAATCACCCATGAATCTCATCTCGGGTGTGAGGTGACGGTGGATTCGAAGAAGGCGACGATAGAGGCTACTCGGTTAGTTTTTCACATACTCCGCCCTTCGTCCCGATCTGTTTGACTTGTCACCATGCAAAGCCAGACTCATGTGACTTGCCCATCTGAGTTGAAATAGTCAGCGTATCCGGCAATAGCTCCCCATGATATAGATATGTGAGTGACGATGTAAACGGAAGAAGAGCCGCGAGGGGAGAGGAGGAAGGGTGGCGTAGACGGTGTAAACTCACGGTATAGGGGGTATGAGTTGAGCAGAAGCTTGCTGTAATGACAGTGGTAATGGAGCTGAAGCACTGGCACGGCGTAATAAGGAAGGATACATGGTCTGGGGAGATGCGAGTGATCCAAGGTATAGAAGAGGACAGCAAAGAGTAGTAGTGACTCGGTTGTGTGCGCCGAAAAAGCCGACGATCCGACGATGAAGTAAGTTATAAGTTAGCTTCCCGACTGGATCAATGAATCAATGGACCATGGCCCACCACAGGCATGTTGCATGCGACCGACTGCATTGCACGGCACGACATGAGCTGGCCATCAAGCGACGCGACTGAAAGAGTACTAGTGTCACCCCAAACGAGTATATCTACAAAAGTGGTATCGCCGAATCCTTCCCGTCTTCCCGTGTCTCCAAGATCGAACATGTCCTCACCCAACACTTTTCGGCCCCTCGGTCATCTTCGGTCTGCTCAAAATCCTTCAAAGCTCGATTGCAGTGAATAATCTCTATTTCTCTACCTATGCATGGCAGCCAGCTGAAAAGCTGAAAAAGGCATGACCGACGATATCGGTAGCGAACAAACTCTATCCTTTTGCTGATTGGTCAGAAAGATAAGGTACAGGCACCCTTAAAGCTGCAACATGTGTTCTTTTTCTCTTATCGCTCCACTTTCTTCGGACAAGCATGGGCCCCAAAATTCAAAACCAAAGTGACTTCCCTATTCCCTAGTTGTCACCTTTGACAGGAATGTCTGCCAACTTAGGGTACAAGCGAGACCTCACTCGTGGCCCGCGGAAACCGGCCATGATAAGGTCTTACTTCAATTCCTGACATGCTCCACCCACGTATAAAATAACAAATCAAAAGTGGACTTCGCTTATTACTGACGATTTTTACGCCCTCCACCCCATATCGAGACATTCACATCAAAGCGACGACGACGGTAATCCGGCAAGGAAGATTGAGAAGACTTCGGTTACGAAGAAAGCTGTGTATCATTTTACCCTCTTTGGGTGAGAAGCATCCACCGGTCGTCAAGTATCGAGTGAACCTCCATTATAGAAATTCATAGCGCTTCGCACCCCTTTACTCTGCCTTCTTCTTGACACTCTCGATTTTGATCAGTCGAGAGACACTTTGTAGCTCAAATAGACGACTTCACTTTTGGTTAAGAACACAAGTACGAGATAAGATGGAAAAGACTGATTTGGAGAAAGGGGGCGAGGGAAATCATGCTGTCAAATCGGCAGTGTACGATGGCAAGTTGACCGGGGTGGGAGTACCGGCGCAGGGGTTCTGGGGGAAGTTGGATAATTTCAATAGGAGGTTGGAAGCGAAGTTGGGGATTGAGTCGGTGGGTTATTCACTGCTTATCAGATTTGCGTCCTTCTCGTCAGGTGATAACTGGGGTGTGTCGCCACTTGTGAATTCCACTGAGTTTGCGATAACGATGAGAGAAAGAGATACGAGTTTTGATAGGAGGAATGGGAGATTTCGATTCGTTTATCATTTGGCACAGGAGAACCCGCGTGGGTCTGTTGCAGTTATGAGCAAAGAGGAAGGGTTTCAGAAGGCAGGGAATGGAGGACTGACTGACCATATAGAGAGGTATCGAGCGTGTTCCCGAGACCGCCAGAACAGATAGAAGACTTGTGAGTTGTTGTCACATCCTCTCATCCTCCCCCCCTTCCCTCTTCACCGCCGAATATCTTTCGACTGAAAACTTCGTCGGTGGCCGACATCGCACATGATGTGAGGAATGAACTGTGAGGGAGAGACGAGTCTGACGCTCAGTACGGTAACACCTTCATTTGGCTCAGTGCCAATTGCGTCCTACCCACCTTCGGTCTTGGTGTTCTCGGTCCACTGGTATTCTACATGAATCTAGGAGATTGTCTCCTCACCATCTTCTTCTTCAACGCTCTCACTGCTCTCATCCCCGCTTTCATGTCCACCTTCGGTCCCAAACTCGGTTTACGTCAAATGACCGTTTCGCGTTTCTCTTGGGGATTCTGGGGAGCAAAATTAGTCGCTTTACTCAATTGTATCGCTTGTGTCGGATGGAGTATAGTTAACACTATAGCCGGAGCTCAAGCTTTGGAAACGGTAGCGGATTATCATATCTCCGCAGCTGTAGGAGTGGTCATTATAGCTTTAGCAACTTTGGTAATCGGTTTATGTGGTTACAAATTCGTTCATCGATACGAACAATTCTCTTGGATTCCAACTGCCATTACGTTCCTCGTCTTATTAGGCGTATCAGCAAAACATCTCGTATCACTTCCCATGCCCACAGGACAAGCTGAAGCTGCGAGTGTGTTAAGTTTTGGAGGTGCAATCTTTGGGTTCACAGTAGGATGGAGTTCTTTAGCAAGTGATTATAATGTTTATATGCCCGCAGAAGCGAAATCTTGGAAAGTATTCGGTTGGACTTATTTAGGTTTGATAGTTCCTACTGTGTTGGTCATGTGGTTAGGCGCTGCTGTCGCGTCAGCCGCTTTGGTAATGGATGATTGGTTTGATGCTTATCAGGAGCATGAGTTAGGTGGGTTGTTAGGAGCTGTTTTGAGTGAGTCAAATCCTTCCTTTTAACGAGTCGTGTGGAGATACTGATGGATTAGTTACTCCTTTACATGGAGGTGGAAAGTTTTTCATGGTTTTATTGGTACTTTCCGTAGTAGCGAATAATATGTGAGTAACTTTATCATTCAATCAAAGTATTTCTTCCAGGTTGCCCTTGCTGATAACCCAGAATAAATGTCTACTCCATGGGTCTCTCCGTCTCCGTCATTGCAGTATGGCTTGCCGCCCTTCCTCGACTCATCTGGCCATTCGTCATCACAGCCATTTATATTCCCTTGGCCATTGTCGGTGCGAATCACTTTGCTGATAGTCTGGAAGATTTCTTGAACGTTCTCGGCAAGTTTCCTTACCCTCCACTCTCCACATATGACACTGTCCAAATCCTATTCCTTGAAATCCCCGAGGCTTTCGTTTTACTAACGATCACCGGCCACCGGGACACCTGTCGATGGACGAACGTTGATAATCAGGCTACTGGCTTGCGATTTACTCCACCGTGGTCATTGAAGAACATATCATATTCCGTAAAAGAGACTTTGCTTCTTACCGAGCTGCGGAAACTTGGAATCGGAGCGATCTCTTACCTGTTTCCTTTGCAGCTATTTTGGCTGGTTGTGTGGGTGTAGCGGGAGCTGTTTTGGGTATGGCTCAGATATGGTATATCGGTCCTAGTGAGTTTACTCTGTTTCGAAATCTCGTGTCCGGAATCAAACCATTAATCATTCTCGAAGATCCTTCGTTCCACATGATCACTTAGATCTTGGATCGTCATTGTGAGAATTCATGTGTATGACAATCCGATCTGCAATACCAAAAACGTCAATCATTACTTCATTTCACCAGGTTTCATCCATCTTGGGTGTGTCATGATATTGAGATCACTCACCTCCACTCGCCGGATCTGCCGCCATGTTCGCCCTTATCGTACTTATCCAAATCTCCTCGTTTCTAGTCTTATAAGATGGGATGAAGTAGTTCGTCATACTGCCTACGATCCTGAGAGTTAGGAGATTATCACGTCTTCCATGTCAGATATCAGGATAAAGCTGATGAACAGTCGGAAAGAAAGTAGGTGGGACTGCCGACATTTACGGAGGAGATATAGGTTTCGAACTTGCCGCTGCTTTTACGGGATTGATGTACCCACCTTTGAGATGGTTAGAACTCAAGTATATGCGTCGATAGTTAGAACTCCAAAGGTCGGTCACATGGGATTCGAGATAGATTTTTGTGTTTGTTAGGATTTTACATGCAGTTGTCTTTCTTCTAGCTTCCTTGATAGCTAGTCAATCTCAGTCGTATGGAAACTTATCAATGCTCCATGCTCCACCTCTATCATTTCCATCATGGCTTAAACGCCGAATTATGCTTGCTCGATGCACGGTTCACCCCTCTCCATCGACTCCAACGGCCAACGGTCCAAGCAGGAATCTCAGGAACCGGACCTGTCCCGCTTTCTCCGCATTTCCTTCTCCCCTTTACCCACACGTTTCATCCTGTTTCTTTTTCCTCATTGTCAACTTTCCTCTTTCTTTTCTTTCTCTCTTTCCCCCACCTCCTCACCAGAGATCACCGGTATGATACCGCTACACTCATCTGTATTGTCCACTCCATCAATCCGCCCGCGGATAAGCACAGCATTACATTTGATCTAGAATAAGTTCATCTGACGCGTTTGACGCCCTTTTACTCCCCCCACCCACCCACTGCACCCGACCTACGGTGTTCGGTATCTGAGAGATGAACCTGGGCGTTACCGCTAATCATTACTAATCTAGTAATAGTAATCCGTCTTTGAGGGACAAAGCGTTTTCTAGGCTTGCGTTCACCCCGTCCCTCGTATAGACCTCGAGGCTATTTGGGATAATTGGGGGATCCGAGCAACGCGGAAACTACACGACGAGAACGCATTGATCGTTTTACTTTTTTCACTTTCCTTTTCGCGTTTTATAAACAATAAACACGTGTTCATTCCAGCAAGGACAAGATGTGGAGGAAAAAAGAGGAAGGGGAAGAGAGAGAAAGAAGATCAAGTAGGCCCGAGGAAAAGAGGAGTCAAAAGGGACAGGGGAGAAAGAAGGGATGATCATGAATATCTATGATCTACGATTCCGTAGGAGAAAGGAATTACGGAGAAGCAAAGACCTTTCGGAGCTTGGAGCTTGGATCTCCTTGCCCTTTGCCCCTTGATGACAAGCTTGTCATGTTTCAACCCAAACTCGTCTCCTTCAAAGGCAAGCGACCCGAACTCTACGTCGTCAATGCTCGATCATCATCATCACCTTAGCTCCCTCGCGGCTCACGGCTCACACCCCAAAGGTCGCAAGGTCAAAGGATAGGTCTACGTCGTTGGCCTCGATGAAAAGCCGAGTATTCTCGTGGCCTCGTGGAGCTCGTGGGGGAACAAGCTGTGCTCGCATTGTTATATCAACCAAACTCGAGAACAATACTGATCCCTTTCAACTCTCCCTCTTTCTCTAACCCTACCCTACCTAACCTGAACCCCTCTCCTTTCTTTTCAAGATTTTCTTTCCCAGGTTCACAACCTAACGTCACATTCCCTCAAATCTACATTCTTGCTTCTCCTTTCAATCTCTCATTTCAATCGCCCTATCATTTGCTCTAGCACCTGTATCGGGTCTAATCTCTTTCAATCTCATCTCATCTCATTCGTCATAAAAACCCTTTCTTTCTTTAGTCACAACACTTCATCATAATGTTGTCCCGTTCCGCTCTCCTGCTCGCTTTGGCTTGTCTTACTCAAAATGCTGCTGCTTCGCTCGCCAACCAGAAATTCAGTTGGGGTGCTTCCTCCAGCCTCGTTTCTTCCGTCCACGTTACCGTCAAGAACCAATGCAGCAGTGCGGGTTCTTTCTTCACTCAATTTCAAGGAAAAGCCATCTGTTGTTCTTCCAGCACCCGTGTACCGTGAGTGCCTCTCTTCCTGTGTCCACACCACAACCTCCATTTCGAGGCGGTGAATGGCAGATCGAAGATCGACTTTGCAAAGTATCCCGTTGAAGTGTCGAGGTTGTCGATCCAAACAAAGGAATCTAACTGACTATCAGTCCATCTGGAGGATTAGTCTGCCCTCTTGAATGGGACGAACACAAGACTGAGAAATGGTCAGTTGTTCATTCCACCTCTCCCTCTTCAATTTCCCTAAGAAACCACAACAAAATCGCTAACCCTCAGTTGTATCCCCAGTCAACCCGTCTGCAGTCGCGATTGCGGTGAGGGTTATTCGTGGTTCGATAACGACAAGAAATGCACGAAGCCCAGTAGCAGCTGTAGTAGTAACCAATGGTAGGTCGAAAACCCTTGATCCTCCCTATCACAATTAAAGACCCTCTCATTATCGCCTCGCTTTCGCTCCCTGACCTTCGGGCGCTTTCATCGCTTCTTCAAAATGTTCATTGTCGGTTGAAGGAACGAGGGCGCATTCAGATGAGTTTCCAGGGTCGTCGCTTATCTTTCACAGGTGGCATATTCGTTCTTCTTCTTGCTGTGACAACTCTTGGGGTTCTTCCCCTCCCAAAGGACCTTGCCCAGGAGGTATCTCTTGCCCTACTGGCTGGTTCTGGCACAAAGATCACAAACAATGTCGTCCTCTTCACCCTAGGTCTCCCGCTCCTGATTGTGACGACTGGGATGACCACAACCGTGAGTGTTGCGTCTGCTCTTCGTTTCATTCTCGTATTCTTTCCTCGTCGCTGGAAGAGCACAATGTCGAATGGTCGGTGTTGGTAGGCGAGATGCCTAAAGGGAAAGGGAAAAGTCATTAAAGTCGATCACTGACATCAGAATGCTGCGGTGGAACTCAACCTTCCCACAAGGCCGGCAACGGTGGTGGCAATGGCGGCGGTTGGGGTAACGGTGGCGGTCAAGGTAACCAGGGCGGTGGCTGGGGCAATGGAGGAGGCCAGGGTAACCACGGTGGTCACTGGAAGAAGCGTGACCTCGAGGCAAGAAGACAACAAACCCTGGACCGATTCCCCGTCACTGAACAAGACAAGATGTTCTGCCCCAAGGGACTGCACGCTTGGTGAGTGAAATTGGTTTGAAGTTGTTTTTGCAATCTGTCTATTCACCTCGTCACCCCGGTATCACAGGACAGGACAAATGGAGAAAACTTGCAGTGGTCATGGTATTCAAATGGTCGATGCTGACTTGTAGCTCCATCGTCACTCCCCACGGCGGTGAATGGGCGTACGAATGTGTCGACTATGCCACCGAGCTCGAATCCTGCGGTGGTTGCGCCGCCACTGGTGAAGGTGTGGATTGCACAACCATCCCTCATGCCATGTCTGTCGGTTGTGAAAATGGTGTCTGTGCTGGTGAGTCGACCCTTTTTTGATTGGTTGAAATTGTTGATATTGACTTATAGTCTACACTTGCAAACATGGATTCGCTCGTAATGGTACCGCCTGCGTTGCCGATGTCCAGTGATTTATCCTTATTCAACATATCGCACTTGTGGTCGTGGAATCGTAATGTGTAGTTGGGACAGCATCGACCGATCGCGGAATACCGACTCGCCAGTTGACGGATCTGTAGGTCGTGCAGTGGACAATGGACAATTTTATTATATAGTTGAGTGTACATGCATAGAGTGCGTCTATCGTGTTGAGTGTGAGATGATCGTCGTGTGGTCCCATGAGATTTGAGCGTGCTGGGGGATGAATGAAGATTTGAGAGTAGTGAAAGATGTGGAGTGAAGTTGGGGAGAAGCGAATAAAGTAGCAAGGGCTAAGTACGAGGGCGCGTCATGGGGACACCGATTCTGAGACCATATCATCTTGCTTCTACCCCACTCATTCGTTCGGCATTTCTGATCATGTTCCTCAGAGTGACCACCCCATTTCGTTAATCAAGGTCCAAGCCACGTTATCGAGGTGTCACTAGACTTTATAAACGACAAGGCTGTCACTGTCACTGTCCGCAGGTAGGAGGATCATTGACAGTTGAATCGGTCATTCGGTCAATAGATTGAACCACTTGGATAGGGACCATCGCCCACCGCCCTTCTTGACATTGACAGCACAATCCTCCTTCTTTTCTTCACAGTATCTTAACTCTATTGCATCGCTTCGTTCATCTAAGTAAGTCTTTCCTGACATTTACCTTATGCTTTGTCAAATGTTACCATGTCCCATGACCTTTCCCGTACTTATACCATCCACTTCAACCTCATCAATCCATCCGCAATGATAAACCCCTCACCCCGCCCATCATGATCTTATCATTCATCCTCTCCACATTCCTTTTCCCTATAACATCTCTATTCTGCAAATTGACAAACAGTCTATCCCAAATAGCCTTTCAAATCGTACATACACGAAAAATCTCAAAAACGTTTCAACTCTCAAACCTTTTTATAACTTACCCTTACCTCGATTTCCAAATTAGATAAAGAAATCCCTTATCGCACTCATCAACCCAACCCTCACTTCATCACAATGTCAGACACTCGTCCTCCACCTTTACAACGTACACCCTCTTACAATTCAGCAGAGAATGGTACCCCTTCCACACGTTCACGTAGTCCATCACCTATAGACCCCGACCAATCATTTGGTGAACCAAACGATCAGGGAGGAAGACGTAGAAGCGCAAGTATACCTTCTGTTTCTCATCCCGAATTGGATTCTCCGACAAAAAGGAAGAAAGGAGGAGGGTTTAGTTTGGAAAATGTTGGAAGAGCTATAGGATCTAGGTTTATGAGGACTGTTAGGAGAGGGAATTTACCTTTTTTAGTCGTTTTTCTCACGTGAGTGAAACTGTTTTCTTTATCGTCTTGCTGATTCCTTATGATTCTGGCGATCCTTAGATCTCTAATCTGATCTGTCAATTAGATTTAGAGAAATCATTGAATGAGAGTAACAGGCCAATAGGTCTGTGAAATCACAAGGTTCATTGTTCCGGATTCATTAAATCATCTGAACCTTGACATCAGAGGACAGAACAGAGAGTGGACCCAGGTTTGAATATGGAGAAAAGTGATGAAGAAGAGAGGGGAGCCAATGTGAAGGGAAGTCGACGAGGGTGGGGCGAATTGGACCATCTGGTCCATCAGTCCAAGGAGTCGGAAAGAAAGACGGAATACAAGGTGTGAACATTTCTAACTTCCAGATGCCTCGTCGTCTTCTTTTCAGCATTAGCAGGTGTAGGTTATGTCGACGAAACGGCTATAACAAACGGATCAGTCGAATTCGTTCCTGGTTCTCCTGTACATGATTCTTCGGTTGATCGACTCCGACCTGATTTAGAGAGAAAAATGGAAGAACAGAGAGAATTGGAAAGACAATGGCAGAGAAAGAAACGTCCAAAGGATGTGAGTTCTATGTCTTTTCTTTATTTCTCACTAGCAACAATTCAAACATGGAACTTTTCATTAAATCCTTCCCTTCACATCCCTCTCAATGATGGTAACCGAATTCATGACGAGTCTTCGTTCTCTTCGATTTCGTGATGTATCAAACCTCTGACATGTTTGCGTCCCTTGTTTTGATGGACTATGATGAGAGCAGTTCTGTGAGGTAGTCAGGATCACACTTGAGAGCGATACTTATCAAACATTTTCATCAATGAGAAGATTTTGTTGATGTACAGGGCGCTTGGATGCAAAAACAACGTGATGATAAAGCTATCCGGCGGATCCCTCCTAGACCAATAACGACTTCTTCCGTCTCTCAAGTGACAATGACAATGGAAGATGATGATGGTGAAATTGAGATTCTCAAGAGAGATCTCAAGAGTTTAGAATGATATATTGATATTTTATCTCCTCCTTCTGGTTTTCAGTTGACAGATGGGAATATAGAAAGAGAAAAGAGATACGATCTTTGGGGTTTTTTATTTTTTTACTTTTTACTTTTTCAAACATCACATGCATCGATATCGAACATCAAATATATACTCTGAATGTGATTGTCTTAGAAACAAAACCCATTTTTATGTTGATGTTTGAACAAATATCTCCTCACATACATATACGATAAGTTATGTACCTTCCTGCTGTTTCTGAAGCTCTTTCAATCTTCATTACTTGACCTCTACGCATACCGTAGTATTTAGCTACGGGATCGGTGATCATTATCCTAGGAAGTTGAGTTTCTTTCAAACGGCTAGAAGTCAGCTTGAGCAGATCATTGTGGAAATTTTCTGAACGACAGAATCGCATAAATGTGGAGTAATATAAATGACAAGAAAGATTAGGTGGAAAGTATATCAAGTGTTCCTCTACATCGAGGAGAAGAGTGAAAGGAAGAAGGGACATGACCTCGAAGGTCTATCCGACACACCAGTCAATAGTCGAGTGTAGGAACTCCCCGTGTCGGTGTGATTTGACACAGAGGGGAACTCATTTGACAAAAGAAACATGACCACAACTCACTATCTCTTTATCAACGCAGCTTTCTCTTCAGGTCTCATGATGGTATGTTTCGGTACTAGGAAATGTCTGGTTATATTGACTAAAAGATCTGCTTCTGAAAAACTTTCCAGGTGATATTCCGCTTGCATCTCCATCATCGCCTGATGGTCAATGATCCATCCTTTTCCACCACTCTTCTCTACCTCCTTACCCCTTCTTAAGAAGGTGGATGTGGAAGTGAATATGAGAAACTCACTTTGTTCGCTGCACTACCCATTTTATCAGGATGGATCAAAATACCTTTGTTGGCACTACGATGTTCCATTTGTCCTAGAAATCTGTATATCAGTATCGTCTTCGAAGTCTTTTCTGAGAGATACGATGGTGTACTGCTTCAACCTGTTCTGGGATTGGTAGACGCTGGGTAGAAATGCGGGAACTATCGAGACTTCTCATTTCTGTACACGTAGGAGGATATGAGGATGAAGAGCTGGTGGGAAAGAATTGGCAAAGAGAGAGAGAGAATCTTCGCTAGTTTCATGATGACCACTGTAGACGTAGTACGGGTGGAACAAGACGAGTCGGACTGGTGAGGAAGATGAACGTACATTTTGATAGACGATTTAGGAACGTTTCTTTCAGGACAAAACCATACTAATAACCTATCACCCGTTCGTTCAGAATGATCGCAAGTGAAGTGCATATTATTTCGACTGTTGACAATCAGCTCTTTCTTCATCCTTAGCTTGTCCATCCATCAAGGACCACTTTCTTCCCAGCCTCACAGATTATAGAGCAAGTCATTTTGTGGATTGGAACCATATGATCTCCCTCTTGACTAAAATCTCGAATCTCCCTCATCTCCCAGACGAGTTCCTCGAGTGAAAAGGTTGATGAATGACATCCCCGCCTCTCAAAAAGTCGGATCCATGATCCATGCTACCATGCTACGAGATGACACAACTTGTAGAAAGAATAAACAACTCACTCGACAACTCCTGATGATCCATGAGCATCTTTGAAATCTTCAAAAGATTGTTCAATCTCATATTCCGCCACCAGGTATCCCTGTAAGGTTCAGCACAAAAACTTTTCGACGTGAGAGTATTTGAGGAGGAAAGAAGACTAACTCTATCTCTGACCATTTCATGCACCGTCCTGGATACTCTCCATAGTCTAGCTAATTCTCTATCGACGTCTTGTGACATTGTGGATGATGAGGATGATGTGAAAGAGTCAAAGTGGTGTAGAACAGTCGGAAAAGTTGTCGAAGGATTTTCTCAATTTCCAACTTCGACTTTTTCGCCTCTGCCTTTCCACCTTTTCACTCAAACTTCACTCTGTCTCTCTTCAACACTCCAGCCATATAACGATCCGGCGATCGCGAAGACTCACGAGGAGAAACTTGGAGGAAGTCATTCGTCAGACAGAGATACGAAGCTTGGATAAGAGAAATATCTTTGTTTTTGAGAAAAGAAATGGAGCAAGTTGCAGCGGGGACCATATCGGAGCCTTTGGATTTGGTCAAGCTCTCCCTTGGCGAGTGAGTTTTTCATTCCTACAAACTCACACATCATTCCTACCGTCCGAATCTAAACTATATTGATACTCGCTCCTTGTTTGACCTTGAGATAAGGGTTGTTATTCTCATCTTACCAGTTTGAGGGATAACGAGGGTTTCCCTCCCCCTCTTCTCATCTCCATGAACCTCATACCTAGGAAGATCTTTCTTAGTCTCCTGGTTGGAAAACCATTTATCTTCTCAGGAATAGAGATTTGACGACCAGACGGGTATTCATAAAACTTCGTGGAGACCGTACTCTCACCGGCAACTTACACGTGAGTTCTTCTCGTATGACCACTTCAAACCTCTTCATACTGGTTCTCCAAATCTAGTCCATCTTTCATCCATCCCCTTTGGATTCTCTTGGTGGTGAAGTCATGCTGTCTGAAGTCGAAACAACACTTCCAATACTTGTTCACACGAGATTATTGATATGAAATATGTCTATCATGACAGAGACGCTGATGTGAAGGCTTATGATGCCCATATGAATTTGGTCCTTTCTCAAGTAGAAGAGAATATCCATATAGTTGATGTTGGCGAAGATGGAACGGCGGCACCTCCCCGTGTGAGTCTTTTTCTTGTTCTTTCACAACTTGACTCATGCACGCTACTGAACCCCTCATCATTCATTTCCCATCCCCCCTTGAGACTCATCGCTTACATGTCTGTCTTGCTATGTGCTATTGGAGTCTCGTCCACATACTGACGATAGATCGAAAGAAGAGGTTTCGAGATGCTTTTCATCAGAGGAGATAGTGTCATACTAGTCAGTCCATCTCACTCTCCCTGTCTCTAATATCCACCATTTGTTACTCCTTCGCTTCTACGCTTTATCATACTTCATTATCGCCAAAGAACGTGACAACGTCGAATATCGCGTCAGCTATAGGAGCTGACAGTTTAGGTCTCTCCATTATTAGAATGACCACAGTGACCAATAGCGAAACCATTTATATGCAATGAGCAATTCATGACAAGCATTAAAGCTACAAATTATTTTCACACTGATCTTCCGATAGATATGTCATGCCCGTCCGCCTCGAATTTGAAGTACTGCGATTTGCGCCTTCCAAACATTCCCAACAGCTCGACAGAGATAACTCTGCTTTATCGTTTCTCTACTCGTCAGTCTTCATTTACTGCTAGAGTCATGGCCATTGAATGTATGTCCAGGCAGAGATATGACACACAACACACAAAGAGAGGCAGAAAGATCACTCACGTTGTTTCCTTCCCAACGTCCCTAACGCACTCATGATCCCCTTTGACCGATTCACCTCTTTCTCGCCTTCCGCATTATCCAACTTTTTACCCTTTTCAGACTTTTCTCTAGAGATTCTCTTCATACTTGTCCTCCTTACCCATAAAGATTCCTTTTGTCCCTCCGTACCGTTTTTGTCATCTCCCATGTTCAATCCAGACAACGTGCGAGCGAGAAGTGTACCGCCTCTTCCTTTTTGACCCTGATCAGATTGTGACTTGGGCGAAGATACTAACTGAGGTGTCTGGGTCACTATCGTAGGTTTGCGGGAGAGAGCAGACTTTTTAATTTCTTTCACTGCCTCTGAAGATTTCGGCCCACTAGACTCGGGAGCAGGTGAGTGAACGATGAGATGAGGACTTTGAGGGAAATCCGATAAGTTCTGACCTGCTGGATCTTGTGTAATTGAGAAACCAACAGGTGAAGCAGTCATGATTCTATCTTGATAATGACCATTTCTCTCTGGCGAACTTCCCGTTGCTTCCATTACAGGACTCATACTTCCTTTCAATTCCAATGGTCGTTCTTCCAAAATCCCCGGTGTACTCAATGGAGATGATCCACGTCCAATCAAATCATCAGACATGGAAACGGTAAGTGACAAAGGTCGATGTTCGTCAAAAGAAACACTTTGACCTTTGCGTAATCTCCCTGATGCCGATGTAGGACGCTTTGAACCTCCTTCGCTACCTGTCCGATTAGACCCTCTGTGAGATATACGTCGAGGTTCATCTGATGATCCCACAGGATCAACGGAGACACTGCGTTCTGCCCATTGTTTGAGTGAGACACGTGGGGAAGGAGGAAGACCGGAAACGATGGATGATGTACGGGAATGGCCGCGGGAGGGGAGAGGAAGATTTGGAAAGTATTCTTGCATTTGGGAGAGTATGGAAGGTGATCGAAGAGAAGGAAATACTTGAGAGCGTGAAGGAGAAGAAGGCATGGAAGGGGTGGTAGGAAAATCCCAGGATGAGGCTCGGGAAGCGAGGGATGACATGGTGGGGACTCGACCTGTTAATGAGTGACTTACCCAATGATCTCAATCACTAGATTGCGACGCTACAAAGCTGTGACTGGAGGATGAGGAAACAAATTTGAAGGACATCAAGCATCACAACTCACGGATCTCTTGTCGCTGTTCGAGTGGAAGTACGTCGGCTACGGCATTAACATCGTTCTCGCAATAGTCTGAACACTCTGAATGTCCAAAAACTCTTGACTACGCTAAGAAAAAGAGGTCATAGCCAGCCGACTGCAGCCAGGTGGACTCTGAGGAGCTTACAGGATATACAGAAAAAGAGGACGAGTGACGTACCCAACAGTGACTGAGCTAAGAAAGCTTTCTTCTTTGCCCCTCTTAACCAAGGATGTTCCGATAGCTGAACAGCGGTAGGTCTGAACGTCGGTCCCAGAATATGGACACATGATATTTCAACTAACCTCTTTCTTGGATCCTTTTCTAAACAAATATCCACAAATTCTCGCATTTGCTTACTCCATGCTCCTTGTCCCAAAGAAGGTGAAGGACGAGAAATGATGAGAGCTAAGACGTCTTGAGGTCTATCTTTATCACCAGGTGCTCGACCGCATGCCAGCTCTTCATGTCAGTTTGTTCTGTGGCATATTTTAAGAGTCAAGATTCGACTCAGGGACAATGAAAAGCGTGGAAACAGAGGAAGAATGACCAACCGATGATTGTAATTCCCAAAGACCAAATGTCGGCTTTTGAATCATACTTCTCTCCTTGTATGACTTCTGGAGCCATCCAGTTGGGCTGATAATCAGTGATCAATACAACAAGCCAAACTAGCACTATCATGTCATGTCTTGGAATATTTCAAGGGGAGAGGCGGGTAGAGTAGAGAGGAAATGGGGAGACTGACTGTCCCTACGAAACTCTTTCGTTTACCATACTCCGTAGACCTATCGTTTGGTGACGAATCTCGCACATGATTTCCGTTGCCCCTACGGTCAAATTGTAATTCCGCCGCTGAAGGCAACGTCGATTTGACAGGAGTGGGAGGTTCGTTGATATCACTTCCTACTCCAAAATCCGCAAGGAGAACGGTACCGTCCGCCGCTATGAGTAGATTACCAGCTTTGAGGTCTCTCTTTTTATCAGTGATCTTCAAATAACCTCTTGTTAGAGTACATGCTCCGCCTGGTCCTAGATAGGTACTTCACTCGGTAAGACTATGTCCCACATGAGAAGCCAATCCGGACATGAAAGATTGTCAGATGCTTGTAAAAACGAGTCGACGGGAGACTACACAAGAATTCGCAGAAGTGATGACCTCATACTCGGGAAAGGGATGAAAGAGGAAGTGAGCTAAAACTCACATGTAGATACCGCTGCTCATGAAGATATATCAAACCATCTATCACTTGTTTCACCGTCGCTTTCACTTCTTCCTCACCCATATTCCCTTCCACAACATCTTCTTTCTTCCCCAAATGTAAAAAACCTCCTCTAGTAGTCCTCGTACTTCGTCCTCGCCAGCTTAGGATTCCCGCGAGAGATCCGCCAGTGATAAGCGGCGTGACGATGGCGATCCTTCGATGATCTGGTGGTAAGGTGAAAGCTGCTAGGATACGAAGTACGTTCGGGTGTCGTGAGAGGGAAAGAAGTTTTGTTTCTTTGAATAATTGGGTCTCATCAAAATGTAAAGAAGAGATTTTGATGGCGCATGGTCTTCCGGTGTGAATGTGAAGTGAAGGCTTGGCATTGTTGTTTGGTGATGATGTTATCGGAGGGTGATAGATTGCAGAATACACTGTGGAGAAAGCTCCGAAACCTGAGAGTCAACTTTGGGTTCCAAGACTGTGGGCAAACACTATCGTTGAAGAAGAGAAGATGTTGGAAGCTTTAGAACAGCTGATAAATGATGGGTGAGGTACACCGTTAGCTGATAAAAGATGGGTCGAGACGAGGACATGAGAGGGTAAGAAGGAAGAGGCTCAACTCACCAACAGGGGAACCAAGTTGATAATGATCAAAATCATTAGAGAATACCCCCCAGTATTCATCATCCAACATACCCCTCTCGACAAATTGATGAATCGCCACCATTCCCTACCTCTTATCTAAGCCACTGCAGTCCAGTCGTTCCACAGGCCACAGGACAGCCGACAGCCCTCGATTCTTGAGTTGAATGTCACAGAATGGTGAGAGTTAGACAAACAATTACGATGAGTCACATGAGATGAATACGATCGAGAACAAGTTGAAAAACATGTTTATCGACCAAAAAGAGATGTTATGATGTGTGCAGTGATTTTTGACTGAAAGAGGAGATTCACCCGTCGGTCACGGACGAAGGATGTTTAGGGTGGGATTTGATTCATATATTTTGATTCATTCATCGGGAAACACGTGGGTGAAGGAATGTAGAGTAGTATGCACAGCATACAGAAAAGAAGTCATGAGGTCGTATAGGGTCGTCATACTTATAAGTCCATACGAGTCTATTCTTCAAGCTGGTGGGAAAGTCAAAAGACAGCACTAAGTTTGTGAAAAATTGCATGTTTAAGTAGGGGTGCTCAGTTCTGATACGCCAAAATAACACGTGTTAAAATGACGTCGAAATTTCCTCTTCGGGTAATTTTGATGACAAACAAACGCGACATCTCAACAGGTGAAATGTGACCGTTGAGTTTTCACCATCACCGTAGAGTTATCATATCTTGCTAGAGAGACACTTTTAAGCAACAAGAAGCTCAGAATCTGAAAGAGGAGAGCTGTAGCTTCACACTGATACTATGGACACTTCGGGGGGTGGTAATTTGAGGTCACCGTCACCACCTGTAAATATGTCGTTAAACCCCCTTCGCACACCTTTGCTGATCCCACTAGGTTCTCCATATCCCGTCCACCGCTCGTCAACCGTCTACTAGAACTCAGCAAAGAAGGAACAGGGACAAAGAGGACAGTCAGGACAACCCCCCAGCAACTTTAGGATGGACAAAAGATCAAGGAGACGGGGAGTATTGTTCCCTCGACTACCTTATTGAATGGTTAGCCATTGGGGACAATTTCAAGAAATATCAACATGGCCTAGGGGGTAAGAAGAAGCTGGGGATGGCTAGGGAATGCTCTGAGTGGATGTCCAAGTCAGGCTGTCCAACTAAAAGATCGACTGATCAGATACAAAATAAGGTAAGTGTGATTTCCTTCCTTTTCTCCCCCCCCAAAACTCTGCTGATGTCTTCTAGATTCGTGAACTCTTAAGAAGGTGGCGAGAGGCCCGTGACTGGCTAAATCACACAGGGAAGGGTTTATTCGAGAGTATGGTGGATGGTAGTGAGGATCCAGAGAAGATCAATCAAGCTGAACAGACGGTTAAAGGTGAGTCCCCGTCTCTCCCTTCTCCCCTTCTCCCCTTCTCCCCGAATACCTCCTGTGACCTGTGTATCCTCTCTCCTGGCTGTTCATCACTCCTATGCTTCCTTAGCTGATCTGCAGCCACTGTACTGAAGAAATGTCCTGAATATGACTCTGTGGACCCCATATTCGCCGAGAGAGACGGCGGGACAGAATCCCTTCGCACAGGTACCACCGAAAATAGCAATGTCACACTTGACACCATTATGAGGGGTCCCCACCACTCCTCTCCCTCTCCTGAGGGATCTCTACACTCTCCTAGGCCCCCCACACCCTCTCAGATGTCACTGAACGACTTCCTAGGCCAGCAAGAGTCTCAAACAGAAGATACATCGACTCAGAGCGAAAATACACGTCCTGCGACTAGGGAACGCAGTTTTAGTGATCATAGGCTAGCCAAGCGAGCTGCAGGTACGTCAGGCACGGCAACATGAACTGCATAGCCACTAAGGTCAGGGTATAGCTGATTTCAGGCCTTTACACTTCGTCCAGGAGGGGGGAAGGAAAAAACACTGCTGGAGGTATTACGGGGTTGTTTGAGGGGATTGCTGCTAGTAGAAGGGAAGAGGTAGGGCTAGAGAAGCGTAAGCTAGCTATCCAAGAGGAAGAAAGAGAGGAATCAAAGAGACAGAGGAAGGAACAGGCTAAAAATGATAGGTTGGTCATAACATCGAAGGAGGCTCAAGCACGTCTCACTGCAGAGCAAGGACTACCGGTAGAACTTCGTGTTTCCTGGGCTGAGGCTATCGCAGATGCAGAGGAGAGGTATGATAAGGCTCACAGTGACAGAGAGGAAAGGGAACGAGAGGGATACACCGAATCTCAGTGGAGCAATTGGTCGGAGAGTGATAGGTAGTTAAAACCACTCACCTTTTTTCATGATAAAATGAAGTTGTCTATGTCGATTTCCTCTGTCTCCAATGCTAACATTTGCTCCACTAAGTCATGACGTCTTCTCATGTGTGGCCTGAGACGACCAGCACCTAAGAAATTGTCCTCTGCTACCTCCTCCTCTACAGGCTGTTCATCTCGAAGTGGTTCAATTGGCAGATTTCCAGTAAATTCTTCGGTGTAATATTCGTCTGTGTTTATGAGGATATTATGCAGGATTGTACAGGCTACAATGATGGCGTGAGCCATAGCTTCGTCTTTCTTGGTTCGCAGTCGCATAGACATTGATCGCAGTATCGTCCACCGAGCCTTTAACACCCCTATTGAATGTTCAACCCCTACTCTCATGACTGAGGCTCGAGAGTTGAAATACGCGGTTTTACCTCGAAGAACAGCTTGACCAGCACTCTTTTTAAACATGGGGACAACCAGAGATGATGCTGTAAAGCCAGAATCAGCCAGGAGGTATTCCTGGTTGCTGAAATACTGAGAAGGTGTGTTAAGGGGTTCGATAGCTCGCTGAACTCGTTGGTCGCTGCTAGATGCAGGATAGCCGTAGTGGATATATCGAAATCGCTTGGTATGATCGACGATAGCCATGACATTGAACCCATACCTCTCTTTTCTGCTATGATAAGCCCCTGCATCATCCCTAGCAGGAGCAGTTGTGAGGTTTACATGATAGCCGTCGATGAGGCCTACGCAGTGAGGGATGGAGTATTCGGAGAGAAATCGAGCTTTAATCTCCAGTCTTTCGGTAGGGGATGGCCAGGAGATGAAGTTAGATCGTTTTCGCAGTATAGCAATGAGGGATCGTTCACACCACTTGAATACAGTGCCGGCTAACCAATTAGCAAAGTGGACAGACCAATTGGAAGGAAAACACACTTGAGACCCCAAACTCGCGATCTAATGTCCTGCAGTCATGTCCATGAGCCATTCGGTAAACTAGTAAGCCAATCTGATACTTTGGTGGGGCCTGAGGTTTGTTTCCTCTTGAAAAAAAGACAAGATCGTCCTTGAAAAAATCGACGATGTCATTGAGGTGGCTAGGGGACATGCGAAATGCTTGTTTATGACGGATACCACGTTCTGCGAAGAGGAGAATGTCACTATGGTAGAAAGAGGGTCTGGGATTATTGTTGAGAGTATCTGGGAATCGATCCAAGTATCGGTTGGACGAGATTTGGTGATGTGCTTGAATTATGTCTTCCAAACAGGCCCTTGAGGTACGATCGTCCAGCAGAGGAAGCAGAAGCAATGCGGTGTCTTCCAAATCGTGCAGAAGGTGAGCTCGGGGGGTTTTAGATGGCATGGGAAAAGATCTGAAGTGATTTACTTGATAGATAGATGAGAAATGCAGTGGCCGAGATACATATCTATAAACCTGCATGAGTTGACATGGGGAGGACGCGAAGAAGGGGTCACACGTGGCATTTTTTACCTCACACGTGGCATTTTATGACATAAAAATGGCTTGTTATCATGGGTGTTCACTTATCTGTGATAATGTCACGACTAGCCATTATAGAACTGAGCACCCCTAGTGGTTGCATGGTTGCACGTTATGGAAACGAAGATCACTCCTCTTCTTCTCTTTCGTCATTCTTTCTCACATCGACCATCAACAAACTCATTCTAATCGATAGTCTACGAATCTACACCTACAGGAAAGATCTCCTGTACTTAGTGCAGCGGACTTTACTTTCGCAATCGTAGTCTTCTTGTCATAAATCCTCCTTTACAAAATGCCATCAAGGAAGAAACCCTCGTTAACGAATCATGGTCCTGAAGATCTCTCTTTACTATCCCTTGCAGAAGTACGAGCGAGAATAGAACGTAATTCTCACGTCCTAGGTCTTTCTCTATTTTCCCCTACTTCCCCTACTTCACCCATATCAATCCCTTCCTCCCGAATCTCGCACCCAACATTCACAACACCTGGAAGACCTCTCTCAGTATCTCCTAATCGACATGATCTCATCAATCAAAATGGCCTCAATGACCTTAATCAACATCGAGTCGATGGACAGGATTCTGTTGAAGAGAGAAGAATGAATGAAGTAGATCCAGTGAGGGAAAAATTACTCGTTGCTAGGAAAACATTGTTGGAAAGAGAACAAGAACTTTTGTTACAAATAGCCAATGAAGGAGTCGAGAAATTGGATATGAATGATGCTGGACCTTCTCGACCTAAGAAGAGTGGTCAACAAATAGTTTTGGAAGAGATTAGACAAAAAGATAAGAATTTACCAGAAGGAGGTGTTTTATTGTGAGTACTATTTCTCTCAACTGATCAACATATCTCGATATCCCATTCTTTTTCCTATCATCACCGAACATGTCTTCTCATCTTACACTTCCATTCTGCTCTCTCATTGTTTCGTTCCTTGTCCTCTTATCCTCTCCAATAGACATCTGTCTACTGTCGTCTACTACCTCCTTGTCGTCTACTACATCCTTGGTCTATTCTCTTCTCGTAAGGCTCGACCATCCGGATGTTCTCGTGACTGCTGGCGAATAAGACGTATCCGAACATCACTTCACTCACTGACCCCTCAGACCACTGGACGAAAGTTTTCAACTAGCTCAACGTGATTCAGACGAAGCCACAGCCCGACGTCTTGCCTCCATCTCTTTGTCTTCTCCCACGTCCGTCTCCGCCCCTTCTACCTCCGACTCTCGTTCTCGAGCAACGCCCAATAACCCTGGGCCGGGGATAATGTTAACCCCCAATTCCAAACATGAACCAACACCCAATACTCAAAGAGGAGGAAGGTTGATTGATGATTATACTCGTGCTCAAGCTCAAGCTCGTATGAGGACGTTCATGTCACATAAACCTGACGATGAGGATATGTTCGGATACGAAGAAGATCTTGATGCTGTTGGACAATCTGGAAGAGGAGAGAGAGCTTATAGAGCTCCAGGGACTGGAGAAGAGGTTGATGAATTAGGTGAGGATGATGAAGTTTGGTCAGAGGGTAATGAGGATTATTTAGGTGGATAATGACCATTTTATACTTCCTGAGTTGAAGTGAAGTGGTAGAGGGAGGGTGGGATGAGCGATGGTATGCTCATGCAGGTCTGGGGTGATCGTGGAAGTGACAATCAGATGAATCATCGGGGAATGATCTAGGTGTGTAATCATTCAGGTAGAAGCGGGGTATGTAGAAGGATGGTTTGGAATAGGGAGGAAGAAGTAAAACGAAGTTTTGTTAGTAAAAAGGAAGGAAATTTGTGAGATTCAATTTGTTGCATAGCATTGCATGAATCAATTACATCACTGAATATGTGGGATAGTGTGGATCGATGATCGATGAAAGAGCAGTCAACCTGTTGAAAGTGACCATGATTCGTGGGCGATATGGAGTACATTTTATTCACAAAAACCGGTACTCTTCGTATTTCCCGTCATCGCTCAGTCTACGCTGTCAGTATCACCCAATGAATGATTGATCCATCGGGACGAGACCACGACTGTCCGAGGGGTATAGAGGCACGAAGGATAATGAGGGGATTCCAAATAATGAGAGACAAATTTATCTCGAGATCATCAGGCTGAGTTGCTATCCTGTCATGATAATATAAAGAGGAAGATGAAGAGGAATAGTTGAGCACGAGATAAATTTACTCACATAACAACCTCGTCAAAATATTCGCAGGAGTTTGTTTAATCCTAGAATAAATCGCTTCAACTTCTTCTTCACCCACATCACTAATATCCGCCATCAAATAAGCTATATCACCTTTACTATCCGAAAATTGTTTTTCGATATTATGTTCACCTAAAATCTCATTCACTCTTTTCAAAACACCAGGTTCATTCCTATGAACATGACAAATTCTAATATGTCTTTCATCTTCTGTCGTTATTGCCCTGAGATCAACTTCTGGGAAATTTACTGCTCCTAAAGTAGTACCATAATTTAAATATCGAACTAAAGCATTTCCTACTTCTGAACCTATAGCTCTTTGAGCTTCTTCTGTCGAACCACCAATATGAGGTGTTAATATGAGATTTGGAATTCTTCTAAGACGTGGAATGAAATTTCCTAAATCTTCATTGAAACCAGGTCCATTACTTCCTGGTTCTTTTGGATAAACGTCAACTGCTGCTCCTGCCAAATGTCCAGATTCGAGTGAAGAAGCAAGTGCTTCTAGATTGACAACTCTACCACGAGCGTTATTGATAAAGAAAGAACCTTGTTTCATCGATGCGAATTCGATTTCACCCATCATATCGATAGTATCGGGGATTTCAGGTACGTGAAGAGTGACAAAATCGGATTTTTGTAATAGTTCGTGTAATGATTCAACTTGCCAAGCTGTACCTAATGGCATTATAGGCATAACGTCGTAATAAATAACTCTCATTCCGAATGCTTCGGCGAGAACGGAGAGTTGAGCACCGATATGACCATATCCGACTATACCGAGAGTTTTACCTCGGATTTCCCAACATCCTTTGGAAAGTTTGTTCCAGATACCTTGACGCATTTCCATGGCACGATCGACGAGTTGACGGGAGAGTGAGATGATTTCAGCAATGACGAGTTCGGCAACTGAACGAGAGTTGGAGAAGGGAGAGTTGAACACTGCCACGCCACGTTTGGCAGCTTGAACTAGGTCGACTTGATTGGTACCTATACAGAAGCAACCAATGACGAGGAGCTGGATGTCAGCGATCGGTTCACCATTCATGCCAATCATCGACTAGCCCGATCTCTCCTTTCACGCCCTCTCGTCAGCCAGAGTAAAAGAAAGATGGCATATTGTAAACAGACTGTCTCCCAAAACCGAACTCGGTATCCAGGTAGATGACGAAAGATCACTCACCTTTGGACACGCATCAATGACCTTTGCAGTAATCCTGGTCTTACTTCGAATCCCGATTGCGTCATATTGAGGTAATTTAGCGATAAGCTCCTCCTCGCTCAAAGCTTTCGTGAGGTGATCGACCTATTGGTTAATCTACATCACTCATGACCTTTCTGAGACAGATGTATCAAAACTCACCTCATACCCAGCCTTCTTCAAAAAGTCTGCAGCTTCCAAATTGATATTCTCCAATAACAAAATGGTGATCTTCCCCTGTCTCTTACCTCCCTCATCCGCCTGAGGTTCCTCAGCCAAGGGATAAGCGGGTGGTAAGAAGGCAGTCAACTGTCGAGCGATGGAAAAATGTCCCAAAGAGTTTCCCCTACCTCTAGTGGTTGCTGAAGGCGAGTTCGAGAGGTGATAGGAGATGGGCGAGGTACCGACCGAGGGTGAAACGGCGCCCGCTCCGAAAGACGAAGGGGGTAGTCCACGCGTGTTGGGTGGGATTGGGATACTAGGAGATAAGTGAATGGGATCGAGCAGCAGAGTCATATTGTACAACTGAAAAATAGACTAGGTGAGAGGGAGAGAGTTATGGGAATGATGGTCGCCCCATATATGTATTGAAAGATGAACGTGGGTGGGGAAAGATTACTGACAAGTTTGGAGGATCAGAAGCTAAAACTGAATTCCTTCTACCGTCTTGAGTTTGGTTCGGCATGTTTTTTAAAAGTGCTTTCCTTGGAGATCGATATATTTGATTCGATTGACAGTTTTATATGACGATCTGTTGGGGCAAGAGATCGAGTCGAATACAAGTAAACGTCTTTACGTCTCCCTTTTTTTTAAATACTACTACTGATGAAGAAATCGGAATCGATCCGAGCACGTCAGCTTAGGTAGTGGGAAATATCACGTGACTGAAGAATTCCTCCAAATTCAAAAGTTCGGACTGCCTCGAGCCAAAGTTCGGTTCATCTCTGAGTGTCTCTGGTATTCTGGAATCTACTCACGAGCTCACGAGTGTATTCTCATAACGAGTAACTGGTCTTGGCAGCTGGAAGCTGGTAACTAGTGACTGGTGAACGTACATAACCCGCGGTACCCGGTACAACTTGATCCAACAAGCTCATCACAATGGACTTCCTCCCTCTGCCAGACCTCCCATCAGCACCCCGACAATCCTCTTCCACTAACCCTCATTCTCGTCACTTTCACTCATTCCGACATCCACTCTTCATCAAACATCCTTCTCCTATCACCCACATTCACTTTTGCCCCACACGACCACATCGATATGCGGTCTCTTCTTCCTCCAGAGTCATGGTGTACGCCCCAAAGACAGGAAAAGTAGTCAAGACCATCTCTCGTTTCAAGGATACAGCTAGGAGTGCGGAATTTAGGAAAGATGGGAAGTTGGTGGTAGCTGGAGGAGATGATGGTTTAGTGCAAGTTTTCGATGTCTCCTCTAGGGCAGTTTTACGAACATTTAATGGTCATAATCAGTCAGTCATCTTCTCTCACTCGTTTCCCCTTCATAGTAAAACATGTGTCTTGTGGCCTGATAAGTTGACATCTAGACCTGTACATGTAACGAAATTTTCACCTCACGAAGCTCAAGTCCTTTCAGCGTCCGACGACAAAACACTCAAATTATGGGATCTATCCACTCAATCTTGTTTGACGACCTTATCTTCACATACAGATTATATACGTTCTGCCATCTTTCATCCAACATCTCCTCATTTACTTTTATCAGGCGCATACGATTCGACATTTCGATTACATGATATTCGTCTACCATCAGAATCAGCAAATACAATCACTATGCGTCATGGTGGTATGCCCGTCGAAGACATTTTAGCTTTTCCTTCTGGTGGAGTGGGTGTCAGTGTTGGAGGTCCGATATTGAGAGTATGGGATTTGACCATGGGAGGGAAATGTGTGAGAGCTTTGAGTAATCATCAGAAAACTGTTACTTGTGCTACTTTTGATGGAACGAAAGGGAGAGTGTTGACTGGTGGATTGGACATGATGGTGAAAGTGTATGATGTGGAAGAGTGGAAGGTGGTACATACTATGAGGTATCCAGCTCCATTGTTGAGTCTAGCCGTATCGGTGGGTTCTTCGTTTACTCAGCCTGACCTTTCATTCCTCCCTTTCCTCCCCCTCCCCCCCCCCCCCCCTCTTTCCCTCCACCTTCTTTTCCCTTCTATCTACATGGAGCGCTTTGTCCATGTGACGTCTTCAGGATTGTTGAGTGGCTGTGCTCTCTCCACTATCGAAGCAGCACATGCTGTGTGTTCTACAGAGACTTACCCACAGCCTGACGACACCCATATAGCAGCAGGAATGACAGACGGTACCCTTGCCGTCCGTCGCAGGGAGCCACCCGCCTCAGAAGCAGCCGCTCAAGAAGCTAAACAAGCTTCCATCGCCGGGGGGTCATACGAGTTCTTCACCGATATGGAGGCCGTTTTTGGAAATGGACACGTCAAAGCTAAAGGCAAAGATCTACCGCCTGTCATTGGACCAGCCGACGAGTTCAGAGTTGAGAGTCGTCGGAAAGAAAGATTAAGAGATTTTGATAAATATCTCAAGGCTTTCAAATATTCTGCGGCTTTGGACGCGGGAGTCAAAAAGGTGAGTCTAGTGTCTTTTACTTGCTCAGAGAGGAATAAAGTCCAATGCTAAGGTACAGACTGTCAAACCTGCGACGGCTTTCGCTTTGATGCAAGAACTCATTCATCGTGACGCTCTCAGAATAGCGTTGAGCGGAAGGGATGATGTGACTTTGGAACCTATACTTGGTTTTTTGTTGAGATATGTGACGGATCCGAGGTTTGGGGAATTGGTTTCGGATGTGGTAGGGGTTATCATCGGTATGTCTTCTTCATCAATACCTAGAAAACCCTGCCCTTCATCGATCTTGTGGATCTGCCAATCTTCTCCTTCCGTACTCGAGTACTTTGACAACTCGAGGTGCGTTCGCAGAATTATGACCCGTTGAGCAAGACGATTGGTGAAGAAGGTGGATGATTGACATAACAGATATCTATACCCCCATGCTAGGTCAATCACCAGTCTTAGATGAAACCATGGCCAAACTCAACCAGAGAATAGGGATGGAGTTGAAGTTCCAACATGAACTGATGAGACTTCGAGGAGCGTTAGATATGACTCTGGCGCAGGTGAGTTCTTTCTTTTCACCAAGTTTGTCTACGCTTACGATGAAAAGTCAGCGTTGAGCCAACTTCAAGACTAGCGATGGGGTTTTGTAGAGGTTGCCTATACGGCAGAGTCCATCGGCGTATGCATATGAACATACTATATCACTTGACCTTTGCTGAAGCCATACCGCAATCTATCATAACGAGTAGAAGCAGCCGGCGCCTTACAAGAAGCAGATTGAACATAGCCCGTAGGCCGTAGTCCCATGTACCCATGTAGAGTAGGTTCTATAGAGTGGGGGTGGAAAGGACAAAGTGGGGAAATGGGATCCCTTCCGACGCGTCCAAATTTCTTTTGCCTTTCGAACCATCGTCCACTAATTCAATAACTTTACTACTTTGGCATTTGCGATTCTACTCGTGTCAGCCGACATAGTCCCTCATTACTACTATCGACAGGTCATAAAGAATCGAACGATATGGTGCGTCCTACCATTCTCCTCTCTCGATACGACAATCACTGTCCGTTCCAAGTCGGCAGCAGAATCATGACTCCATTTTCATGATGAGAGGCAATGTCGAAGGGAGCATACCAGAAAGATTGAGAACACCTAAACTCACCATCAGCCAATGTACGGAGGTGAAAACGCTTCGTCCTCTAGACAAAACTACGAGATGGGTCAGTTATCCTTACCCCATCGAATGCCGGCTGATGAGGTTAGACAAAGCTGGAGAAGATCAATTTTGTCGGTTTGTGGACCGTATGCCAGAGGTGAGGGATTTGAATTCTGTTGAGAAGATGATACTGATAAGGGGATAGAAACCTGATGGTATGATCAGATTGTTTGATCGTGGTGTGAGTTATGCACTTTCTTCGTGCACTCCTCTGGTTTCCCGTTTTAGACACTCTCAAGAATCTCTACCTTCTCTTCGTCCTTGTTTCCGAGGATTCCCCCACTGTTTCTTTTTGACTCTTAAACATCTCTATACAGTCTTCCTTGAAGTGTTTCTCGAGAAGGGTGTGACGAGACTTGGCCGCAGTCCACTATCACGCACGCCCCTCTAGCGTAATCCAACACTACTGAGCCTACAATGACAAAACGGAAGTCAAATCACCAAAGACCACGCTCACCTCCTAGGATTACTTCTCAGCTCACGGTTCCGACGCACTCATCGTCGCTCATCAAGTATTCAAAACCACAAACGTAATCAAATACCTCGGTTCATCTTCACTATCATCTTCCATTCCGTCCACATCTAAAAATACTTCCATGACTCCTCGTGGACTTCCTTCCGTGGACATCTCAACCAATCTCACCAAAGCCTTCCTACGTGAATGTCTCACAACTAGACAAATGAGAGTAGAAATATATATTCCTGAAGATGGAACAGGAGGGAGGAAAAATCATTACAAATGGATCTTAGGGAAAGTGGCCAGTCCTGGGAATATAGAACAGGTCGAAGATCTCATATTTGACAATGAGGATTTGGATAGTAATGCCGTTAGTATGGCTTTGAAACTTCATATGGTTCAAGGGATCAGGACGGTTGGATGTGCTTTTCTCGATGTGCAAGAGAAAACTTTGGGGGTTAGCGAATATGTTGATGATGCCAATTTTGGGAATACAGAGGTAAGTTTGGGTGTCATTGATGATTCTGTTCTCAATTTCCCATGACATTCACGTCCTAAAAGTTATCTTTGCTGAGAAAATCTGGCCTTGGAATGACTGGTTGTTGGCTAAAGATCATCACGCCCTCCTCCCTATCCGCCCCCCCTCCCTCCCTCCTGCCTCCCTTACACATAACCGAGCACTTTGAAAGAACAGACATATCACTAAGACATCGACGGAAGTATCAAGACAGGGGCAAAAAGAATGTGATACGGCTACTAATCTCAGTCACTCCTTATCCAGCTACAAGTCAAAGAATGTATCCTCCCCTCTGACGAGAAAAGAGCCGATGTCGAACTCACGAAACTCCGCACGATGATCGACCGTTGTGGTCTGGTCATCACCGAGCGAAGATCTGCCGATTACAAGGCCGGTAATATCGAGCAAGATGTCTCCAGGCTCCTGGACGGAGGTCATACAAGTACGACTTTACCCGAATTCGATCTGAAACTCGCCATGTCGTCCCTTGCTGCCTTACTGGTATACACCAATCTCGTAACTTCACCACAGTACGAACATCAATTCCGACTATATCGACACGATCTCACTCAGTATATGAAACTTGACGCTAGTGCTGTTAAAGCTCTTTCTCTCATGCCTAACCCTCAGGAACTCGGAGGTGGTCGTAATATGAGTTTATACGGTTTATTGAATCAATGCAAAACTAGTCAAGGACAACGTTTATTGGGAAGATGGTTGAAACAACCTTTGGTAAACCTACATGAGATCCGACAACGTCAGGGGATAGTGGAAGCATTTGTGGATGATGCCTTGGCCAGGCAGACTCTGCAGGTGTGTTCATAATCATCTATTAGATAGCGAATACAGAGATGACTAACTTGGGTAGGAACAATTCCTAAGTCGTATGCCAGATTTTCATAGAATATCGAAGAAGCTACACAGGAACGTGGCGTCATTAGATGAGGTCGTCAGAGTCTTCTACGCGATCCAACTCGTATGTTGTCCCTTAGCGATTTTTTCTGTTCTTTGCTGATGTAAGATCGGTCCAATGATTGAAGTTCTCGAAACTCTCAACACGAGTGAAGAGAACAAACAGCTGATAGCTACCATCTATGTCATCGCTTTGCGTGATCACGAAGACAAGTTGACGACTTATTCTCAGATGGTAGAAGATACTGTCGATCTGAACGATAAGACAAGTCACAATCATGTCTTGCAAGCTTCGTTTGATCCTAAGCTCGAGGAGTATAAGACACAGTTAATGGCAGTGAGATCTGCTTTGGATGAAGAACATGCAAAAGTCGGGGAAGAGTTGGGGTTGGATATTGGGAAGAAGCTGCATTTGGAAAGACACCAGGTTTACAATTATTCTTTTAGGATTACTAAAGCTGTACGTGCGCTTCTCACTCGGATCTTTTTGCTGATCCTCCCCTCCTCCCTCTCTCTGGCCTCTCCCCTCCCCCAAGAATTGAAGGAGACATAACCTTCTATTGCATATCTGAACGAAAGGGTTCACCCTGCCAACTCACCTCTCCCTCGCTTCTCCGTCTGGTCCGTGGGGGTTATGATCGTCAAAGTGTTGATTATACACCCTGACAGATCAACGGTTGACGCTGTAGGAAGCTGGTTTAATCCGCAACAAGAAGCAATACCGAGATCTGGCAACGCAGAAGAGTGGGACCATATTTACCACTGCCACTTTGAAAGGCTTGAGCGAAGACTACGATCGACTTATGGACAAGTATAACGATAAACAACGGACTTTGGTTAAGGAAGTAGTCTCCATAGCGGGTATGTCATCCTTACAACTCCTTAGTCTTACAAATAAACTGACGAACCCAGCATCTTACACTCCTGTATTGGAAGCGCTCGATAATCTCATAGCTGCCATCGACGTGACTGTCAGGTATGTTTTTTTGATTGTCGTGCGTTGCGAGCTAAAAGAGTAGTTTGGCTCGTGTATCCGCGAACGCGAATACTCCATATGTTCGGCCAGTCTTGTTTGAGAAAGGTAAGCCGACTCGTTGCAAAATACAGTAGGGAGATCTGGCTGACATGTCAGGTTCGGGAGATGTTATTGTGCGCGGAGCGAGACATCCTTGTTTGGAAGTACAAGATGACGTTTCGTTTATCGCCAATGATCATGAGATGAAAAAAGGTAAGTGGTTACTTCTTGAACTCTCCTCGCAACCCTTCCCCAAGCTATGTCATTCAATCAAACCCAAAAAATCTGCCTGTGCTATCCAGGTCCATGTGCTGCGGGCACAATATCTCCGTCTTTGTGTACTGGCTTTCCGCACGAAAAGACGCTGACGAATAGGTTCGAGCGAATTCGTCGTCCTTACCGGACCCAATATGGGCGGAAAGTCGACTTACATCCGACAAATCGGTGTCATAGCCTTGATGGCCCAAATAGGATGTTTCGTACCTGCCGATGAAGCTCAACTACCCGTGTTCGACTGTATTTTGGCGAGAGTCGGAGCTGGGGATTCACAGTTAAAGGGTGTGTCGACTTTCATGGCTGAAATGTTGGAGACTGCGACTATCCTGAGGGTGAGTACAGTACACCTCATCCTAGTTGTTATTCTACGACCTTGTGACTTACTTCATTTCATCCGAGGTTTCACCCGGTGACCAGCTCACTTCTTTCGATCCTCGCGTGGTGTGTCTTCCCATGCTTTGATGGCATTTTGTTGCAAGGAGATCCCTCTTGAACAACGACATGCTTCTGTCTCCTCCCCTTATGAGTGACGATGAGAATACGAAGAAAAAGACGCGGCGAGGAAAGAAAAGCTGATGAGTATAGTCCGCAACGAAAGACTCCCTGATTATCATTGATGAGCTCGGTAGAGGTACATCGACGTATGACGGTTTCGGTCTAGCGTGGGCTATCTCCGAGTGAGCGATCAATGTTTCATCTCCACCCATTCCTCCTGACTTTTGATTGTGCAGGAGATATGATCGGTGACAGATTCGTGAGCTGACAAGTAAGACATATCGCCACTAAAATCCGTTGCTTTTGTCTTTTCGCTACTCATTATCATGAATTGACAGCTCTCAATCAGACTCAACCACACGTCAAGAATCTTCATGTGGAGGCGCATGTCCAGCCGATCAAAGGAGGTAAAAGTAAGCAGGATAGAGATATCACTTTGCTTTATAAGGTTACCGAGGGTGAGTCAGATTTACAATTCCATATTGTCCCCTATGCTCTCCAAGAAGTGGATACTTATGGTTTTTCTTTTGTTGACTTGGTTTTCAAAAGTCCGCATGTTACATATTGTGTTGTCCACACAGTTCCATCAGATGTCACATTTTGAGTTGCTGTTTTGACAATATGGGTCACTCACACATAGGCATATGCGACCAAAGTTTTGGTATTCACGTTGCCGAGTTGGCTCAGTTTCCAGAGAGTATCATCAAGGTTAGTCTATTCTTTCCGCTCCTTGATTTGTTCTTGCCTTCGTGCTCTCATTCTCCCTCGATCTCTCACTCTCTCCTCACTGCCCCTTAACTCACTGTTCCTCATCTCCCTCCCCCACTCTCCAGATCATCCCAGTGTCGTCGGCGGATCACTGATGATATCGGAGAGTGAATCCTGATCTACAGTTGGCCAAGCGAAAAGCGGAAGAATTGGAAGACTTCGGCGATGGCGCAAATGACGAAAGCTTGAACAAATACTCGGAAACTGAAACGGATCAAGGTGCAGCTTTGATGCAAGAATTTCTACAGACGTGGAAGTCTCGTGCCGAAGTGTCTTTGGAGGAGCTGAGTGAGGAAGGGCAAGTGGGATTGTTACGAAAGACGGCGACGGAGTTTAAGGAACGGTTTGAGGGAAGCCCTTGGATAATGGGTGTGTTGAAAGAGGTATAGAATTGTGATGTATGGAATGTGTGACTATCTATAGGCTGTCTGCTCCATCGTTATTGCTCACATTTGTCAGCGTTCACTCTTACTTGGGTTTCTCAGTGGTCAGTGATTGTCGCAGCTAGCAGCTGGCTACCAAGTTTTTGGCTATAATCCGAGCAGTAGTACTACTCATGCTTCCGTCGGAAACCGGAACCGGCCACTGCTTGCATCGCGTCCCTCCACGCTAACTTACCCACTCTCTCACTCCTACTCCAATCTTCTCTACAACATTCACACTCACAACCAAATCGTGTCTTATCTGCTTCTCATCTTAACCCTGAAGTGCGAATCAGAAGCTCTGTTCAAAACTGGTTAGAATCCCCAGGGGCAAGTGTACTCTATCGAATCGCAGTCATCGGAAGTTCAGTCTTCAGGGCGACAGGTATCGACCAGGATTTAAGAAGCTAGACAAGCTCATGAGAGTGACATAAGTTTTTATTCACCGGTATACCGGAAAACCGGTCAGATGGTATGTCATCTATTGCTCTTGACTCCATGTCACTTTGCTCCTCCATACATCATACCCCTCTGAGATCATAGCGTGTCACCTATGGTTGCTGTGGAGGTCAATCTGCTCCTTCATATCAGTGGCTCCCCCCTCCACATCTCAGCATATCGCTCAGGGGGGATATGAGGTATTTTGTGAATGACTCTACTAATCGTCAGGACCATAATATTTTGGTTTCCGAATTACAAGCTTTGGTGCAAGAGACTAGAAGACGACATCCGGATGTGAAAGATGTGAGTTTTTTCAGTCATCCTCTGTAACGTTTTGCTGGGACCATATGGTCCTCTTTCTCCCATAAACTGCGCCGCTGCTTCAACTCGCACTCCAAAGTTTGGGACTTCGAGGAATAGTGGAGGACCTGAGTTAGATGGTAGAAGATATGAAGGAGTTCCAGGAAGGGAAGAGTGAGATTGATATGAGCAACAATGGACTGATGATAGGCCGGAGAAACCGCTTTAGAATCTCTCAAATCGGGTCCTCTACCAAAGCCCGTCCCATTGAGTGAGTGAAAGTCAACAAGCTTTTCCAACCATCTGTCATGCATGATATGAAAGAGACTCTCTGAAGAGAAGAAGAGTATGCTGACAGTTAGAACAAGCAGATATCCTGCTCTCACCCATCACACTCGGATGTAAAACCAAAACCCCTAAAATCATCGGGATCTCTCTGGCTGCATTGCAACGTTTGGTCGCTCTTTCTGGATTACCCACTGAACACCTTCCTGTGGTATTACAGACTTTGACAAGTGTCTCGGGACAGGGAGTAGACATACAATTGAAGATATTACAAACTATTTTGGCGGTCTTGACTTTCAATAAAGATGTACATGACGAGGTGTTGGGCAGTGTAAGTCTCCCCTTACTTATCATACCAAGTCACTTCAGCTCGATTCTTTCGCTCCTCATCGTTCGTTCTTCGTCTTTCATATTCATCATTTCAGGCAGTGACTCTCGTTAGGCAACATGTCTCGTCTCTGAAGTATTTCTGTTCTTAGATATCAACTCATTCCCAGGCCCTTTTGCTATGCTTCAAACTTCAAGACTCCCGCGTATCCGTTGTCTCCTCCACAGCTGCCGCCACACTCCGACAAGCCGTCATGGTCGTTTTCGATCGTGTCAGTACCGACGAATCATCCCCCTCTGTACAGCTATCCCTACCCGGTGACCCCCAGGTCGACCTAACTTTGACTCAATCCGCAATGGATACCTTCAGTATCTTCTCCGACTTGTGCCTCCTCACGGCCGGTCACACCGGCTCAGGTCTGACCTTATGGGGTGGAGGAGAGAAGGCGAAACCGAGATTGCTCAAGCTCAGCACGTTGAGTCGGACTTTTGGTCTAGAACTTATTGAGAGTATTCTCAGTGGTTACGAGAGTGGGGTTAAACAGGTCGGTCTTTCTCGCTCCATCCCCCTCAGTCGTTCAACAACCTTGACTGGAATAACACGGAAATTGAACGAGCAAAATACTCACCATTAGAGACCGGAGCTGTTACACGTCGTCAAAATTTCACTCGACCCTTTGCTCATAAAGCTACTTGCCGATAAGCCCCCTTTCCCAGTCGCTCTCCGTCTCTGCCGTATACTCTTCCTCCTCATCCGCAGCTTCATCAATCATCTTCCAATCCAAGTCGAATCATATCTCTCCACCCTCATCCGTTTGGGCATGGGCGACACCGAACATGAAGAATCGAAGAAAGAACATGTACCACCTTGGCTGCGAGTCCTGGCTCTGGAAATACTCCGTGGAATATGTGGTGATGCAGCCTTACTGCAAGATATCTGGATACATTACGACCAACCGGGCGAACCGGGTCTTTTCGCCAAGCTTATCTCTTCCCTTGGCAGACTGGTAAATGAAAAACCTACTCTTCTCGGTATCGGAACCAAAATGCAAGGGCTAGGGGTTCCAGCAGTGGAAGGGCATCACTCGAATCCCGGATATCTTGACATGGGCATCGGCATGGTGGCGTCAGCTGCCAGTGTGGGAGTCTCGACTGTCAGTTCCATGATAGGAGCCCAGGGCGCTGGTCTGGGACCTCAGTCAGCTATGAAACTCAAACTGTCAGTCGCTTTATCGTTCTCTCCTTGACACTGCTTATGTTTTAGGATCGAACAACATGACAAGGTGGAAGCTCCCCCCATTCCGGAAACATACATCTATCTACTTGCTTTACAAAGTGTAAACGCCGTCGCTGAAGGAATTTTTGCCGTCTCAGGACAGACATCGGAAACCCCACTGGCCATCACAGGATTGGCAGAGTCAGCCTGGCCTGCTCTGCTCGCGGCCCAGTCTTTCTGTATCGCTACAAACCTTTCCGACTCTCTCTTCGCTGAAGTCCTCAGTGCTTTGCAAAACTTCACCATTGCTTGTGGCGTTTTGAACCTTCGAACTCCCAGGGACGCTTTTCTCAGTACCCTTGGCAAATACGCGGTTCCGCCGCAACTTGTCTCGGCCGCGCAAACGTATCTCGAAGCACCTGCAGGATCTCATCGGAACAACGTCATGAATACGGATGCTTTGGGTCTCGGGGCTGCCCTTGGGGTCGGAGTCGTTCCCAGTCCACCGAGTTTATCCGAGCGAAATTTGGCCTGTCTAAAAAGTGCCATCACTGTCGCTCGCTTGCTTTCTGCATCTCTGGGACCTGCGTGGCACGATATCCTCGAGGTCATACAAAATGCCAATTTTCTTCTCACTGTCAGAAAACCTAACGTTCCTCGCAAACAACCTACCGGTACACCTCAAGTCGGAACTACCTCTCCTTCTCGCTCCCGAACGTCCGGTGAGGGTCAACGTCCGGAAGTGTTCGAGGATCTAGAAGTCGACGTGATACAGCTCGCCATTAACGCCTTGTTCGACTCCACCAGGGAACTGGATGATGCTGCTCTGAGCATTTTCTTATCTGCTTTATGCCAGCTCAGCTCAGAAATGATTGGTATGGATCCAAGTCACTTCACCGTTGTCAACCCAACCGATGGCAATGTTTCCCCAAGTGTGACTGAAGGTCCTCTATCGCCTGGTCTCGCTGTCAGTACGGAAATGCATCGAAGACGTTCTAGCGGTATCAACATTTCACATAGCATCAAATCTGGTGATAGATCTTTCAGCCTTCACAAGCTACGAACTGTTGGGATGCTCAACCTTTCTCGACTGGTCAAAGGTGATCCTGAAATAGGTTGGACGATGTACACTCAACATCTTCTTGCTGTGGCTCGACATTTGACGGCTCCTTCGACCATCCGAACGCAAGCCAGTGAGGCACTGAACGAGTTTTTGCTTTCGGCCATTCGTGTGGGACGCGATTCTCGAGTTCAACATCAAGTATTCGACGTGCTTGTGAAACAAGTGGACGTCACTCCCATAAGTAATAGCATAGCTACAGATTACGATGTTCGCTCCACCGGATTTCAGACTTTGAACAATATATTGGAATCTTCAGGTCACTCTCTGCAAGTAGGTTGGGACACCATCTTCAGTATGCTCAATAACGTCTGTCGGGATTCATCCTCTGGGTCCGGGTTTCTGCATCGGAACGATTCATCTACCTCTGTCAATACCACCTTTCGAGCCCCCACATCTTCCACTCTGAGCAAAGGTGATGCCGCTCTCGTCCGGATCGCCTTTCCTTCCCTCAACCTTATCTGTACCGACTTTTTATCATCTCTCAACCCCGAGGATCTCCGACTCTGTATCTCCTGTCTTGGCTGCTACGGGAGGCAAAGAGATGATGTCAACATCACGCTTGCTGCTATCGGTCTCTTATGGGCTGTGTCGGACGCGGTGCAACAACGACAACTCATCGATTTATGGTTGTACCTTCTTACAGAGCTTTTGGAACTAGGAAGAGATCCTCGACTAGAAGTACGAAGTGGAGCCATGCAGACTCTCTTCCGCTGCGTGGAACTCTATGGCGCATCCCTATCGAGCGAGCTTTGGGCTGAGGTGTTGAACAAGGTCATCCTTCCTTTGTTGGAAGGAGCACAAGGTGACGATGCCCATGTCCTAGCTCTTACCTCAGTGGGCGGTATTTTACAAAGCTTCCTTTCTAGTCTACTACAACTGGACGACTTTGAGAGAGTGTACGAGAAACTACTTGGGCAATTGCAAAGAGCTTTCATTTCTCCACCAAGAACATGCGCCACGGCGGCTCTCAGAGCGTTGGAACGAATATTACTTGGTTTTTCGTCGGTTCCTCCGCCCCCAACATGTATCGACAAGTCCTGGAATATTTATTGCGACATGTCGGCAAACATCGCTCAAGGGGAACCATATACACAAGAGAATCTCATCGCTCTCACCCGAGTCGGTTCCTTGTTACATATGCAACTTCCTGAATCCGACTCGACATCTAGACAATTGTCACAGATTCTAAGAAGTCTTATGACGTACTCTCGGTCCCCGGATTATCGACCGGACGTCGATAGCATGTCTCCTCTTCAATCAGCCATCACGGAACTTCTGACTTCTTCTCATGGATTCGCGCCATCCATCGTCTTGGAAGATCTGGCAGAGTATACGTCATTGGCATATTCCGGTGATGGACAAGGAGGAAAGTTGAGTTTTGTGGGATTGAGCAAATGGACCATGCCTACTATGGCTCGGATCTTTCAGGCATGTTCAAGTGATGTTGAGGCTTACGAAGATGGGACAGTGGAGAGTGTATTAGGAGTGAGTTCCTTCATTGACAAATCTTCATTCCCCCTTCTTTCACCCTCTGATCGTTAGTGGAAGAAAGGTAAGGACGCTCATTATTGTAGGCATACGCAATACCGGTCAAACTGAAGTATGACTGTCCTTCTCCTTGCAAATTTGGTGAAGACCAACCATTGTGGCGAACGGTGAGTTTTGATGTACTAGTGAGGAGATGGGCTGACGAAAAGGCTATGACTGCGTTTTGTGCTGTGCTTGAGGAGCTCATGACTCATTTGCTCACCTTAAGTGAGTCACCTTTTTACTGTTGGACGTTGCTGACCTGCAAGATGTTCAGACTGAAAGATATAAAGGTATTTGGAGTCAAATCATGGTCGTATTTGGGGCTACTCTGTTAGGTGACAAGTCAGTCAATCTTTACTGCTTCATATACTCGTTCACGGAACTCATCAATCCTGTAAACATATACACGAATGGCTGATCACACGACCTGGGCAATGTACTGATATCCAGTCCCAACGATTTGCCCGAAGAAGACGAGCATTTCGTCATTAGCATTCTCACCCACATACACACCTCCATCGCCGCTCATCTGGGAGACGACCGTGTGCCAGATCGAGTTCTACTACAATATTCCGATGTTTTAGCCAAAGCCAGCAGAGTGTATAGATACGACACGACTTCTGAAGGTGGTACCACCGCACCCGCCGTAGCAGAGCCCAGCGAACAGATGCGATATTGGGCATTTGATCGTTTGGTAGAAGCTGTGACTCGACCCTCTACGTCTACTTCATCAAACGCACAGTCGGTCAAAGTCCAGTCGGAGGAAAATGCAAAACGAGTGGCTCGGCTTTCCATACCTGCCTTGGTTGGAAGATTCAAAAGTTCTCTAAGACAATTTCTTGATGATTCAAAGATCAGAGGTCAAATGCCATTCCCCAGGTGAGTAAACTTTCACCAGAACTATGCAATGAGGCTGAACGTCAGGGTACGAGAGGATGAATTGATGTATATCCTTCGACATCTCGTCACGTTGAGGATATGGGAAGATACTATCTCCTCGTCTTCTCATGGTAGGGTTTTGCACTTCTTATCCTTTTTTCATTGAACCCTCTCACAAGTCGATCTGAGAAATGTTTGTGTTGCTTCGTCTGAGTCCTGAGTGACATGAGAAGAAGCTGATGAGCAGTATCGGCAACATTACAAACAGCTTATTCCACTTCGTCTCGCGCCCATTTGTTCCATTTCTATCCTTTACTCCTTGAACTCTGTTTCGTTAGAGTACCATTACCTAGCATGTGGATATTCCCACCTGAACATGCTCGACTCATGTCCCTTACTCCTGAATCCTCCACCTCACGACGACCATCACATGATCCGAAAGTAGAGCCTCAGGGTTTAGAAGATGGTGGTGAAACTCGATCTAGTCGATCTCGTTCGGAGGTGATGGAAGAGGAGATAGATGCTGGAAATGGTGAGGATCTAGTGGAGATTAATGCTAGAGATATCGCCAGACGTTGTCTTGAGCTCGTCGGAGAAGAGATGGGTTTAGGGTGATGAGGATGGGATATGTCAAGTGGGGTTTGGTATGAAGAGGGAAGGAAGGGAGAAGTATTTGTGGAAGAAAGGGGAGATATAGATAGAAATTCTTAACAAAAGATAATATACAATCTTGGTACAAATCATTCTTTTTCATCATTGCATGCATTTTACGCTTTTACTTGTTGGTTCATGATGTGATCAAGTGATCTATGTTGAGATGATTGACTGATGAAACGTTGGATGTTACTTGGTTGCTTCTTCCTCTCCGACCCCCTCTTACTTCTCTGATTTCCCTCTCTCAAACGTCCGTTCGGCTCTTATATCTTCCTTGCCCTCGTCCCTTTCCGCTGAATAATCACCCATCTCGCCCTATCTCATGTCCTGTCATTCGACCCCACGTCCATATCAAGAGGTAGATTGATCTTCTGGAGATTCCAAGTCCTGTCCACTAGGTCCTGCTTCTCCTCCTCCCTCTGTCTCAGGACCTGAATCAGGATCAACAAGGTCGAAACCGAGTTTCATCTGTACCATTTTCTTCCTGTCAGCTCATGTCAAATACCCCATAAACCATGTCAAATACCCCGTAAATTATCACGACATGTCATGACGTTCCATTTGACCTGATCAAAGAAGATAATGGATGAATCCAAAAATGTGTCATATCCCAGGCTTATGTTCTCCTTTTTGATTATGACGAAAGGGGAAAAAGATGAGGTCCAAGAGGAGTCCAGAAGTAAGTGTAGTATTCGGAGTAACAAGAGGAAAAGAGAAAGAAAGGAATGGAAGAGATTTATTTACCTTCAAAAACCCATTTTCTTTCTTCAATTCTTCCACTTGATGCCATAAAACTTCTCTTTGTCCATCTAATTCACCTACTTCCCTTCGAAGATGTTCCAACCTTTGTTTTTTCTTTTGTCTAAATTTAGCTGATGCCGCTGTATTCCTAACTCTACGATCTTCTTCAGCAGAAGGTGAACGTTCTTGTTCTTGTTCTTGTTCCCCACTATTACTTGTACTTCTTCCACCACCTCTTCCTAGACTTGGTAAAACAGAACGACCTCTTGTACTTGGACCTGATGTTGATGCGAGGGATTCTTGTTTTATGATTTCTTGTGAAGAGATTGGATTTCTTGAAGTTTCACCACTAGACGTTCTGGTATGATTAAGAACGTTTATCCCTACTCCTACTCCTACTCCTACTCCTGTTCCTGTTCCTATTCCTATTCCTGCTCCACTCATGGGGACTCTTAACCCAGAGCCGACACCGACTGCTCTTGTTTTACTTGAAGAGGAAGATTCTACTTGACGACTAGGTCCCGCTTGATTGTTCAAAGATGAAGAAGGTAATGGATAATGTGATCTCGCACTGGTAGATCTAGCTTTAGCGAGTACAGTATCTATTGAATGTCTTCTTTCATGATTACCTTGAATTTGATTTGATCGAGATCTTTGTGATGTCGATGTTGATGTGGAAGTCGAAGATGGAGTAAGTTGAGAAGATTGAGGTGAGATAGAAGGGAAAGTACCACTTATCCAAGGATGTAAACTTGGGTTTGGAGAAGGGACCAATCCCCCTTCAATTATCAAATTATCGCTTGATGGTAAAGACGATGAATGAGTCGTGTCGGTAGAAGTGGAAGGAGGAAAAGGTGGATTTAAAGAAGGGAAATGTCTAGATAAAAAATTAGCCAGAGAGATTTCTCCTGATTCTTCTTGACGGATTTGAGATCGTAATGAATTTCTCAAGATCGTTGATGAACCAGATTCCCTATTCTCTCCTTCTCTTTCCAAATGAGCATGTAAATTTTGTCGTTCAAGTTGTAATTCTTCTTCATGTGATTCTCCTTTTTGTTCAATACTTAACTTCCCTTTATCTCTCATCTCTCTTTCTCCAATTGACCCGGAACCTTCCGTCGCCCTTCTTAATCTCCTAGATCCTGAAGCGTGTTCATGTATAGGTGTATTGGGTTCCGTGAACGCCCAAGTTTGTTCCGGTGTGACGGCAGCACTTGGAAAAGGTCCAGGTATTTGAGGTGATTGATCATGTTGTCTAATTCGAGGTTGAGATGGTCCAGCGTGAGATTGATGGATATGTGAAGGGTGTTGAGATTGAGAAGGATTTGAGGGATGAGGATGTGAAGGGTTAAATTCTTTCCACGCCCAAGATAATAACTCATCCCATTCTCCTTTTCCTCCTGTACTTTGAGCAGGGTTGATATTCTCCCCAGAAGGTACTTGTCGGTCAGGTTGATTTTGAGTCGTCCAAGGCATCTTGAGATCCAAAACGTCTCTCTTGATTCCTTTCAGGTGTATTGTCTGTCTGTTCAATCGTTTACTTGTCCAACACACCGGATCTTCGGTCAAGAATCAAAGTCGTTATAGACAGGACCCGTTATACGTTACACTTTCTCAAGGTAGTCACCCAATCACCCCTAGATGTCCACCGAACAAACCACCAAAACCCACACGGTCCACGTCTCACTTCTCTCTCGTATGTACCTCACAACAGATCCACGATCAACCCTTCGGGGTAATACACCGCTAACCCCCTTCTTCACCTCGCTTCCAGACTTGACCTTTCTTGGCTAAAGCCAGAAATTGCGGTACGTCGAAACCAGCGTAATCAGCTGTGATCGTCGTCAGGGTACCCGACTGACCGCACCGATCAACCTGGGTCAAAGTTTATTCCAAGTCACCCCTGACCAACTGACGCGAAACCTGACTTTTGCCGTGTCTCAATCGTCGTATCGGACCGTATCTGATTCGTACGAGTGAAACCGAATGAGAATATTTGGGAATAACCACCTTTGTTGTTGTTGGTTTTCGGAATACACAATTCGGTTGAATCTTTGTAGAAGGGGAAAGAGGTGAGATTGGCAGTTGGACGTTTTTGGTGCGTGCGATGGCGTGATCGGAAGGTTGCTATGGTTAAATGTTTTTACATTTCTCTCGTGGCTCGTGGATGAATGATCTGGTTGTCATTCTGAGATCTGCGGCGTACGGCGAGTTTCACTCTGTGGCTCGGCTCTCCAGCGTAGACGGGTAGGCCTTCTTGCTCATGAGATCTGAGAGGAAAACTCGTGTATAAGAGAAGAGATTGCAACTGGTGTGAAAGGATTTGTTGGCGATGTGGCACTTTTTGTTGATTTTAGCCATCCTGGTCAAGGTGCCACAAACATGAAACGCCCTGACTAGTAGCTACTACTGTAGTAGGTTGATGCATGAGAAGAGAGGACCATGACGATTATCGGGCGACATAAGCGTTTGAATCACTTCATCACTCTTCCTCTGGATCATACTTGATCGCATCAACACTCCGCACACATAATTCGAAATATCCTTCACTCTCCGAAGTCACCATCTCGTCCATTTCTGATTTTTCATTGAAGGGGGAAGTTGCACGATGATAACCCCCACCATTCCCATGTTGAGATAACATCGAAGAAGGAGTGGTGGTATCGGCCGAGATAAGCTCTTCAAGCTCTGAATCCATCTCTACAGGTCCATCACCCCACCCACCGGCTCCTAACCTCTTCAGTTTCTCTGCCACAGCGGCGGGCGGTGGGGGTGGAGGAGCAACACCACCTCGATCTCCACCGAGGAGACCGAAACCGATGGTACGGACCCTTTCCCGAAGCATGGGAATTTGGGTGGCGGATGTTTGGCCAGAGTTTGTTAAGACGAACTCTGCTAGAGGTAGGTGGAGGGTTGTGAATATCGGCGGGGGAGGAGCCAGGGGATCCGATGGTATGGACGCAGGGGTAGGAGTCGGGGGCAGACGTAAACGATGTTGGAAGAGATCAGATCTGCTCATGAGTATATAAAACATGTCGCATATAACATATTTATTCGACATGTGTATGTGATGTGTGACTATCAAAGTTCATGCTGAGGAGTGAGAATAAAGGGGGATGACTAACCGAATCGGTCCATCCGTTTGGATATTCACCACCCATCTCGATCTCCATCCTTCCCATCCTCTGTAACCTACCACTAACCGCAGATGAGTATACATGCTTAAATCCCATGTCTCCTCTCCAAATAACGAAGGACGTGTCTTATTTCTGAAAGCGGCATAACCCGTCCGTATCCTTCCCTGATACGCCTGTGGGACGACAAGTGACATGTTGCCGTGAAATGCGACATGTGATTGTGATTGTGTCTTGCCGATTGCATGATGTTCGTCATGTGAAAAGCCGGTCGCGATCGATGCCGATGAGGAAGAGAGGCTGGGGGCAGTCACAGGGGTGAGGAAGGCGGTGGATAACCCTCCGATATCTATATCTGATCCAAGGGCGAAACTGGATACAGGAGTGAGAGAGGTAGAGCTCGATGCGGATGAGAATGAAAAGATGGGAAGTGGAGGTGGATTAGGGGACATGTCCATCTGTAACACTGGATGCATGAGTCATCATATGGAGCGAAGGAAGGAGAAAGTTGACCCACCCTTGACGGCATTACGCCTGAGCATTGCGACTGAACGGTCGAGATAAGCCTTGACGGGGGAAGACGTCATGATGTGGGTGTATAAAAGATACTGCGTGCAGTGGAGAGTATCTTACTGCGGGATGTCGTTGTCCGAGGACCCGGAGGCCGGAGGGACAGTTTATAGATGATTATCGGTAGCTCGGTAGGGTGTTAGGGGGAAGAAGGAAAGTTAGGTACAAAAGTGGTAAAACGTGGTCCGGTTTTAGAATTTGACGCTAAATTGAACCACGAGTACCCCCCCCCATACTTACAACCCCTACACCCTTGACATCACTCACCACCCTCTTTCCTCTTCTCTGTACCTCCCGTTCGACCAAACAGGTGGTCAGACGTGCACTGTCGACAAAGCGGTGTTTGGTGTGCCGTGGCCGTCCATTTCATCATCAAAAGAGAGACTGTCACGACGGGTGAATGTCCATCAGCCATAACAGCTACAGGTACTCTACTCTGCTCTGCTCTCCTTTCGGTCATCCAGCCCGATCATCCCTTCTATCCGGTCTTGAATCTTGCTCTTTTCACTCTGTGGCCATCCAAAAGCGGGCAGATTCGTACTCATCTTTATCTCTTGCCACTCGGTTGTCAGCTTCAGGACCATTCACGTCGGTCGGATCTCAACCTTTCTATCGGACCACCATCAGAAGTCTCATCTCTACTCTACCTCCACTACTACTTATCATCTACTTTCTAATTCTCTTCTCGTCCAGACCCATCTAAACTATCTCTTCCCCATCATGTCTTCCCCACCATCTATTGCATCCCTCAGCATATCCGATCGACCACCATCTCCACCCGAATCTGATAAAACTCCTGGAGATGACCAAGACTCTTCTCGATCACCCAATAATATTGTCCCCGCTCTTCCTCCCACAATTACAATTGTCAATACACCTCCTCTCACACCTGCATCCGAATTTCCCGACGGTGAACCTACACCTCAACCTCCTTCTCTACCCAACCAAGCATTCTCATCCCCTGCCGTACCTACCGCTACTTCCATTCCCTCTCAACGAACGCTCGCAACTGGCAGTGCAAGACCTCCTCCAGCAATCCGTCCTGCAGGTTCTTTAGCTAGACCTATGGGTATGGTGGGTACTATGAGGGGTGGAGCACCCATGCCATCTAGACTACCACCCAGTTTACAGGCAAAGATGGACAAGGTGAGTTTGAATTGTTTCGAGAATCATCCCTCTCCCACTCCCCAATCTTGGAAGCCTTCAGATCAAAGGTGGAGAGATAAGAATAAAACTCATGATAGATCGCTGCCACTCGAGCCAATGCACCTTCACCCAACGAGACTTCCAATGGCCCTAATCCCAATGCCACTTCCATGACTGCCCTCCTACGATCTCAAGCCCTAGGTGGCGGTGCTCAACCCGGTAGTCTTCCTGGTCCTGCTTCAGGTCCATTGTCCTTGGCGGCCAGACGGGCAGCCATGGGTTCTGTCAGACCGACTTTGGGAAGCATGGGTATGGGAACATCGGCACCTCCGGGAGTGAGACCCGGTGGAGGTATGGGAGCCAGAAGATTAGGACCACCAGGGGGGTTATCATTGAGTGGGATCAAGGGCGCTCCAGCTGCGGATGACAACAAATTCACAGACTTCAACAAGATCATGTAAGCGGCTTCTCTTCAAAAATGTGTATATCAGCCAGAGCTGACAAGTCAGGGATCCCAGTGGAAGTTTAAAGTTCTCTTCTAAAGCTGTCCTCCATGCCAAAGGTGTTGACTTTGTCGATGGTCAAAGCTTCAAGATCAACATGGATGAGATTGAAGTTCAGGGCGAGTTGGGGAAAGGTAATTATGGAAGTGTGCAGAAAGTATACCATCGTCCAACAGGAGTTATGATGGCCATGAAGGTGAGTTGCCATTCCCTCACTACTCCGTCTCGCACATCATTTCACCCTCATCCTCTGGCGAGCTTCGCATGGATCATCTGCTTGGGTATATGGACTAATGGCTTAAGGAAATCCGACTGGAACTAGATGAATCTCGTCTGACTTCAATCATCATGGAGCTGGACATCTTACATCGCGCTGTCGCCCCCGAGATCGTCGAATTCTACGGAGCTTTTACGATTGAATCATGTGTCTACTACTGCATGGAATTTATGGATGCTGGATCTCTTGATACTCTCACTGGTGGAGGTGTCCCAGCCAAGAGCGTCACGCAAGATGATGAGAGCGAAGCGGTCAGAGTACCCGAAGCGGTTTTAAGGAGAATCACTGCGGCCATAGTGAAGGGTTTGAGGTTTTTGAAAGACGAGCTACAGATAATGCATCGGGGTGAGTCGTTTGTTACCTCTTCCACCTCTCCTTCAGATTGCTTTCGTCTCCCCTTCTTTTTGTCCGTTTCACTGCTTCAACCCAACTTACCAGTCACCATGCCATTCTGTTGAGATTTCTCCCTACGTGACCCAAGCTCACTTCAGATGTCAAACCCACGAACGTCTTGATGAACCGGAAAGGCGAGATCAAGCTATGCGACTTTGGCGTTTCGGGTCAGTTAGAGAAGAGTTTGGCCAAAACCAACATTGGTTGTCAAAGTTATATGGCGGTGAGTTTCAGATATACCTCGACGCCCATACTTCACAACTTGCAAAGTCGCACACCTCTCACACCGTATGACAAGGTCACCTGAAGGGTGCCAACATGCCTGCGATGTAAGAGTGAGCATCGCTAATTACTAGCCCGAGAGGATCAAGGGTGAATCTCAAAATCAACTTTCTACTTATACCGTATCTTCCGACGTGTGGTCTGTCGGTCTATCCATCATAGAACTGGCAAAGGGATGTTACCCTTATCCTCCGGAAACGTTCGCCAATGTTTTCGCCCAATTACAGGCTATCGTATATGGTCCAGCTCCGACTTTACCCCATGGGTATTCTGCAGATGCGCATGACTTTGTTGCAAAGTGGTACGTCATTGTTCCCTGCTGTGACCATTTTACCTGCATCACGACTTTTCGATTCCATTTCCCTCCAAGCTCTTACCTGTGTCAAATGTAGAATACCTGAGCATTGGGAGTGACTGATTTTGTGATTGATGAGATTGAAAATCTGGAAGAATACTAATCTTCAGTCTACTCAAAGATCCAAACGCCCGTCCCACATATGCTCAACTACTACAACATCCTTTCCTCCTCGCGGACCAAAATGCTGATATCGATATGGCTTCATGGGTTGCGGAAGCTTTATCTCGACGTGCAGCAAAAGGTGTCATCTCACCTGTGGTACCTCTGGCAGCTTAGACAACGAGTGGACGTTTGACTCGATGACGGAGAACATTTCGAGGATGATGACTTGAATGACGGAGTAACAGTAGTGTGGGCAGTGCCCATGGTGAGGTATTACGAAGTGGACTCCACGGAGATAATGTGATTTGTGTTTTGTGATGTGTCTATGACAGAGGTGAAGATGAAGATGAGCGTATAGTTCAGAAATGGTAGGATGGAGTAAAGGATTGTACGAAACAAACACACGAAGTTTCGATTTTTTTGTTCTTTGAAGCATGGCCAAACACACGAAAGGCAAATTTTCTCATTTCTTTCATAATATTCTCAATTTAACACATGACGTTTCTTTGCATGAATACATGTATGTAAAGGTGTTGATTAGAGAAAAAGGGCTGGACCGATCTGTACTGCTACATGCTACATGCTACACCTTGAGTTTTTCACAGTTAGCTAGTCTATGCAATAGCGATGCATGTGATGATTCAACCACCATCCATCGAAATTTTGGTATGATGAAACTATATCCCAAAATCTCAATTGTCATAAATATCCAAGTGAACCTCTCAAATCCGTTATTTAAACCCATGAATGAATCACGTTCCGCGTTCTCTACCTTGTTTGTATTTGTTGAATGAGAGAAATGAGAATAAAGAATTTTTCAAAACTTGTCATTCTATTCCCTCTCGTCGTCTCCATTCCAAACGTATCTGCTCACAACGTTCCATGAGACCAATACCGATCTCTTCAGTTTCAACCCATGAATCCACTTCTGAAAAATCCACCGTCGTATGACCCCATCGGGAAGCATGTATGAGGAATTTGGGTGATGGGATTTTATTTGCCGAAGGGAGATAAAGAGGGTCTACGAAAGCTGCGTATAGTAATGGTCGGACGCCTTCTGTAGGATACATGGAATGCCATGGTGAACCACCTAGACGAGCCTTACATGTCAGTGTTTGACCTTTCCACCGTCTCCACTCTCTCCTGACGATTTAGTGAAGCCGTGTGGGGGAGATATTGGAGATGAATTGGTGTTTCGGATCAATGACGATATGTTGTTTGTCGCAGCCGGTCAGGACTGTGCAGAGAAGATGGGAGAGATTGAATGGAGAATGTACGATGGAGGATGGGAGATGGAGAATAGAGGATGAAACCAACCAAATAAAATGCCAACCAGGTAAGGCCGAACAAAATCTCTTGAAGCAACATAAAAGGTCCAAAACCTCCTCTCGTGATTCCAGTGGTCATTGCTCCAGGATCTGCTACAAAACATCTGACTTCCCTCCCTGTATCAATTTCATTCTCTGATCCCAGCGTTTTCTCAGAATCAACGTTGCTTGGGGAATCCAATTCCATCTTATCAGTGGAAATCGAGTCGGATGAAGATACGCCGTAAGTCTTGTCCAATTGACAGAAAATCAAATCGCACATATATTTACTCGGACTGTATGAACGAGGATATTCGATGAGCTGATAATCGTCCAATGGATTGGAGGGGAGGTGTTGGAATGTTGCAGTACCTGATGATGTATACATGACACGAGGTGAGAAAGGGAGTGAAGAAGGAGAGCGTCGTAATAAGGGCATGAGTTCAGTTGTCTGATCATCAATGTTGACACTCAGACTTTATCATACGGTCCGTCCCTACCTAAGATGAGACCAGCCAGTATCAAATTTTTGTGAAGATCATAGTAGTCATATAAAACAAAGAATTGAGGAAGAGGAGATGTGGGAAGGGTAAAGAGAGGATAAAAATGGACATACCATTGTATAAGGAGCTAAAGTATTCACACTCCATACCATCCCTCTACCATCATCAGTACATAGTCCAGGTATTTCCACCATGAATTCCGGATGAGAAAAAGCATAAGCTAATCCGTCCCTCCATATCTGACGAAAAGCATGGAAATAGTCGACACCGGCAAACGCTGCCATTCCTGCGTTCAAGAATAATGATGTGATATGAGGGAGGCTACATAACATCAGTTATACTTCTCATCACACTACCTCCGATATCATCTCATCAAATAGATTGCATCCTTGGAGACGACTTTAGGTATTGTTATGTGAGGGGAGGATGAACTTTATCAACTCACGTTCGATTCAACCTTTGACAAAGTTGTAAAATTCCATTCTTCCCTCCCATCAAAGAAAATTCACATGTTTCCAATTGTATTTTCAGACCATCCCTCCATCCTTCCCTCACGGGCTTTCCCTTCCTCTTGCGTTTCTCCAAATCTTTATAGTGCTCCGCCAATACAGTTTTTTTGGTGGCTTCCGCATCGACGGACTTGCGACATACAATGACCAATGTCAAGGTGGGTGGAGGACCGGGTTGAAGTTTCGACTCTTTACCGGGGTAAAGATGTCTCAAAAAAGGGGGCATGGCTGAGAGTTGAGGAGCAGATTCTGGGAGAGGTTCACCAGGTGGAAGAGATAAACAACGGAGTAGCATTTGACATATTCCTAAACCGTATCCACTGGTATGTCAGTGTATGGGAAAACAATGGATATACAGAGCGGATGATAAGACATGTTGAGGATATACAAGGAATGTCAAAACGAGAAAAGCGGGAGGATGAGAGACTACCTACCTGTTAGCTCCTGTAACCACAGCCACTATACGATTCTCATCTTTTGTGACCAAGGTGGAGGTGGAAGATCGAGTGGAGACCATGACTATGTAGGGGAAGCAGAGAGTGGGCTGTACACAGTTATGTTCAAGGTCAAGAGTGGGAAGAGAGTAGGTTGGTGAGGGGAAAAGTGGTACGATCCGGATGTCTCGGACGATCCGAGCGACTCACTCTCTGCGATCTGCGAGTCATTCACTCATCACCCACCCAGCTCTGAATACAATCCACTTTTGCATAGCCGTAACCATACATACTATCTAGCGCTCAGTGACACTTGTCAGTCCTCTGTGAAGCCCCCATACTGTTTCCCCTAATGCATCAACTTAAGACGTCTAACCAGCCAATGGATCCAAGGGAAAGCTTTCAAGATCAGATCACGTGACCTCACTCTGACGCGTCACAGACCCAAGTTTACTTTCCCCCCTCTCAATCAAGTTTTGACTCTCTTCCTAACATTCCCATCTTGCATCTTGGAGCCTCTTGCTACGTGTCAGTATCCATATCCTTACCTTCTAAGCACCCAGGAGAAGACGAATGTCAAGGTCAGTCATATCTCCGAGCGGTTGCCAAGCCAGCTGATGACCAGACGCAGGGAAGCTGCTGAACTCGCTCGCGCTCTGCAACTATCTCAACAGGAAGCCAATCACCTCGCTCAGCTACCCCCTCATACTCTCTCTTCTCGCTCTACCGGTACGCAAGACTCCAAAGAATTAGAACTGAGACCTATGGGTACTGTTAATCCCGTCGACGTCATGGGGCCTCCCACAGGGAGTGTCAGCGTTCCTACCAGCAGCAGTTCACATTCTCACAGCAGTACAATGGCTATACCTCGGTATTCAGGTGAGTTGAATCAGATCATCTTTTTATTTCCTTTGACATTGTTGAAAATGATACAAAAGATGCTAACCTAACTTAGGACTGACAAGCGTCATCCAATCCTTCACCCCGTCCCATCTCTTCAAAGACACTTTAGGAAGCATCAGAAGCCCAATCGACACAAGCGCCCCAAGATCCTCCCCAGTCTTAGGTAATGCCATCCCTTCTTCTCGATTGGGCTCAACATCAAAGTTTCGACCTATCTCGACGATATCGAATGCCACATCTGTCGAACCAACAAGTAGTCCTTCTTCTCATGGCCCACTCCTGTCTCCAACACAAGTATCACGGCCCCGATCAGATTTCGCCGGTATCGCTCAGACACCTGCCTCAATCGGCAATACTCGACCTCTTTCACCATTCAGACACCAGCTATCATCTTCTCCTGTCTCTTCACCTCCTAGAGCACGATTCAGAGAAATAGATGATGTTCCACCTCGCCGCGCCATCACTCCTGAACCTCTGGAACCCCAGGAAGACCGCAGACCAACAGCCCCTTCCAGCACGAGAAAGAGTGCGCTACAGGTCATCGTACCCACTTCACGGAGTAAATCCATCTCGATACAACGTCATTCGTCAGACCCCATCGACTTCCTGTCGGCTGACGTGGATGTTACGTCGTTTGCCCCGGTCAAGAAGCGTTCCGAAGCTGGACCGTCGATCATGGATGAGTCACAATATGATAACGCTGGAACGAGAGTGTCACGCAGAGTGGCCGACCTCAATGCCAAGAAAGCTGCCGAGAAGGAAGAACGCGCACGTAAGCGTCGGGCGGAGAGGGCGCTGAAAGAAGAGAAGGCTAGAGCTGCTGCTCAGGGACGAGTGGAAGATGGAGAGGAGAGCGTCCAATACGTCGGTGCAAAGGCGATGAAAGATAGCGAAGCGAGCTCAAGTACAAAAGGAAACAAGAGAATGGTCAGAGAGAGTAGGTCGGAAAGGGTGCTCAAAAAGGCCAGAGGCGAGGAGAGGTCAACAGTCACGGAAGGCGCCATTTCGTCCCGGGAGAGGACACTGAGGAACAATACTTCGCCGGTGATTGACACAAGAGCCAGACCAAAGCTTGACGTCGACGATGAAACGCTAAGGGGGCCTTCTGATCGACCGGAAAAGGAAGGAGAATCTTCCGCCGAAGCCACCAAAGAGGCTGGTGAAGACAACGGAATCACATCAAATAATGAAGAGGTTTCAAGTAAGGAGGAGAGTCGTTCGACTGTAGTCCAAGCTCCCGGCCCGAGTAAGACGGATACGATCGGTGAGACTGAAGATAGTACAGCAGCTAGCAGAGCAAAGAGAAGTCCCGATGATACGAGTCTTCAAAAGAGCGTTCGGGGGACCAAGGGCAAAGCCAAAGAGGTGGCGGATATCGTAGTTCAGGCTAGCAACATCGACAAAGACGAGGACTCAGAGGTCAAGCAACAAAGCACTCATAATGAAATCGCTCCAACACCAGCTCGACCACCACTCAACGCATTACCACGAAAACTGAATAGCCCTGCTCTCATCACTACCCCTTCTCATCGTCCTTCACCAGGACCCGACGGCAGCGGAGTGAAATTTCGAACTCGTGAGTTTTCTTCATCTTTACTTTGACTCTCAAAATCCCTCTGTACTCAGCATTCATGTCACCTGCAAGATAGGGGTGGAAGGAGAAGCTCGAGTCAATTCACACGCTGACTCGTACTAGCTCGAAACGACCTTTCTGCAGTCCTATCTAAATTCCCTTCGGCCAAAGCGGGTGGGATGTCTCGTCGTATTCGAATAGCTCCTCTTCACAGTAAAATCGGTCCTCCCGCCAAAGCTCCGCCTCCTATCCCTAAGAAACCAGAACGGAAGAAGAAAGGTGAAGTGAGTGATGAAGAGTCTGAACATGATGGTGAGGGCGGTGACGAGAACGGAGTGAAGAAAATCAAGAAAGGTGATGTGGAGTGGTTGATGCAGGATGATGGGGGATGGTGATTCTATTTAACTTCTTACTTTCTTGACTTCTTAACTTTTCGTATTCTCCACTCTCTCCAAAGTGTCAGTATCTTGATCACACGACATCTTGGGGTCTCGACTGCGGAGGGTGTGAAACCGAAAGTGAGAGTGGGGAGAGTCATCGTCCAAATATGCATTATTTTCCATAAAATACCTCTGCTTTCAATATCTTCATGCGACTTCTCAGGTCCAGAACCGTCAATCAATGTATCACCACCCAAAACTCAAATGTCTCATCACCCCCACCCCCACCTTTCCCCAACTCGTTCAAGCTGCCGTTGCCCGTCTCAACTGACGCCCATCATGTGTTCCCAAACCGCAAACCCCAAGTCCGAGTTCCGAGGTCCGAATTCCTACTGCGTGTTCCTACTTGCGACTTCCGAGCCCCGCGGGGCAAAGTGGGGAAAAGGGCGTAAAAGTCAAGTCGCAGTGGTGTTTGATGGTAGGTCAAGGAGTAGAATAATAAAAATCGAAATCGTATCCCATCTCTGGGGCATCGGGGAATATGGCGACGTTTGAAGGTGTTGGACAAGGTGGTAAAGGGATAGATTTCTCGTTTCTTTTCTCCGTCGAGATTTTCGTTGGTGTCGAACCGGGTGAAACTGTTGTGAAAGTTGATACGGGTGAAATTGGAGATATAGGTGAGACTGACGAAGTGGGGGAGACAGGTGAAATGGGGGAAACAGGGGAAACAGTTGATTTAGTCGAAGGTGTGAAAGGAGTGGAAAGAGTAGAAAGAACGGAAATGTTATCGGTTGATTTCAAACTTGGAGTAGTTATTGAAGATTGAGTGATACGAGTAGAAACACCGAATAAACTAAATGTGTAAGCTTTCAACTCTGGACTTTAAAGTTCGATTCTCGGTACGTGGTACGGGTACGAAGACAAGTATCATGTGTATCATACCATACGACTTTTGTTCATTTACCCCACAATGGTCTTGTGAGCCACATCATATCCACTCGTTTCAAACCTCATCTCTGGATAGTATGTCACACTTCTTTAGGCATACACTCGTCTCCCTATTATTGTTCATTTTTCCCGCCTCCAAAGTCTCCTTCACCCAGAGCAGTAGCAGGACATATGACAGTTTCGAAATAACGATAGAAGTTTGAAGTTGGGAATACGGGAATAAGAATGAAAGTAACCACTCACCCAAGTCCTACATTCTCTTGTGATTGTGACATTTTAGACATTTTTTCCAACGGTCGATTCCAAAATGACTTTGTGATGATGTGAATTGGTACAAGTAGAGAAAGAAATCGGTTGTATATACCTATACCTATACCTAACCTATGAAAGAAGGGATCTATGACCTATGGGTTGAAAACGATGGGTGGCGATGCGTCGTCGACGATACGCGGACGACGCGATACGCGACAAGAAAGATGAGAAATCTTTGAAAGAAGGAAATCTACACGAGTATATCGGTTTCGATGAATCATGACGGATTCAATGAAAACATTATTACTTGAATAAGAGATTTATTGATGTTTGTCCAAGAACGGAAGGACGGAAAGGAGATGACGCGTGAGGATGATGATGTTTTGGATTTTTGGTCAAGATCTCAGTAAAAACTCAAGGACCATGTAACGTAGATCACAGATCATATCAATATGTCAAGAATATGGGATATGGGATATAGAGCATGTAGGGTGTGGAGTATAACGAACTTGTTGTTGTTGCTATGTAAAGTGAGAAAAATGTTGAAAAGAAGTAAAAATCACGAAACAAAGACAGGTGTGACCTAAGAGTACGACGCGCACGGTGCATACATCGATCTATACCACATTTTCTTTTCATAATTTATTATGCACCGACAAAACTATTAACACAACATGTATTAAGAATGAACAATCTTTCTTATTGTCATTTTCAAAGCAGGCAAGCAACGGCAACGCAAACGTTTACTCTCAACCACAAGGACTCAATCGCCATCTAGGCTTTAGATCTTAAGATACTCTTTGTTTCTCACCTCGGACTAGGAGGTGAAACTCAGGTATCCCCTCTTCTCCGTCTCCTTCCTTCTTCTTCCCATCTATCAGGTTCCTGCTTTACCCTCTCCCTCTCCCTCTCCCTATCATCATCTTCATCCATCATCACATCACCCATCTCACCTTCATCCCCTTCTCGCCACTCGGATCCAGAACCAGACCCGAACCCCGTCCCCGTCTGTCCACCACCTCCCGCCCCGCCGACATGTCCCGAAGCTGCGGTCGGACGGATCCCGGCTTGGCGCAGCAGACCTTCGAGATGTGAAATGTGGGAAACAGCTTTCCGCAGGATGATCGCTTTACTATCGCTTGGTATAGCCGTAGGAAGGGCCAATCGGAGAGATTGAAAACCGACATTTATGGATCTACAGGTGCGTCAGTGCGACATTTACGATTTGGTCACGAGATGAAGATCAGACATTGAGCGAATTGGGACAAATCATCAGATTGCTGCGTGGTTTAGGGAATATCTCATGTTGCTTGAGATGACAAAAAATCGGAATGGTGAAAGGATGATCACAACTCACTCTCGTCGTTTTTGTTCCGACATCAAATGCGCCAACCTTCTCGATTGACCAGGCTGTCCTACTCCAGACGTGTTCGGAATCAACAATCCCTCCTGTCCGCCCATTATGCCCATTCCCATCTCCTCTCCTCCCATACCCATCAAATGTCTTGGTGGGGCAGTCACCGAATGACTCCTCGGTCGATGTTGCATCTGTTGTTGCGCATGAGTGTGAGGATGTAGACCGCTGGGATTAGGACCATATCGATATTCTTTCTCTGGCGAGTAGACGTGCGGGTCATGGATTGCTCGGAGAGGAGGAGAGAGGTCTTCTGAACGCAAGGTGGGGTAATCGTACATCCTATCTCTTTCTCTTTCTCTTTCTCTTTCTCTTTCTCTTTCTCTTTCTCTTTCTCTTTCTCTTTCTCTTTCTCTTTCCCTTTCCCTTTCCCTTTCCCTTTCCCTCGGACGCTCTCTTTCATCTCTCGGATCCGATATTGGCCTTTGCTCTCGTTCCCATTCTCTCCCATGAGGTGGGTAACGATGTGAGGACTGGGAAGATGGACGAGGGTCGTAATACGATGGACGTATAGGGTGTGCTGCAGGACTGACAGATCTCGGTGACTCGACTCTGGGTGGCGGCATGGAGCTGGAGCTGGTGGGAGCAATGGTAGAAGTGGCGTGACTTGGAGATGAGGTGGTGCTAGACATGGAGTGGACGGATGGGAGTTGAGAATGACTTCTTGATTGGGTTTGAGAATGATAGCTTCCACCACTGGTAGCTCGATGGATATGAGGTGGATGACTGAAGGAATCCGAAGTATGAGGTCTCCATGATGATTCTGGCGATGCGAGACCGAGAGAAGAGAGTGGTGGTATATCCCGATCTGGGTCGCGTTCCCTCTCCCGTGCGCTGGCTGGTCTGATGGGACTGGGAGAGATGGCAGAGTGAGAGTCGAGCTTGAGCTTGAGCGGGGCAGAAGAATGGGGAGGAGGAAGTTGGATTCTCGGAATGTCCGGTTGTGGATAGACCATGGATGAAGACTGTCGCTGATATGGGTGAGGACGGTAGGACGAGAGGGAGAGTGACGGTGGCGAGCGTGTTGAATTGGAAGGGAGATGTGGATTCATTCGTGGTATAGGAACGGAAGTGGTCATGACAGGTGATGAGGAGAGAGAGTGGGAGTGATGAAGGTGACGGTCAACTTGATGTTGGTCTTGATGATGGGGTTGAGTGGGGTCAAGTGGACTTTGGCCCTGATCTTGAGGAGGGGTTGTCATTCCACCCTGTCGAGTCCTTTTAAGCCCCCAGCGATACTTGAGGGGCCCTTGAGACAGTCAAGCCAGCCCTCTTGTCCGTTTTTTTGTCTCTGGCAGATGCGACGCCCAAGGTGAGGCCACGACGTGTGAGCTGTGTGGGTCGAGTGGGTGTTGGTGTGGCTGAGAGATCGGTCAGCCTTCGGGAGAAGGATCAGGTGTCGACTCTCTGCGGCTTCTTGTGAGTTTGAATTTATGCGAAAGTTTAGTGATTACTTGACTTCTTCGCCTCTTCAGAGGGCGCACGGCAACCCAAAAGCCGAAAAGGCCGGGAACGAAGCGACGGAAGGGGGTGTTGGGCGGTATGCGGAAGATGAATCTTTCTGGGCGCTTGGCGTCTGTTTTCCTGTCGAAATTCCAAGAGAGCAAAGAGAGAAAGACGAATGGTATGACTCGATGGCTTTGGAATGAATGCGACTGTCGGTCTTGACTTGAGTGGAATGATGGACTGATGGACTGATGTAGAAAGATTTGTACGACTCCCCTCTTTTTGGACCACACCTCTCACGCGCCCTCGACACGGCCAAACGGTGTGTTCGGATCAACAAAGGTAGACAGACAGATAAAAGCTGTAAGCGGGATGATGATTGAGTGGGTGAACACGCAGCACGGGTCGGATCAAACCAAGTTGGGTAGTACGGGTCCGAAGAAGACAAACACCCCCGCCCGGTTGTCAGAATATCCTTGTCTTCGACGCCTCCACGCCTCGACGCCTTTGAGGAAAGAATCACACGAGAATCAGCGCAGCGTGTGATGACGTACAAACAGGAACCAGACAAAGGGTCTTTGATCTGTCCTTGTGTCGGTCAGCCGGCGGCAAGAAAGAGGCGTGTAGTGTGGGCGGTAGGAGATGAACGAGGTGGTTGTATTCCAAATGGTTCAACGGCTAACGGCTAACGGTACACGAGCCGGGGACGACGTTCGATGAGGGATTATACTTTGAAGATCGACTTCGACGCCTGACGTGTCGGTTACGCCTGAGTATGAAACGTGTGAAGAGCTGGCGACTGTCCGGTTGCTGACAATGCGGATGAACGATGCGATGAAGACACCAGGTGGCTGCAGGTGGTGGAGGATGGGATGATTTTAATCTATCGAAGAAACCGGTCCGTTCGAGCTCGCCCGCTTCTCGGCAGAGTGAGAATTCGGATTTCCTCGAATCTTACAGTAGGGTGGATGTGAGTCCTTATGACGTCTGAAGTCGTTGTCTTATGCGTCACGATCGACGAGTTGTTGGAAAACTTGTTGTTGGTGTTCTTTGCTCGTGGTCGTGCTTTTTGATCAGAACTCGTGGCCTGTAGTGGCAAAAGGGAACACACCTGACACCTGTTTCAGAAAGAAATTGGGAATCCTTGAGGGATGCAGGTATGTGAGACGGGTGTGCAGGGATCAAGACGATCACATGAACCAAACACCTGCTAGCTGCTAGTTGCTTGCTGCTGACTACTGGCCCACTCTTGGTCCAAAGCACCGGTCGTAATGGGGGTACGTTTTCAAGCGTCGTAATGAATTGATATGCCGAAAGATGGGTAAAGAGCAGGAAGATCACTGTTCTTCTTTGAAGATGTGTTTGTTTCCTTGCTTCTCTCTGATACACTATCCTTACCGTCTCTGTATCCCGCCGAGATGGAAAGATCGAACCTCGAACAAGCAAAAAGTGAGGCTGATGGCGAGACTGACCGTTCGTATCGGGCTTGACCGCGGGCCGATCGTCGGAGAGTGCGACGACACCCCCGTCAAAGGGGGAGAGACGAATGATGACGACAAAGGTCGATCAAATCAGCTGATTGACGCTAGTGCCGTACCCCACTTGTACCGCTTTGATCGCCGTCTCTAGCGAGTCTTCCCCTCTTAGCCCCCGTGGTCAGTGGGCGTGTATCCAAAAAATATGTAAATGTCCTTTGCGACCGTCAAAGCCGACGCAGTCTCTTTCTTTCAATCTCGCCGCGTGTTCTGATGGTGGCGCTCGATCCCAAGAGCCAAATTAAGGGGACCAAGATGGTGTGTGGTTGATGTCTTTTCTTCCGATTTGAGAGATCAAACGACAGATGCTTTGAGAACCAAAGTTATGGTCCAACTTTTTGTTGCTGTGGCGTCGTAATTTCGGGGTCACGGGGTTGAGTGCCGTGATGCGACAATTCAGGATCTGAGAGCATGAGCAACGGTCCCTCGTCGTCGTCGTCGTCAGATCAGCCTCGTGTTCAAACTAATCTGATCGGGTATACTTTGGTTCGGAAGGGTGGATGAGGACTCACTTCCTCTTCGGTCTTTATATGGTTTTGACCATGCGTATGGTTTACCTCACTTCACCTTGAGCAATTTCGTCAGATTGATTGAAAATCCTGATATCGTCAGCTGAACAGCAGCTGAACAGGTAGTATTTGGGAGGGGAGAAAGTCTGCATAACGAGAGGAGATGAGGAATAGTATAGTCACCTCGATGATACCACTATTCCGTAATGACATATGACATGAGATCATATGATCATATGGCTTTTGATCCACTTTTGATTGTCCCTTTCTAGCCTAATTCCTTATCCTTGGCGACTTAGCGTCAACTTTCAAAACTTGTAATCATATATATCTCTCGTCTTGTTTTGTATCGTCGACGACGTTGCACACGTTGTACCCCATGCACCTTATCACCTTGACGACCGTTCCGACCTGAAGATAGCTTGTGTCCCGCTCTTTCTCTGCTTCTACGCTTATGATATATCGAAACCTGATTTCACCGACGCACTTTTGGATAGAAAAAAAAAAGTTGACCAGAAAAAATGTTACCATCAATACAGGGTCTATACGTGTCGGATTCTCGGAATATAAAAGGTCCGAAATAATGACGTCCACATCTGACACATTACCCAGTTACCCGTTTTTGAAACCCGACTGGCGTTTGATCTACTCCAACGGCGAACAGACTGATAGCAGGTACATAGACAGGTACGAGTGGTGTTTCCAGGTGGAGAAAGAAGGCAAGGGGTATTTCTCGTTTTCAAAACGCCATTCCAAGCCAAGTTCCGGTTGAGCGTCACGCGTTACTTGTATCAGAAGACGGGAGGAGAGGAAAAGAAGAAAGAAGGAACGTATAGAGAAAACAAGAGGCGTAGAAGGACCTTAAACCGCCGTTCTCTATGGGTGGTGGCTTGAAATTCAGACGTTGGGACACTCGGATCTCGGGACTTGGGATTCGTGACTTGGCGACATACCGTATGTTACATTTCCTTTTTTTTGGAATACCCTGACATCATTCCAAGCCGCAGGCCGCAGCATGTAAAAAAACATATCGGTAGAATGGCAAAAGAAGGGGAAAAAAGAGGGAGAATCTCCAAGTGGCCGTCGGTGGCTATCGTGGCGCTTCCTTCCCAATTTCTCTTCCCTTTTCACCCTTATCCTATCAACATGCGTATACGTCCTACTCCCCGACTTCCCTCCTTTTTCGCTTAGAAGCTGGATCCATGAAATCATTGACTTCATTAGAGATAATGGAATTATGGAGCTGTAAACTAAAGAATAAAGTGACGTACCATTTCAAACAAATTTCCTTCTTAATCTAGAATTCATATTCCGTGGGGGGTTACTTCTCTCAAAACCGCTCTACCCCCGCCGTACGCCGTAAAACCCTGATCTAAGAAAACTAAAAATTTCCGATCCGCAATCCAAGAGTTCCAGACGAGTTCCATAGTCTCGATCGAACTTGATCATGTGATCTCCGTCGGCTTCATTCAATCGGGCTCTATGGAGCTAGCAACGCTAGCCCTTAGACTCGGTTTGCCCGTAGCCCGTAGGCTGGTAAGTTTAACCCAGACCGATCTTATTTAAATTCTCTTAGACTCATATCGTGCATGAACACGTTTCCCGAACGTTCCGAAGGGTGCTAAGTAGCTACTTTGTACTCACTTTATCTTTCGGCGATCGACGCTTTCTTTCAGGTCTAAAAATCCTCCATCGAATGAACACAGTTGCGTACGTCTTCACCCTTCCATGTGATCACCGATCACACACCGAGTGAGTGTGGAGTAACTAACGGCGTGAACCCCGCTCGAAAACGAGTTCATGTAGTTCTCAGCATGCAGGGGTGGTGGTGCCGCGCACCGCGGTGACTTACTCGTACTCTGTACCTTGGGGATATCTGCCAAGTCGAGCTTGGTGGCATGTGGAGAAGTAGCCCAATCTATCGCGGAATATTTCCCACATGCGACATACAACATGCAACATGCAACAGCGTCATCCTTCAATGACAGCTAATCATGATCCTTATCTGATCACTCCGGAAATTCAAATAACCCCACTGATACGCCGTTCCCAGAAAATATACCCGGCAGAGTCACATGGTTCCCCTCACGCTGCGCGCTACGCTCAACTCCAAGGCAGGCGATTGTTTAGAGATAGTCGTGTGTCAGAGCATATCCGATTCGGACGAGCTAAATAAGTCTTTACATGTAGAGCGCAAAAATGCACAACATGGTATCTAAATAGATGCAAGGTATGATACGCGCGGAGGGAATATGCGGTCCTTGAATACAGCTGATCAGGGATGTCGTATGTTCATATCAAACTTGCAAGGAATGACCATTCTCCTCTCCCTTCTCCCTCTATGCCTTCTTCTCTGCCGCTTGGTACAACTCCTTGTATTGACCAGACTGTTCGCATAGGTATTTGAACAATGAATCGCTTTTACGCAGCAGTTCCTATCCGTCAGCCCATGACCAGCGTCACGTCCCGCCTCAGGTGAAAGCGGCCTCGTCAAGTTCCATGGAACCAGAACCGTGGAAATATATCCACCGCATGAGTGACTTGCCGTAAGACGAACTCACTATCGGGCGAGCAAACTCCTCAACTTTCCCTCCCGACAAGATCAACACACGGTCATAATCAATAACAGTCGACAGCCGATGAGCGATCGTAAGCAAAGTGGAATCTTTGAACTCTGTTCGGATGGCAGCTTGGATTGCCTCATCTGTTTCAAAGTCGACAGAAGCCGTAGCTTCGTCCATGATCTACGTATGAGCCGTCACTCTTTTACCGTGAAATGCGATACCATTAAAAGAAGAAAGGATGGAACTCACAATCAAGCTAGACCTCCTCAGCAACGCTCTTGCCATGGCTATCAATTGTCTCTGTCCTTGACTGAAATTACTTCCTCCCGACGACACTTCCATGCCTAGGGTGATCCCCGCCTTTCCTCCTGTCCCAGTCACACTGGATCCCGCTCTCGACGACGTCCTATGCAAATCATCACCTTCACTACCATCTACAACCAACTCATTTAATCGTCGAGCCGATGGCTTCCTACTTGGCGCTGCCGATTCGATAGGGGTACTCGGACCTCCCACGTTCACTCTTCTCAACGCATCTTGTAATTCCTCGTCCGTATGTTCATTGAACGGATCCAAATTGTCCCTCACTGTACCTGAGAATAGGACAGCGTCCTGAGGGATATAAGTGATCCTTGAGCGCAAGTCATCAACTCCGATACTGGTGATATCGATACCGTCCAGGATGATCCGACCGGAATGAGGTTCGGTAAATCGGAGCATGCTCATAGCCAGTGTACTCTTTCCGCTGCCAGTTCGACCAATGAGACCAATCTTTTCGCCAGCAGCGATAGTGAAGCTTCCTTTGAATACAGTGGGCAGATCTGGTGCGTATTTGATCTCAACATCTTCAGCGACCAGGAAGTTCTTGCCGCTATCGGATGAAGGCCAGTACGCGGGAGGACGATGAGAGGGAATGACGGAAGGAGGTTCCTGTGGAAGATGAAGATATTCTTGCACACGTTCGACGGAGTTGAAGTCCATCTCCAGCTGCCCCCAGAATCGAGAGACCCAATAGCAGGCGGAGACGAATCCTTGAGCGGAGAGAATTGCCATACCTGCTGAACCGGCCGGGACCGCACCGGACAAGGCAAATAGGGTAGTAAAGAAGACTGATAAAGCGCCGAGGAGATCAAAGCGGAGTAGCAGCTGCCCATCAGCTCGAACCTCGACCCGCTTCAATTTTCATCGATCAGAGATTCATTGGCGCCAACAACTTGATGGCTAGGTTTACAGGACAAAGGGAAGCTGAACAAATGCTCACCCATCTATTCACCATCCACACATAGTAGAAGGCCGCGTTGGTTTCATCCACTTGCTGACAGAGAGTCTTCATGAATCGCCTTTCGACCGAGAATGCTCGGACGGACACCACACCGTCAAGAAGTTCCGCAAAACCAGAGCTGATGGTCAGCATCAATTAGCGTTGACTTGGAATACGCACAAGATGGGAGAGCGAGACTGTGGCGTTAGCACTGGAGCATATAGATGCATTAGAAAGACTTACAGTCGCCTCGAGTCTCCTCAAGCTTCTACCCACTCGCAACTGAATCGTCAGTGAGAACCGTTGAGCAGGCAAATGTGCTCACATATTGTACCGCATAATGCCAATACAAATAGCTGATGACAGCAGCCGGCAACAGGAACCACGGGACAATCACAGCTACCACTCCCTGTCTCCATCAACCCGGAACAACTAGCATGAGCAAGACTCAACTCACGATAGCTCCAAACAAGCTGGCTATGTAGATGATGACCGTTCTCAATCCAGAATTGAGAGATGAATCGATGGTTTCAATATCTGGCCGTCAGTGCATCACCGCACAGAAACGCGAAATGGTGTGAAAGACGTACCCTTGGAGAACCTATTGACGATACGCCCGACTGGAGTGGTAGTGAAAAAACGAATGGTGCCACGAAGCACAGAGTCAAGAAGACGATTATGCAGGTTCCTGAACGTTAAGCGTGTTTCATTCTCCCTCCCCATCAGACTCACTTGGCAGCACGATACGACGACCAAGCTCCCACTCCTGAAGACACGACATTGATCAGAGCATCTCCCAATACTGACGTGTCAGCTATATCCGCTGCATCCACATGGAAACTTACCGATTGCGGCATATATAGTGAGGTAGAAGCTTGGGTGAGTGACGGCCGATGGTCTGATTGTGTCAGCTCAGAACCGCCAGACGTTTTAAATAAGCTCACAATTTGACACCCGGGATGGAGGCCAGCACGCTGACTGTGTCATTGGAAGAGGGAAGCACGGAGTGATGAAGAAAGTGTTGATGAATGTCGGAATGGTGATACTCCGGGGTGGTATGAATCGACCAAGGTCTCAACACTCCGACAACACTTTTGAAAGATGTGGTATACGCTGCAAGTCAGATGCTTGTCAAAGTAATCAGGCAAGTCCCGGCCAACTGACCTTCACCCCAGACTTTGAGCCAGAACCTTTCTCCAATCTCGGTGAACTGACTGATGACTTTCGAGTCAGCACGTACATCGACCTCTCAGTCTACAACTCACAGAGCAAGACCGCTATCCAAAACCAGGTATGATACGTTGCTGCTGTAATGTAAAGCTTGTACGTCTCCCATTTGACATTCCCTATAGCCCTTTCTTCGTCTGCACATCAGCTCCTGCTCGACTTACGGCTGGTCACATGATACATCGCAACAGGCTCCCCTGGTCGCCGTCGAACACGATAGGATTTGAGAGACCGGGACGGCTGAGCTCACCTTGTACCAACTTCTTTCCCGGACCTTTGGTTTTCACCGCCTTCCTCGGTTCATCACCTTCGACGACCTCGATCTCCTTCTCGACGGTCTCGTCGGTAGTGACGGGTTCTTCTTTGGTGGCTTCCGCTTGCTCTAAGGCAATGAGACCATTGAGGTCCCCCGCGGCTTTGAGGTCTGCAGGAGTACCCTGGACGTCGATACGTCCGTCAAGCATACGGATAATGTAGTCGGCAGTGGGCAAAAGAAGCTCCACATGGTGAGATACAATGATCTAGGGATTCAGCCAAATTGAACATCCGAATGGAGAAGAATGACACTTACGACGGTTCGACCTTTGAGCAGAGGTCCGCTGAGGCACTTGTCTGTGAGGTGACGAGCGGTGTGAGAGTCGACAGCTGCGAGAGGATCGTCGATGAGGAGATGTTGGGTGTACGAGTATACTGCACGAGCGAGCGCCACTCTGGCCTTCTGCCCTCCACTATGAAAGTCAACTTTGAACCCTCACGGTGAATTTGTTCGGACAACATGTCCAAGGGGCAATAGAGTTACGACTGACCTTAATGAAACACCCTTGGCTCCGATCTCAGTCGCGTCGCCATCCTCTAATACCTCCAAGTCAGGCAATCTAGCAATTAGCAACCAGCTCAAACGCCCACATTCGACCGAAGGAAGAATCATCACCGGTCTACAGGCCAGAAACATCTGTTCATGCGAAGGCGGACGTGGAATGAGAGAGAGAGTAGCAATGATAGGACGAAGACAAGACCACTGACAGAGCGCAAGCATCAAGAGTCGCCTCGTATCTCACCTGATCAAGTTCTTCTCCAAACAAGATGTTATCTTTTATCGATTTCTGCTGCAACCATGGTGTCTGAGCCGCGTACGCCACAGAGTTTCTCAGCCCCGTTTTCGAGTCTACTTGCGTAGGATATTTCGGTAACCAGCTCCTCCCCTCCGCCAACTCCATTTCTCCCAAAAGGCCAATAAGCACAGCTGTTTTACCAGAACCTGTAGGACCAGTAACGATTGTCAACTTACCAATGGGGAAGTCCACGTTCAAATCGGCCAAGGTAAACACAGGCTCGGGAGCATCTGGGGAGACGGCAGTTGTCCCATCCGAGATGGAAGGACTGGGAGGTTGAGCAGGGGAAGTCTGTGCGACCGTAGGCTTTGGAGGTCCGACTGGAGCTTCGGAAGATGAGACGCCACTGTTCCAACGAAGCGTAGCGTTCTCAAATCCGATCTTGGGTGGAAGAGAATGACCATCGTCTTTGCGCTTGATTGAAGAGACCCAGTCAGGAACTTTGTGTCAGCGTTGTTCCAGGTATCAGTGGACATGGCCTACCTTCATCCTCTTGGAGAAAGTCGTCAATACGTTTGACTGAAACCATGGCGTTGAGGATCATGACGATCTGAGCTCTTGAGCTTATCTTCAAGTTTGATCAGCAGAGACTCACAAAAGTTGGTAAGATATTCAGAGGCATTCGCAACATAGTAAACAAGGACACGGAAGTGAACGCAACTGACACAGTGAGTTCTCTTTTCTCAATGACGATGTAACTTCGAAGCATTAGCCTATGACCACGTCGAGTAACAAAAGACTGACCAGAAGAATGAGAGCAAGGTCACGAGAATGGGAACCAGAGACCAAAGCAGGGAAAAGATGACGCTGTTTATCGAAGCTGCAAGATCAGTCCATGCCATGGTACGAAGATGACGATAACTCACATCGGATCAGCTGCTTGAGCTCTTTGTTACGAGCATCCGCTGCTCTGCCTTTCCACTGTTCAGTCCAGGCAAAGAACTGCGTACATATCAGCCAAAAAAGGTGACTACGAGGATATGTTTTAGAGACATGACGATACTCACCTTGATGAACTGGATAGCGCCGATGAGTTCATTCATCACCGTTATCCTCTTATCCCGAGCTTTGAGTAAGTCTTTAGTGATAGCGATGCTGCGTTTCGAAACAAGTGTGTTGAGTGGAGCTGCGATGGCTAAGACGATAATACCAGCAAATGCCGACCAGCCCAGCAGGCTTAATGTGTCAGCATGTCATCTTCTACGTGCTTGAAAAGCTCTATGGACATGCAAACTCACTTGAAGAGGAAGCTGGCGGCAATGATAATCTCAAAGGGGTTACTGTAAAGCCAGTATGCTCCAGAGACCATGTTGGCAATCCTATAATGTTGTTAGTATCAAACTGGTCAGAATTATGATGACGACTCACCGATTAGCATCACCCGCCATGAGATTGACAACCTTGCCTGACTCGGCATTACTCTTCTTCGTCTCAGGCTTCTTATCTCCCGGCGCACCCGCACTTGGCCCTGCCGCGTCATCTTCATCTTTGGCACTGATCACGCCAGAGGCATCTCGACGTTTGAGGGCTTTATCATAAATAGCCGCCTAGACTGTCAGCGTATACGAGTGATTGCAACAAAAACATACAATGAGTTCCGCTTTGATGCGTGTTGTGGCACGGCGAGAATGCCACAAGTGAAGTAGATCGGACACAGCCTACAATGTCAGTCGATGGTAAGTAACATAATGAGGGTATGCATGCATACCTTGAGAACAGTGGCCATGAGCGCAAGGAATGTGTAGACATAAGCTTGTGGCAGAGCTCTGGTGGCACCCTGAGGCAATCCGTCTCTTTGTGCGTCAGCTTTTGGTTCATGTTATACAATCAAACTTACAGGATACGTTTGAGAAAGAATGGAGCTGCATAGTTCATCACGACACTGACAATGGTCAAGAGACAGTCGACTGCCATGTCGAGTTTGTTCGCTTTTAGAACCTGCCACAAGAGGGAGCTCGCTTTGATCTCTCTGAACCGTTCGAAACAGATGGCGGTTTGAATTCGGAGTGATAGCTTTGGAACGTCCTCAGGTTGAAGCTCGCGAGAGGAGCCAAGCGCTATGAATGAATTGACCCATCTGAAGGAAAGCCATGAAGAAAGAGTGACAAGATCGTCTGGCGCAGAGTATGGCTATTACTTAGCACATCTTTCCATGCCTCTTACCTTCGTATGGCACAATGTAGAAAGCAAGGACAACCAGATGTTGATCAAAGGAAAGTGTAGACGTACCAAAAGGGCAATTGCTTCTGGTGTAGCAAGACGAAGACCTCCTACGACGTACACCAAGACGGAAGTGAGTAAAAGGTTTCCAACTTCCAAGATGATCCTCCCCTTCGTAGCCCATGGAGCGGAGTGACCAGTCAAAGCTTTGGTATACCAAGCGAGACAAAGGGTCACGATAGACATGGTCCATAGTAAAGCATAAGTCGTCAATAAAGGCCATGGTGGGGTTGTTGGCGGTCGGAATAACGGTCTCGCAAACAGATACATCTTCATGATCAGTTTCTTCCCAACTCTCATATGTCGAGCATTATAAGCTTCTGTAGACTCACCCAAACGACGACCATTCCAATAGCAAGTACTAAAGTCTCCGCACGAGCCTCTCCTTGTGTCACATCGAGGATATCCTTGCCCAACACCCCAGTCCATACGCTCATCCCTATCGCTGCCAGTCCAACCAGAACCATTTGTCTCCATAGTGACCATCTTGATTTTTCCAGTTCTTCCTTTTGCTTAGGTGTAGGAGGATCGGGAGGTATGAGCGATTCAAGAGGGACGATATCGGCCGACCATTTTTTGATCGGCCGGGTGATGGGGGAGAGGAATGGAAGCGCCACGATGTGAGGAATGAGGATGATTAGAAGTGAAATGATGGTACGTATCCGAGCCACGAGGACATCGGAGAGATCGAGAAGGTCCTGTTGATATCAGAGAGATTTCTGCAGGAGGGGAAAGGACTCACCATGGTGCCCCACTGATGCAGATGTGCAAGAGGTGGGAGAGAATTATCGAATAAAGTATCAAGTGATATGACAATCTAACCCCTCAGAGATATCCAGAATGACTGTGGGAGTGTTCTGCGATCTGTGAGAATATCAGAGGTGTCTTCGATAATCAGAGAGGAGAAAACGAAGGTGAGAAGGCAAGGAATGGTCATCCAACGCTTGAGGACTTTTCAAAATCTCAGAATCCTCTTAACCTTAGCGCTAGCCGGGGGCACACGCGTCAGTCGATCACCGAGCTAAATAGGCTTGCTCCTTCGTCGATTCCTTCGATTGCACGCCTACAAAGATTCTTTTTCCCGCAAAGTTCCACTTTATCGCCAATGATCACTTCATCTTGGGGACTGACCAGAGTTAAGCAAGTCACAATCACCATGGCGGGTCCCAACAGTGAGCTTGTCTCTTGATAAATCAGCATCAAATTCTCTACCCGTACATTGAGATCATAGTGAATGGGGGAGAAGACCGGATCTCAGGAGTCGCATGCCTTCGAATGACGCAAAGAGAAAGATGTACACTTACACTGTCAGTGGAAGTCTTCAAGTTCGGTGTCTACCTTTTCTTTCCCATATGGGTCATGTATAAATTCGGTGATCCAGAATGGTACGTCTATTCTACAACTAACCCTTAACACATATAATGAACGACATGGTCCCCTGGGGGCCCTGGACATTGTTGCCTCGTGTCTGGTGTCCTACCATTGCCATTTTGCCGCTCTACTCTGTATCATGCAGGAGCATAGACTGATAGATAGGTACGAAACCTACGTCAGACCTGTAAGCTTTTCCTCACTCTCGTTCGTCTCACTGACAGACATAGTACAGAGATATAGTATGGCCTCCGTACGAATCGACCTTTGTTAGTGATACTTCTTAATACGCAAACGAGGCTGATGGTAGAAACCGCCCAAAACCAGTCCGGAGCTGCACAAAGAGCTAGAGAGGTTGAAAGCGGAGAGATTAGCCAGGAGGCAGGGCACATCCACTCAGCCCTCTTCCTTAGCTTCATTAACCACTCTTCCAACCCCCACCCCCGCCTCATCAGATCTGGATACTCCGCCTGGGACCGAGGAGGTACGGAGACGACAATCGGGGCCATGGGATTGGGCAGCAGAATCTGATCATCGATTAGTGTGATATTGCAGTGTAGAGCATAAGGCGGACAGATGATATATCTTGTGACAATCGGACATTTCTCAATCGTGATATATATATGTACGAGCCAGTGCATGCCAAGAGATCTACGAGTCACTAGCTAGACAAGGCCAACTAACGCCTCAAACGTCCACTTCTCACGACCTGCAACTTCCAATGCTTGATTGTTTGTTTGTTTGGATTGCCATGCAGATTCGAAAGTTTTGTAGATCGGGAAGACGAAATCGTTGACCGAGCCGGGAAAAGGAAAGAGACGAGCACGATGAGAATAGAGCGACACGACCGCCACAGAGGCGTTTAGGGCGGCGGCCGCGACGACGAGAAGACCAGGAGTAGGATGGACACATGACGGCAGGAAAAAGTGACGAGATGGCGGTCGGGGGGACAGAGAGAGACCGCTGGTGGATGAAGATTTGATGTGAGGGGAAGAAGGTGGTGATATTAAATCGATACTCCCGATGATGATTTAACAAGAGTGGCTTAGATGAGGTCGGCGACGTTCATGGGCATCTCATCGACGTGTGTGTTGCTGCGAGATCAGTATACGCCGGTACCAGGAGCAAAAATAAGACCCACTAGAATTGCTCAATCTCACGGAGCATCTTGAGGTCGTCGGTCGTGACAAAGTTGATAGCGACACTATAGGATTAGTTGAGGTTTGAACGAAGAGAGAGAACTAACCCTTTTCGGCCGAAACGACCACCACGACCGATGCGGTGGATGTAGTTTTCTTTAGAGGCGGGCAAGTCGTACTGGTGGGTTAGCAGATAGTATGTCGTCTAAACATGTGCACTTACGTTGATGACGAGGGACACCTGCTGAACATCGATACCACGGGCCAGAAGGTCAGTGGCGATGAGTACACGAGATGAACCTGAACGGAACTCTTTCATGATGACCTCACGTTGCGCCTGGTCCATCTCACCGTGCATAGCAGAGACGGTGAACTCGCGCTCGTGTAACTTCTGAGTGAGCCAGTCGACCTTGCGACGGGTCGAGCAGAAGATGACGGCTTGAGTGATAGTGACGGTTTCGTACAGGTCGCAAAGTGTGTCGAGCTTCCATTCTTCCTTGTCGACGGCGATGTCTGAAAGCTGTCAGCATTGGGAACAAGATATATGGCGGTTGACCCACAGAATTGCCTGATACCTTCAAGAGTAAGCTGATCCTGCTTGACAAGGATTCTGATGGGGTCTCTCATGAACTTCTTAGTCACCTCGAGGACATCTGTGGGCATGGTAGCAGACAAAAGCACAACCTGGGTATCGGCGGGGAGGAGTTGGAAAATGTCGTAGATGGAGTCCTTGAAACCGGTTGAGAGCATCTCATCGGCTTCGTCGAGACAGAACATCTTGACACCGTCGGTACGAAGGGCACCACGGTTAATCATATCGAAAACACGACCGGGGGTACCGACGACTACGTGAGGGCCTTCGTTGAGCTTGGCCATGTCCTCACGGACTGCAGTACCACCGACACAAGCGTGACATTCGACATTGAGATAGTCGCCAAGAGCAATGACAACTTTTTGAATCTGCTGAGCCAGTTCACGAGTGGGCGCAAGAATGAGAGCTTGAGTCTTCTTGACCGTAGTGTCGATCTGCACGTGTCAGTTCGAAACGAAACTAAGAAAAATAGTACATACCCTTTGCAGAATGGAGATGGAGAAAGTTGCCGTTTTACCAGTACCAGATTGAGCCTGAGCGATACAGTCACGTCCAGTGATGATAGGCATGATAGCACGTTGCTGAATGGCGGAAGGACGCTCGAAACCGTAGGCGTACACGCCTCGGAGGAGCTCTGCCTTGAGGTCCATGTTGTCAAAGCTGTTTTCGTTCAATTCTGCACAGAGCGAAGCGTTGTGAGATATTCACCTGTCAGTGATCTGATCCCAGTTGGACTCGATCAGCTCGGCGCTGAGCTCGAGCCCATTTTCGTTGCTATCGCGTCAGCATGTAGTCGAAAACCAAAAATCGAGAAGAACAATGGAAGAGCGACATCTTTCCTTCCATCCTTCACATTGCCACCCTTGATCAAATCCCCATATCAGAGATCAGAGAGACATACGTGGCCGATCTCCCGAGATGTGCACGTCCACACTGCATAATCGACATGGAGATGATATGGTATAACATGACCCCTGCCAACCCCTTTGGCCACCTTGCACGATCGCCACCACTCAGGATACCTGACAGGGATATCAAGACCACTCACTCTGCCATGATTTTTGTTGTGTTTTTATGAACGCTCTCTTCTCTATGAGAGGAGCGAACGAGTGTGTGATTTTAAGAATGAAACTTTTGAATGGGTTTTATGGGGAGAAGAAGGGACAAAAGTGGTTGCTGCAAATTCTTTCAGTGCCGCGAAAAAAGCGATCGGGATTACAATTAACGCCGCGGCGAGGCACCCGATCCGGCCTCACCCAATTCCACTTCTCTCTTTCAGGCAGCTCGCAGATCGCAGATGAATGCCTGGCCATCCGTTACTCCCAAACAACTCCTATCAGCCGAATTCTATACGGGCCATATACTTGCATAATCTGTCTTCCCTCTTTCACGCATGTCTAGTACGAGGGGATCTCGATCGCGCTCGTCGGGCCTGGTCCATCCTGGTATGTTTCGTTTTGCATTCATTTCGTCTGGGTTAATGAGTAGGTTCAATGTCGAGAAGTCGATTGGAAAACAAGATCGTATTGGGGATTAGAAGTCCTGCAGGCTGTACCTTCTATCCCCATCCGGCAGTCTCAATTTACAGATGACAATCGTGAAGCTGAAAGGTGGTTGAGGACATTGCAACTCTCGGCCAAAGATCATGACGTGTGTCCTTCATCATATTAGGTTGTTATTGCACATGTCTGACGATCAGAAACCTCAATTACTACTTGCTTTAGTCCTTCATCTCATCAAACATGATCGACATCGTCAAGCTTTGGATGAGCTTGAACTTTACCTACCTTCTCCTCCTTATGACGATGTGTCAACACTTCACACCTATGCTGGAATGTTGAGCTTCTATTTGGCTCAACCTGTAGCTAATCGGTCTGTCGTCTCACATACACCCGCCCCTCAAAACTCTGGAAATGGACGACAGGATGACAATGCGGTGGAGCCCATTCTTCGGGTCAGTGTCCGACTCATACTCAGATACTGCTTGTTGACCGGACAGATCGATGGACCTCAGCAGAGTGAATCTGAAGACGAGCATACCGACGAAGAGCTGGAAGAAGACTACATCACTACCAAGGTGGATTCTCATCCACCCATATGGGACAGCAGCAGCTCCGGTGAGACGGGGGAATATGATTCTGATGACACCGGCAGTGATGCATTTCCTTGAGTCATTCTTTCCCCTGATATCATCGATTATACTCTCATCTGGCCCACCACGCCCCTATTTCGGCTACCGCGGGTGTCTCACTAGTGCGATTTGCACGAGGTGTTAGGTCCTCGCTCTCCATGGTGCTAATACTGAACCTCAGCTCCGATATGTTGTCTAATCTTTTAGGATCCGCTTCGATTCCGGCATCTCTTTGCAGTCTCGACAGACTTGCCATGACGCTGACTTCGGACGGCTGGGTGGATATTCTAGTGTCTTCTACTCTCCTCATCCTGAACGCCTCCCTGACGGCTCTCACGCCCACTTCCGATCCTCTTGTGGCCATCCCGCTCATGTTGCTCGCCATGTCCTCGTCATACTCTTGTCCCAGAACCTCCTCCGTTAAGGCTTGGCGTGACAACTTTTCCCTTGGAAATCCCTCTGATCGCCTGGAGAAGTCTGGTGTCGGCAAAAGCATACTGTCCCTTGCTCCATGAATCAGACTCTCATCGGACGGTCTCCTAGAAGACACGGTGCGAGACGTTCGTGTTGATCCGCGTAGGGTTGATTCGGGTGTTTCGTCAGGCGTAGCAAAGAACAGTGACTTGTGTTGATCCTGTGTGGAATATTCCGACGTGGGCGAGACGATTGGGGAAAGAGCGAGATTAGGGTCTGTTTCTCTTCTAGGATTGGGTGGTGGTGGACTCGGTATCACCGTGCTCTGCCAAGATGTCGCTGTGGAGGGTCCCATCTTTTCCATTCGACTTCGATTTTCTTCCTCTATTTGGTCTCTTCTCCCAGGGATATATCTTTCCCTCAATGAGGCCACCTCAATGGGCACCGAACGTGACATACGACGATCAACCACTTCATAAGCTGGCACAGGTTTACGTCTAACCGAATTTGTCCTCGGCAACGCCTCGGAAATGGTGACATCGCCAGTCCGATATCTGGGTATATCTCGTATTCTCACCAAATCATCTTCTCCAGCAGATACCGGTACATCAAGATCCGCTCCCATGGCAAAGGGATGAACCATTCTTGGACCTCTCAATTCAGATTCGGTCATCTCATCCGTCGTATAGTCATCTTGAAACCCAGGCGGAACTCTAGAGGCTGGGGCATTTCGTATCGTCTGGGAATTATATCGGCTTTGCTGATATCGTAATTCACGTGCATCGGAGTTTTGTCGACGAGATCGATTAGACCTCATTCGTCCTGGTGGTTCCCTCTGTCCTCTTGTTGGGTAAATAGGACTGGTCAATCCTGATCTGGAATCTCCTGGTGGAGATAAAGATGCAGTGGCTGTGGGTGGCCATTGAGCGAGGTCAGAACCGAGCACAGATATCCGACCAGGATCGTATATGCTTCCAGCGTATTTCTTGGTACTTCTCGCTGTCAGAGGCTCAGGTTGCGGTGAAGGGGGAGGACGACGACGAATGACTTCCGCGAGCTCTGTAAGGGCGTCTTGGTCAAAGATGGATCCTGCGAAGCTGAGGATAGGCGCTCGAGCAGCGGGCTGAGATGTAAGTTCAATGTTCCTTATTCCCTGAGACCTTCACGTCTACAAAGAATCTGAAATGAGGACATCCGATCAGCAGATCACGCAGCAGAGAGAAGGGGGATATCCGTGATGGTGGAGCTAACTTGAGTAGCAACACTTACAGTTCGGAAAACCACCCTTTCCACAGGTACATGAATTTCGACCCCTCTGACTTTTGCGTGATTGGAGTAAAACTCCCTCGTGGCGTCGGTCGACAATCTCCTGAAAGTTCCATTTACCGGTGCGCCAATCCGAAGTGGTTCCGGCTTCTTCTTCTTACTTTTCCCACTTTTCTCTTTCGCCTCGCCCCCATCCTTTCCCTCTGTCAGTCGTGGAGACTTTGAGGCCGGTTCATCAGGATTATGATGCCCATCTTCACTATCTAATCTCCTATGAGATAAACTCTGTCGATCTGGGACAGCGAGATATAATCCCAAAAGGCCTAGAACCAGGATAAGTCGACTGGAAAATCGTAAGGCCCGACGAAGGATGATGGTCGGGAAGGTGAATGGTAGTGGTGTAAGGGCGATCTCGGATAGAGCGATGAAGAGACCTAAGGATATGAGGATGTACCAGAGTCTGGCTGGGGTGTGGTGGAGGCAGAGGTAAAGAATAAGGATAGTGGGGAAAAGAAGAAAAAGAGCGCCTAATCATCAACATCAAAATCCGTTCTTTCTTGCTTCAATAAACAAGATTATGTCGGAGACACCGTGAAATTTGGAGGAGTTGAAAATGCAGTGAAAAGGCAAGCGAACAAGGGAAAATTTACTCACCTGCTCCAGCGCCTGCAATGGATATGATATCGTGAGTTACCAAATCGGATGAGTCGTCGAATGCCAGTACTTTGTCATCTATCATTCAGCTTGTAACTCTTCAATCTTCTTCCCGGATCTCTCCCGACCGTATTATCACCAACACTTGAAGGAGGGAAGAACTTACCATATTGAACCAACAAAACCCCACCCAACAAAGCCCCGACGAAAGAGATGGGTACCAAAGGTAAAATCAGCACTCCAAACGCATGTGTAGCCACACTGCTCTTCCAAACCTCTGGAAGTTGTCCTCTAATTTCCCCCACATATAGCGCAGTGGCGAACATCAAGAAACTCAATGCTGGGAGAGAAGAAACGATTCCTTTCTTATCAGGTCCGCTCCTTCTTCAGAGACAGCTGAGACGACTCACCAAGAGCTAAATCTTGCATTTGGAATGTGGTGTTGGAAACTGTGAGAAGACGCAATATGAGGTCCCATGTTGATGATACTACGAATAGAAGTAATTCAAGAGCGAGGAATAGTGTGGAACTAAGTGATTAGTGTCGGTCCTCACGCTTTTTAATGCGTTATTCCAGACGACAGACTTTGGAAGGGTTACTTGAATTGGAGTGGGAACAGAACATTGTCAAGTTGGTCGTGAGGAGGGTATAGTCAGTAATCACTCGAGGATGAGGAGAAGGTAGGTGAGAAAAACGTACGTGCGAGGTTTTGACCATGCTAGGAAGATGAGGACTGGTACGAGAAGTAATTGACCGGCTGAGACGGCGTAGGTGACTTGTTTATCAGCTTGAACTCCAAAACTCCACCTCCTCTGTATCTTTCAACCTTCAACCTTCAACCTTCAACTTTTGTCCTCTTACTCTACCTCTTCACCACTCATCTCATCACCACTTCTTTGAACATCATCCTCGTCCACCGGTAATATATGAACTTTACCATCAGGTTCGAGTGCCCAATAATCGATCATTGTGTCATCATGGAAATTGCAACTGATATAAAAGTTTGAAAACATGAACAGTAGACTCACTGATAGTTTGATCTTGTGTTAACCCTTGACATCTCAAACTGGCAATAGCGGAGAAACACCTAATCCCCTCTATCCCACTTTGCGTCATCCCTCCACCTATCCCACTTTTTCTTCTTCTTTCTCCAATCTTAACGTCTCCTGGATGTTCTTTCTTTTATCCTTCCCCCAATCCTTTCCAATACTCTTATCTTTACCGTTCAAATAGATTTTCCTTCCCTCCTGTCACAATATTCGAAGGTCCGTTTAGGTGTTCGTTATTCCATACACTTCTCAATCTTCTGGCGATTATGACAATAATGATTTCTGATAAAATGTTCTGGCCCGGGCATCAAGCTTGTCCACTCTTTCTACTCTACAACCTCCAGGGTCGATGTTTGATTTTTATCTCACAAGCCGGACCAGCCTGGCGTCCGAATTAACTTCTCGAAGAATGTTCACAAGATGAGTAAAATGATAGAATTGCATGACGCTAATACTGTGAAGGGTTCAGAGTCTGGATCATGGGGTGCTCAATCTCATTACCAAGAAACCATTGTCTCCAAGAATCAATCTCGTTGTCAAGTGTACATGACGACCAGATTCTTCCATATATCATCAAAGTGCCACATGCCACATCCCTGTCTTGAAGGTCGTGCTTGCAGCTTGAAACCATTGCAATTCGAGTAGAAACAGGAGAAGAGAAAGTCTTCTTCTGCATGAATATCAACATTATCTATAAGTTTCCGATCATCAATGCTGTATGCAGACGTCATTATACAACCGTACTCCGTCCTCAGATCGTTTCATTCAAGGTCCTTCCTTGTCCGTGTCCTCGTCCAAATCCGTATGCGTGTCTTTCCAGTCGAGAGGATGGAAGATATACAATACGAGTATCTTACTTGTACACTGAAAGGTTTATTCTTACAAATCATTCTCTCCTATTCTCTATGCTCATCTCCCCAAACCTTTCCAGATCCTCTATATGATCCTCATCTGGGGTACTCATAATATTCCCTCTCTTCTCTCCACCTTCACTATTGATCCTTCCACTTCTCCCTCTTCGTTCTTCCTCCACTGGACCACCCAAAGAACTTGGAGCAGTGATACGTCCTTGACCGTAGCACTGTGTCACACCTACTGTGGGGATATCACGAGAAGCAGAGGCGAGTCTATATCTCCCACCTTGTAATCCTGCTGTCTGAGGACGAGTCATCGCAGGTGGTTCCTCTTCCACTTGTTTATTGTCCGCCGCTCGAAGTCGGAAATCTCGAATGGGAGAGTGAGAAGGTGATGAACTAGCTTTACCTCCCATAATCCTTTGATCTCCAAATCCTCCTCTCAAAAGCACGGGTCCACGACGTAAAGTACGAGTTGAATCCGTTGTGGATGTTCCTCCTGTAGTCTGTGGTGAAAGCATCTCGACTGGTGGCATGGGAATAGGCATCACACCCACTGACCGGAGTTCCGGAGGCATTGCTTTATCTTCTACCAATGGTGCGGATGCCGGACCAGGTAGTGACCGTGCTGAGCCAGGAGCGTGGGGTTTGTTCATCGAGACAAGGAACGAAGGTGATGCTTCTGGAAGTGGAATATCTGCTGGATTTGGAAGAAGAGTAGCCTCCTTACTCAGAGGACTACCACCCGACGCCTGCCGACGGTATGTCGGACGGGCCGGATCGTGTTCGCCACCAGCAGCGGAAACTCGACGAATGGCCGAGGACGGTCGACTGGCAGATAGTAAACCCATACCAGCACTTGGTCGAGGAGTAGGGGCTATAGGAGCATTGGGAGTCGGCGATCGATCTTGAGGAACGAGGGAAGTGAACGAAGTTGCAAACTTCTTCGTGTTGAACGTAAAGCTGCCCACCATTTGCTTCAGTTGAAGATCGATCAACGCCTTCGTGAGAGGAGCTCGGGTGTTACTCGCACTACTCGGCTGTAAAGCTTGATCCTGGCCTGCAGGTTGAATGGAAGACGCAGATACCGATGGGTTTGACAGTGAAGATGAGGTCGAGGGCAGATTAGGTCGGGAGGCATAAGCTGCTTGGGCTGCCATAGAAGGTGGCTGAGGTAGAGAATCTAACGCTTTTAAGAAGGCTTGTATATCTTCATTGTCACTCCCAGCCTCTATTGGGACTTCGAGACTGTGACGCAAGCCGCTTTCCTGTGATTGCCGAGTGCTCATTCTCCGCATAAGATTGCTAGAACCTGCGCCAGGGCTTCCATCTCCGCTACTGTGCGAGCCTGTCTGTGTAGGGTTCAGTCCAGAGTTGACACGTTGCCGTGATGAATAGGACGAGTAGCGTTGGATGATTTGAGGAGCAGTACCAGGAGGTGAAGGAAGAGATGAGTCTCGCTCGAGTGAGCCAGCGATGAAAGGTGAGGAACTTGATGAAGCCATATACGGGGGTCGACCGGATAAGCTACGAGGGACCGGTTGTTTGGAGAAGGTCAGTGAGGATGGCGATATCGGGGAGATCGTCTTTGGTGATGCATTAGAGGAATATTGCACTCCCGACATGCCTCCAGTCACGGGAGGGGAAGCTGATGCTAGTTGAGCATGCGTGAATGAACGTCCCGACTGAGACAGGTACGAACTCGTTCGGCCGATTGAGGATGGTTTGGAGGAAGATAATCGAGGGCGATTGACAGGCGAGGGAGTAACCTGGCCAACAAAGGGGGCTGATCGAAGGACGGAGGTGGAGGGTGATGCCGAAGCGAAGGGATGGACCGAATGACCAGAGAGACGACGAGCGGCAACTGCTGCCATGCCAGAGATGGGTCGGCCTTCTTGCATGACATTCTCCTGGAGATTAGTCAGCCAGATCCTTTCATATATTGCAAGCACTCACTTTGGATCCGCCAGAAGGTCGAACAGGTGCGCCGGCAAAAGGGAGACCCTCTGCCAATGGACCCCAGCGATCAAACATTCCGCCTGCACTCCCTGACGGCATCGTTCCGGGTGTCACACCAGACGGAAGTCGACTACCGCTTGGTCTCGCGAAGGATTCAAGGGTAGCTGGTTGTTGTCTTTGAGGTATAGGAGATGGGTTCGTCGGTATAGCAGTTGGCAAGGATTGCTTCCTTGATGTAGGTCTGACTGCTAATTCCGCTGACGATACCCGAGCCTCATCAGCCAGCCGATCACGCGCCACCGTAGGAGTAAAGAAGTCTTCGTCCATGTCGACAAACTTCTCGCTCAAGACCGACTCCATGTCCTCCACATGGAATTCAATTTCAGACCTGTAGGCGGCGTTCAGAGTATAACGAAAACCGAAAGCGTCTAGGGGAGGTAGGTCGAAATGCTGCTTCAACTCTGGTGGCGCTCCTTCCTCGCCGACGAGTGAATCCAGTCCGGTATCCAGACCAACCAGACCATTTTCCATCACTTCCCATGCATCCGTTAGCCCTTGTTTCGAGTTTGGGTATCCCTCTGGTGCCCAAAGCTTGATACCAAGTCGTAGCCCGTTACCGGCGCGACGAAGACGACGGAACATTCGGAAAGCTGGGAGTAGCCGAAGAAGTGAGTAGAGGGCACGGAAGTGAACGACACCAAACCGAAACGCAATTCTCGCTTCTGATACAGACGAGGTAGTTTGATCCGCTGGTGTCACACTGGAATGTCAGCGAGTTGTGATGATACATTAGGACTCACGTAGCACGAAAGGTCCATCGTTCGAGGATGATCCCACTGCGTTGGTGTTCCCTGCCTTTCCCTTTACCACTTAACAAGCCCATGTCAATCTTGGACTTGCCACTAGCTCGGTTCCACATCAAAGCTTGACCACCAGGAAGGTCACTAGTATCGAGGATAAAAGCTATGAGTAAGGGCGGTATGGTGCATAGATCGACAGGCAGAGGTCCAGGTTGCCGGATCAAGGGAAACAACGAGACCTGTCGGTATATGTGCAAGTCGGATCTGTGAAGGTCAACATCAGGTAGAGTGAGATTGAACTGTCCCATCAGAATAGTATCACATCGGTAGTATCACGAGAAGACGTACCCAACGATCCTGCCTGCTCTCTCCATTCTTGTCCACCACACTACCGAAATGCGTCAAGCGACCATCAACGAGAACTCCCACAGTCTTGAGATAAAAGTGATGGATCACCTGATCCTCTCGACTCGGTTGACCAGCCGTTGGGGAAGATGGGTCAGACGAAGGCGCAAGTCCGGTCGCGACTTGAGAAGGCGTCGGAGACGCTGGGGTCGACACCGGACGTGAGAGAGGCCGGGCAGGATAATACGCAGCTGGACGGAGAGGAGTGGCGGACATGATTGATACTCTCCGGAAGGGCTATGGGATAGTGTGTACAGGAGCCAGTTCCATGGTGAGTGGACTAGGTATCACCGATACCGAGTGATCGAGACAAATCAGCTGGTCGTTTGAGCCACTGCCACGGATTGAATGTCTCGAGAGAAGGTACGATGGGTGAAAACAGATACAATATAGCGAGTGGGAGAGCCGAGGGGGTGATATGGATGGCGAGTGATGGCGATAGTGACGAGTGTGTAGGCGTTCAACATGTGGACAGGAGAACCGCTCAGCTTGATTCCATGAAAGATAGGCGCCCGAAAACTGATGCCACGCCTACCCGTGCCATGTCAAAAGTGCCACATGTTCCGGGAGAAACTCCGACGTAATCCCGCTTCTTACCTCCAACCCTCCGTGGTCTGAACTCTTTCTACATTCATCAAGAACACATACATTTGGCAAGGTAAGTTCAGCCTCAGTCATTCGGCAGAACATACGAGCTGACAAGTCGCAGATGGTCAAGAGTGAGTTCACATCTCCACGCCATCGTTTTGATTTGGGTCATGGTGCGCGACGAGGAATGTTCGTCATGTGGGAGTCGGGTCTTGTGTCATCGACCCGTACCGTGGGACATTGCGTCTCGTCCATCAGCGCTTCCTATGGCTACTGGAGCTCATCGCATATGCGGATGAAGGGTATAAGAGTGTAAAACCGTCATGGACTAGAGCATGCTAGGAGTCATTGTATCGGTCGTCCCATTTGCAGTCGCTCACTTGTAGTCTACAAACCAGGCAAGGTCGCCGTCATCCTCTCTGGCCGACATGCCGGGAAGAAATGTGTTGTCATCCGCCAGTCTGACGAGGGTACGAAAGACCGACCCTACCCCCACGCCATCGTTGCCGGTATCGAGAGGTGAGCTTCTTCCCCGTTGCACCGCTTCCCGTGTATTCCTTCCTCTTCGCCATATAGTCGCCATCTGTTTTCTCGGGTATTCGTTATGCCGTGGAATGTGCTTATCTATAGATACCCTTTGAAGGTGACGAGAAACATGGGCAAGAAGAGGATTGCCAAGCGATCAAAGGTCAAGCCTTTCATCAAGATCATAAACTACTCGCATCTCCTCCCTACCCGATACATGCTCGAACTCGAATCCCTCAAAGGTAGTGTCGACAAGGAGACTTTCAAAGAGCCTTCCCAACGCGAGGATTCGAAGAAGGCGATTAAGAAGGCATTAGAGGAGAGGTACACCCGGGGTCAAAACCAGTGGTGTGAGTGATGACTATCTCCTTCACTGCCGATTCCTTACATTGACCCGACTACACATACCACTAAGATTGTGGCCATGCCCTTCTTCCCATCGTTAACCTCACGACGATCCGAGCATCGCTCACATTTGAAATCACGCTAACTGATAGTCTTCCAAAAACTCCGCTTCTGAGCAGCCAGCGATTGCATCTAGGGTCTGTGAAGGAGTGCTGTGAGCGCTGTGAGGGTCAGTGACTGGTCGATGGCTAGGCATGATCGTTCCATTTGCATCCATTCTTTGCCTACAACGTGCACGCATCATCCAACTGATAGAGCGGACATGTCCGCCACCTGTCGGCTTTCGGCTTGCAGGCGGAGAGGCGATGCGCCAACATGATCACTGACTTTTGTGTGTAACCTCTGCATCTCTCCTAAAGATCTCCTACTTGGCATACAGTAGACATATTCAGTTTGACCGGGGTGAAGCGCTACCAAGGCTCCTTTTGTGACGCACAACCCTTTCAGCCTTTTACACCTAGACTTAGACACACTACTGTAGCTGCAATGTTCAAAAGACGTTCACATCCTCCCAATGTCTCCCCTCTCGCCCCTCCCACTCCGTCTACCTCCCGCTCCCCTGCCTCCACGTCACCAATGCACGCCAATGGGACCATCTTCCCCCCGTCCGGAACCATGGCGGGACCGGTGTATCCGGGACCCGGAATGGAAAGGGTGATGAGCACCGGCACCGTCGGTAGCAATGGTGACAAGTCTGAAAAGAGACGGAGTGGCTTCTTTTCGATGGGAAGAAAGGACAAGAAGAAGAACGTGGAGAGGGAGTCAAACGATGTGAGTTGTGGATCGATAGATATACCCATTGCCAAGCACAATACCGCAAGGATCAACGGGAGGACGACGATGAGAGTGACTTGATCAACGGTCAACGGCCGACCGGCATGATCAAAGCCTTGACCCTTTGGGCTCTGCACCACCTTTCTTTTACTTGCCTGTATCTCCTAAACTTCATCTCCTAGAGACCGTCCCGTGTCTCGTTCCTTATCCTGCCGTTGTTCAGTGGATATGATCGTCGTCGAAAGTGGATAGAGAACCAGCCAGCTGATTTTCCAGCGACCTAGATCAGATTCCTTTTCCACCGCCGAACGCAACCTTCAACCCAAGCCTTCCTCTCCATTGACTCAAAATCCTCAAGCGACTTCAAAGTTCCACCCTTACGCCATGCACCAATTTCCTCCTCCTCAGCAAGGCCACACTCCCCCTCCTCCAGATCGCATGCCTCAATTACCTCAACCCTCGAACGCACCGCAAGGCGTCCGTGCTGCCTCCAACCCCATTCCTCCTGCTCAAGGAGACTTTGGTGGCGGTGCTCCTCAAGGACTTCCAAAAAGTCAGAGTATGGGTTTCTCCCGCTTTCCAGACTCTCATCCCTATCGTGGTCAGCCTCAGCAAGTAGAAGATCAATCACAGAACGGAGGTATGCCAAGGACGAAATCGATGCCGTTGGTCTCACCGCCATCAGCCAAACCTGGTGTTTCGGAACCTTCCAAAGGACCTGCAGATAGCTCGCTCCGGAGGTCGACTGGTACAGGTCAAAAAAATGGTTTCACAAACAGCCCTGGACGGAATGAGCTTCCTGCGCCGCGATTGGCAGACTTTGAAGCCATCGTTGAGCTCATCGGTGCTCAGCCCGGAAAAACGTACGCCGCGAGTCCTCCCGAATTGGAGATGATTTTAGCAAGGACGAGTGCTGGAGGTCAGCCAAAGTGAGTTCTGCTGTTTACTATCATTTCACGCTGACGCCTTCTTAGACAAGGTCCGCCAGGAAGTCAGAAGAATGATTGGGATGCTGTTTGGCTGCAGCTCTCTGGTATATCCATGTGTGAGTTACAAGTGTTTTAGATATGTTCACATACTGATGTGCAGCGATGTGGTCGATGAAAGAGACTCGAGCTGCAGCAGCAAAAGGAGAAAAAGTCCCACCCACATACTTCAACATCACCGACTCTTCTCTCGAGCTTCTCGCTCCTCTCCCACCTCCCCCTCATCGTCCGAATTCTCATCCTCATCCAAACGTCTTCAGTCTCAACACCGCTGGCTCGAACCGACTTCTTTTCTCTTGTCCTAGCGAGAAGGATCAAGCAAAATGGGCTATCGGTCTTCGTCTGGCGGCGTGGGAACGCTCCAGACTAGAGGAGATCTACACGGGTCATCTCATCAAATCAGGTGGACGTGAGCCTCCACACGAGCTGGTCAGGGGGAGAATGGAAGGCTGGGTCAGGGTTCGGGTGATGGGAGGAACCGAGTGGAAGAGACTATGGCTGGTGCTCAGCATGCCGTACACCGAGAGTCATGAGGACGACAAGAAGTCGCGAAGGCGGAGCTTCTTCGGAATTGGTGACAAGGCGGAGAAGGAGCCAATACAGGAGCCTAACACTGGCGAGACAATGGCAAGCTTTTACCCCGAACCGAGGACGCAGAAGAACAAGACAACTTTGACCTCCGTATTGACCATCACGAATGTGACCCAAGCGTAAGTCCTTATTCCCCACTACTGAGGGCTTGGAGGGATATGCTCATGCTGATGTGCAGGTATGCCGTCTTTCCCGAAAGATTGGAAGTCATGTCACAATCCAATCTTATGAAAGTTGTTGGCCATATATACGGTGAACTAGTCACCGTCGAGACTCGTTTGAGAGATTCTGGATGGGCTCTCATCATTCCCGAGCCGGTGGCAGAGTCTTCTACAGCCAGTCCTTTGGCCAACATGATGCGATGGGTAACTGGTAAGTCTCTTGGAATATTGGGCTGAGTATAAAGTAATGTCTAGGTGTACACGATGTATTCGGACTGTACGGTCGACCCCAGCAGTATAGTTGGGACCGGTTGGATCCGAAGGGTCTCTTTTTCGCATACCCTGAGGGGCCAGATAGAGGAGTAAGTGCTTTCGTTGCGACATAGCTGGTACTTACTGTGTCAGAGATTGTTCTTGGAGCCCGAAGAGGCCTCACAAACCAACTTTCGGACCACGATCCTTCCACAGATCCGTCAATCTTTCATCGACATCAGTCTGCGCAAATTGCACCTGTCTTCATCAGTGTATGAACCCGAAGAAGATGACGAAAGTACTCCTAGGCCGACAGGTGATTATCGTTTGCCTCCTCTGTCATTCACTCAACCACAACCCACCCATCAGCAACCTCGAGAGATGCCTCGAGCCCTCACTCCCATCACCGAGCAGACAGACGCGACTCGACAGAACTCGACACGCACTCAAACCACCACACGATCCCAACCTCTTGGTTCTGGCGACAGAAAGCAGAGTGACGCGCCGAGTAAACAAAATAGCGGTTCGGACAAATTCCGATCTCCCATCGATGACGATCGTCTCACCCCGATCATTGATTCAAGTGACAACGTATATGCCGAAGAGCCGGAACAAGAACCGAACTTGGAGCCAACTCCCACAACGGTCGAATCTCAATCTGGACCTACTGTTTGGTCTCAGAGTTCCGCCACTCCTACCCCTACCGGAGATGCAGAACCCGTAGAAACCGACGTGAAAGGTCATCTCGTACCGTTATCAGCATTCGCTTCTCAAGACAATCTTCAGGAAGTTCACTCCACATCATCAGAAACCGTTCGACCCTCCCCACCGGCTTTAGCCCCTATCATCTCTGAACCACAATTATTGTCTCCCACTCCTCGAAAGATGTCGTCATCTGGAGAACTTGCCCATTCCGGACTTCGTGATGAACCCGCGGCATTATACCTCATGAACATGGTAGAAGAGCCGCAAGAGGTGACACATACACGTGATCCTTCCCCTGGCAAACAAAGACCGACGGTAGTGACAACGTTTGACAAACGTTCTGATACCTTGGGTAGAAAACCATCCGGGGCTAGGGCACTACCGCCGAAGAAGAAGAGTAGTACCAGCAGTACTGGAAAGAGTCTGGAAGCCATCAACGATATGTCCACTTCCTCTCCGCCTCTTCCCAATCGGCTCACGCCTTCTCCTCGAAAACGCGGCATTTCAAATGATCTCGGGGAGGACGTCTCGGCTTTCGTAGCCTTTGCTGAGCAACCGTCACCTGTCAAACCTCTGCCTAAGGGGAAAGACGCTGAGAAAGTCAAGGAGGAAGTTAAGAGTTCCTTCGCGCCTTCAAAAGCTGCAGCGGAACGTCGTGCTAAGGCCGTGCAACAAGCGGTGGATCAACAACAAGCGATGAACGTTCCCGGTGGTGGTAGAAGGCGAACGCCAGCGAAGAAGGAAGAGTGGAGTGGAAGTGAAGATGAAGATGAGGATGAAGAATCACCGGTGGTACAGATGAAGTCTACATTACCTGATCATCCTCAGCTTCCGGAATTACCTCAGTTTCCCCTCGAAGGAAATGGTACAGTCGGACGTTCTCCCTCAATGGCTCGGGCATTACCACCGGTCCCTCAGTATCCACCTCAGGTCTCCAACGGTGATTATCTCCCTTCAATCGCTTCTATGACCTCGTTAGATCGACCTCAATCTCGTTCTCCTCTTCCTTCCCGAGCTTATTCCCCAATGCCCGAACGTCCACATTCTCAAAGTCCAGCTCAATCAATATATCAACCGTACCCTCAACAACCCCTTCGACAACATACGAACCATCAACTTCCTCCTCTGCCCGGCCCACCACCACCAGCAATCAAACAGACAATGTGGAACGCAAACTTTTCCGCTGATCATGGCATGCCAGCTCCTGCTCCCTCAGGTAAATTTGTGGAACTGGAAGAACCTTCGGTCCACCTTACCAAGGCGTTTTCTCCGCATGGTCTCCTGCAAGCCGGAATACAAGACAAAGAAGAACGGTCAGCAAAGAAACAAGAGGAACTCGCTAGGGAGACAGGCAGTAGTTTGATCAGTGTACCGAGTAAACCTCCTCCCCCTGCGACGGGACTTTTGGGAGCCGTTGCGCAGCATGAACGTGATAGGAAGAATGCTGGTGGTCTAGGAGCTACGTTGACGGATAGGGAGAGGGAGAAGAGGATGGCTGTGAGTGACTTTTGCCTCTCTCCGCCACCTCTCTTCATGCCAAGGAGTTGCAAAGTTGTTCATGATCGCTGATGTATGTAGGAAGACCGTCAACGGGAGATCGAGAAGCTTCAACGACAACAAATGGAACATATGCGTCAATATGGTGATTATCCTCAACCGGGATATGGACAAATGCCCAGTCCAATGATGGGTATGAACATGAATCCAATGGGTATGCCAATGGGTTTCCCAGTAGGTCTTCTTTTCTCAGTTTTCCAACATCTCTGGTTCACTCACGACCCTCACCTCCCGTATTCTTACAAGCCTACCGCGGACTTTCGTCTCTTGGTTCATCTTCATTCTCTATCAGGTCTACATGACGTTCTCTTGATGTTTCTATCATATGCTAACTTCCAGGGATACAACCCATACGCTCAACAACAAGCTATGATGGCCGCTCAAATAGCATATCAACAAGCTATGCTCTCCATGCAATCTCATTCCCCTTCTTTTCCTGCCGCTTCTCAAAATGGAGATCTTCTCAATTCTCCCGATAGACCAGCATCAGTAGCTTCATTCGCCCCTCCATCCATGCGAGGATCTCCCGCTCCAGGTCCAGGTCCAGGTGGATATGGTTATTTCCCTCAAGGAATGTACGGATATCCAGGTATGATGATGTCCCCTATGGGTATGGGAATGTCTCCTATGGCCACCGGAATGCCAAATATGCCATTACCTGGTTTATCGCCAATGGGTGGGATGGGCATGTATGGACCTGGAAGTAATTCTCCTTCGGTAGTGGGAGGTTTTGATTGGCGTCAGAACCAAACTTTGGGTCAAGGAATGGGTATGAATATCGGAGAGACTCAGAGTCAGGATGGAAGGAGTAGGATGCGGGGTATGCGAGAGGAACCGGCCACATGACTCGAGTGAGGTAGAACATTCATGAGGAGAGCCTCTTGCCGTGGGACGAAGTAGATGCATCGTCTTGTGGTTCGTGATGAGTACGAGTGCTTTTTCCTGTTGGGTGAAAGAGATGGCAAAGCTTCCAGCTGAACGATCTGATCACTTGAAAAGGCTGCAAATGACGGCGGCTTCTTCGTTCGCGTGACAACGGTGCTGGCACAAAATGTCGAACCCACACGGAGAATTGAACCAAGGAAATGAGGGCGTTGCGAAAAAAATTAGGGTGACACTAAAAACCACCTCCAGCAGGGCTTTGGATGGCCTTGGAACATAAGCGAGAGCCATCTCGCACTGACCAAACCAGATACGGTGATGTCAAGGCAATTAATTAGGCTATGGCACAAGACTGGCAGCGCAGCGAGTTCATTAGTAGATAACGAGCAGCAGAAAAAGAACGAACCCGCTCTGGGATTTGAACCCAGGACGACTGGCGGAGGCAGAGACCCACCGAAAACCAGGATGCTAACCACTACACCAAACGGGCAAAGGAATGCAAAATTTTACCAAAGAAATGTATACATACGGTCAATTTGTGACTTCACCCATTCCCAATCGTCAAACACAAACTATTTACTATCACATGGAGAGCTCGTGCCTCGCCTGTTGAGCTGCGGATCCACGTGACAGCATCCGTGATTCTCTTAGCCCTGTTCTTGAGACAATATATTATTCGCATACTCAATATCTCTGTCGTGACCAGGTAGCGAGCCGGTGACTATTGAACTCCGAAGGGTTCAACATGAAATATGCTGGCGAGAGCTGATCTTACTGCTGGAGTGGTTGGGTCAATCTCAGAAAAACAGTGAGCCAATTCACCACTATTTGTGATGGTCAACCTGGCAGGTATGCTTTTATTGCTTCTATGCAACTTCCAACAGCCCCTTCAGTAAACAAAGGGCATGTCCAGATGTGAGTTTGTGGTACCTCCTCTTCCCTTCACGCCCTCAGCAAGGTGGATTGTCGAAGGGCTGTTGCCTGAGCCGGACAAAATGAAAACTCTAGGTTGTCAGGTACTAGAATTTGGACTGTCTGCAGTTGCATCCGAGTACGAGGTGCATTCTGGACACCGACCACGACCGGCGTGACGTGTATATATTGTCCATGGCATGCGTTTCAAAGATACTGGAGAGGATTACTCGTAAAAGAATGTATGGCTATCTCATGAGACACGAAACCGTTCACACTGCGTTGCTCCTCTTAATCTTCATCGTCTTTACGTCACTTCCGTCTATAGCATTACAGCACCGGTGCCGGCGAACAAAGCAATGACGCTGAGCACGGCAGCGATGATAGGGCCATAGTTGAAGCCAGAGAAACCGGGGATGGCACTGCCGGCAGTGCTCGAGCCGGAGGACGAGGCGCCAGAGGTGGAAGCTTTACTACCGCTGGCTGATCCGCTTTTGCTGGATGAAGTAGTGGAGGCGGAACCGGTCGATTGACTGGAACCGCTAAGACTGCTGGCGGAGGGAACGGAACCGGAGAGTCCGAGAGAAGACAGGGGGATACCTTTGACGTCAGTATATGGATTTCGAAGGGGACCGTAGCCACTCACCGTTACCGATAGTTGAGTATGTCACGCAGTTGGACGAGGCTGGAGTGGAGAACGCAGTCTGTGGGGTGACAGTCTGACCGATAGTGAACATTCCAACGCTACCGGCACCATCAGTGTAGGTACCCGTGTAACGTTGGGCAAAAGTAGAAGTGGATCCGTTGGCCAAAGGGTAGACTCCGGGGGGGTAAGCAGCGTCGGCGTCGCATTCGGTGAAAGAGTTGTTCAGGTAACTGGTTTGTCAGTAAGAAAGCTCGCATATGTTCTGAGATAACGACTCACGCGCCTGGCATAACCCAGTTGCAACCCATTTCGTCTAGAGTATGTTCACATTCGATCGCTGCAGAGTAGGTTGCGTTCTCAGCGATGCAAATACGGAGACAGAATTGTTGGTAGGACATGTAGCTGCGAATGTTAGTTTGGCTTAACCTTGGACGTGAGGCTCCACTCACTTCATCCACTCTTCATAGCTAACGTCGGATCCCGGTGGCGTTACATGTTACATTTCCTCCCACGGGATTGCCGTCTCCAGTAGCTCCGTGTGGGTCCAGTTCACCACCTTCGTCAAGAGGAGCGATGTTGATTTTCGTGAAGTCTCCCCAACCTGACACTTGCCAGTAAAGCGGCGATTTCTGCAGTTGGGCCCCGGTAATTGAACCATCTGGAATGACACGAGCGTTGTTACGAGCTTCTGCGAGAGTAAGCGAGCGGTACTGCTAAAATGGACGTGGGCTCACGAATACACCAAGCGACGACTTCCGCTTCGACGTTACCAATGACAGAATCTTTCTCCGCAGGTGCGAAAAGACAACTGAAACATCAACTCACTACTGCGACGATCCAAATCACACTCACAAGTCATTGAGAGAGTTGAGGGATAGAAGTCGAGCATAAGACGTCTGGTTGATGGGAGTACCCAGAGTGGCCTTGGGAGGGTTCGTAACACCCATGGTCCCCGTGGCTGTAACCTGGGCATTGGCAACGCCGGCCATTAAGGCAGCGGCCCCGATAGCGAGAGCTGTGAACATGATAATGAGTCTTGCGATCAGCGCCCGTGCTCAATACTGAGTAAAACGAATCCACAGATTGAGTAGGATGTTGACACGTCGAAATCACAAAGCAGAGGGTAGAATTGCAGCGGATGAATAGTGGTTGTGTGAGGGACGAAACAGATGAAAGGAGAGAAGAAAAGAGGAGATTCATGGTGGGGCGATGGCTGCGGAAAGCTGAAAAGAAGACGTGGCCACTCACGGGGTTGAAAGGAGAACGAAAGATGTGGTTGGGATGTGGGTTTTTGGAAGAGGAAAAACACAATACAGGAGAAAGGAGAGGTGATTACTATTAAGAATGAGAGGGAATGATAGAGAGTAAAAGGTGGATGATGAGTGTTTGCGAGTTGATGTAGTATTTGAAAAGGGGAATAAGTTTGGGGGTGAAAGGGGAATTGGATGTTGGTGAAAGCAGACGAGACGCTCGGATCGCGGCTATGGCGGGACATAGGAGTACGTTTGCGACGCGTAAAGGCGGTGCTAAAATGCTGGGTGCTTTGATGTGGCATGTGGCGTTTGAGAAGAACCAATGGGGAAAGCTTTTTGCCTTGTACTCGCCCTTTGGCACGCTCCCGGGCCATTGTACGTCTCCGCAGCAAGCGGAAGCGCTGAGAATAGCCTCAGCCTTCAGGTGACGTCTTGTCATCGAGATCGGCCTTCGTGATGCATTCACTGCTCACTTATCAAATAATGAATTGTGTACGTCAACGCCAACCGACTTGGAACATAAATCCTGTCAACAAGGCATTGGCTGTATGCACCACACAACTCATGTCCTTCCTCTCCATATGCACTGGGTAGGCTACGCGCGCATGTCCCTCCTGCACCACGTATTGAATGACCAAGGTGCTCGGTGTTTCGTGGTCAGAGCAGTCCCAGTACACGACGAGCATGGTTCAGCGGTCCGACTGTCATGCAACTCAAAGCAAGGACTTGAAAGACAATCGACACGGGAGCGGACCGGCTTTATCATCTTACACAAATGCATGTTTCACCTTACCCACGTCTAATCAAGCTTTAAGAGCATATTCTGTCTCTGTCAGCGTATGAAGAGGCAATGCTGTGACAGTACTCACTACGCTGGGGGAAGTGGATCTGCCTCTTGTGCTGACGCTCCGTCACGGCGGAAGCCTCCTTCTTGCTCAATTGTCGACGGATCGCACGGGTCTTCTTGTGTCGGAGATCGAGGGGCAGATCTGTCCAGTTAGCGCCAGTCTACTATTAGTTTAATGTAAGATCCTGAAGAAAGACCACTTCGAGATCATTCCAAATCGTAATATGCAAATACACAGTAGTATTTGGAACAGGACGGAGGAACGATGGAAGAACATTGACGTACACTTTGACTTTTTGTGGAATTCCCTCAGATTTTGACGTTGCTTCTGGTTGATGACAGTGAGAACGCGAGCGATGGATTTGCGAGTAACGCCACTATTGAGTCAGCATGGATTGTACAGCTTTACAGGTTGCGAGACAAGAACTAATGTAATGGTCGACACGCGACACCGAGGTCAAATGTCACGGCTCTGGAGTCGCAGATGAAAGCAGAGAGGGACCTAGACAGAGAACGAGACCTCCGTCATGCAAATTCGAGCTTGCAAAACCAAGGTGGTGGGCCATTGACGAGACGACTGGAGGGGAAGGTAATGTATGTCACTTTACGGGACAAAGAATGCTGAACCCACATTTTCGTCAACTTGTTCGCACCTCCACCCGAAATCTGCTGCACTCTCAAACGAGCCAGTTCGGTCTTCAGTTCCGTAAGCTGAGTGAGGAGGTCGGCTTTGCTTCTATCACAACGTCAGTGTGATCTATGGGAGAGAGATGGAAAAACCCACTTGGACTGAAGCTCAAAAGCCTTGATTTTGGATGAAGACGACATGTCAACTGAATGATCAGTAAGCTACTCTTCGCTTATCCTCTACTCCTCTCCAGTGGTGTTATAAATAGTCGTGCGAAGAGTTGGAGCAGGCAACACTGACCTCAATATGCTTGTGGGTTGAAGAGAGCAACCTGCTGATGAAGAGGGAAGAGTTGGAGAGGAACGTGGCACAGTTCATTCATCGGCGTTTAGCCGCAGTTTCTTTACTGCCGACGAGAGCGGTGGTGGCAGATGGGGTCTTTAACTTTAATTGATCCTCCCTTTAACTTGACCTCACCGCGTCAGCGACTGCTGTTCTTCTCATGGTTCCCGAAGATATCTTGCGACACCAGCTGTATAACATGGTCAAAATAACACTGAAGACGGTGCAGAACAAAGTAGCTTCTTCATGTCCACTAGTTTGTAATGCTGACCAGTCTAGCTGTTCACAGTCGAGGCGGAGGAGGCAGAGACTGTGAATTTTTTCAAATTGAGTATGGAGAGTCTTATGCTGATTATTGAGGTCGGCGATGTAAAGAGGAAAATCGAAGAATCTCAGACCTTTCCGGTAGAGCAGCAAAAAATCATTTACTCTGGTGAGCATTACCTCTGCATTGTTTCTTTCTGGGGACGAAAGCTGATTTTGCCAGGAAAGATATTGCAGGATGACACTTCCATCGGATCTTTGAAAATCAAAGAGAAAGACTTTTTGGTCGTCATGGTCTCCAAAGTATGTTCTTTCCATTCTGTATCACATTTGAAGCTCACATCAAAGCCCAAAGCTGCTCCCAAACCTGTCGCCACTCCAACTCCAACTGAGCCCCCTGCCCCAGTGGCGTCAGCCTCAGAAGTTACTCCCGCTGCCCCTGCGGCATCTCCCATTGCAGGGTTGGACACGACCGCTGCTGCCCCCGCTGCTGAAACTGCAACATCTGCTACTGGACTTTCATCGAGTTCTTTCGGTCAGTCATTCGCTCTCTGATCTTCACTCGAGACTGAGAGGCAGTGACAGGTCCAGCGTTGCAGGCGGCGATATCGAGCATGGTGGAAATGGGGTTCGAACATGATCAGGTAGTGCGTGCCCTGAGAGCGAGCTACAACAATCCCGATCGAGCGGTGGATTATCTCATGAGTGTGAGTTTGACCTGCTTCCATTTTATTCAATCTGACCCCGAGGGAAACATCCCAGAAGTTGAAGGGCCGGCACCAGCAGCGACTGCTCCGCCTACACAGACCGCTCCTACTATACCAACACCAGCCGCTGCTCCTAGCCAAACTCCTGCTGCTCCTGCCGCCCAACCTGCTCCTTCCGGATCAGCAGGGAGTGCCGAGAATCTGTTCGCCGTGAGTCTTACCTATTGCACGAGTATCATGGGTGGCTAATGGGTAAGGCTGCAGAAGCTGCCAGTAAATCATCTCATACAACTTCTCACTGAACTTGCTAAAAGACAGTGGCACGTGATAGAGGAACCAGCGCTCCCGCCAATGTACCCAGTCTCGAAGCTCTAGGTAACTCTCCACAGTTACAACGTCTTCGTCAGGTAAGTCTTTCGTGCCTTCTTCAACACTACTTCACAAAGGGTGAATCATGTCATCGGCAGAGCTAATGCTTTAGATGGTTCAGCAAAACCCTGCACTCATAGGACCTTTGTTGCAGCAGGTCGCCGCTCATAATCCTGCTTTGGCGCAATTAATCAACCAACATCCTGAGGCGGTGTATGAATGGCTTGGAGTAGGAGGTGGGGAAGGGGAGGATGACGATGATCTAATGGGACCGCAAACGATGCGGATCGATCTGACGCAACAAGAGGCGGAGGCTGTCCAGAGAGTGAGTTATCTTCCGTATCCTCTTCATCAGTCCAACCCACTGCCAAGCTATCGTTCTATGTTCTCGATACTGTCTACGACTTCAAGACTTGCAAATTCGTGTGGGACCTTGTGCCGAGCGAGGTATTGCTTCTACATGAGAAACATTGAATGCCATTGTGACATTTTGCTAAAGCTCCCCGTCAGCTCGAACAACTTGGATTCGATAGACAGGTGGTCCTTCAAGCTTACCTGCTGTGCGACAAAAACGAAGAGTTAGCTGCCAATTATCTGTTTGAGCAAGGCGAAGAGGACGATCTCCCTCCTCAGCTGTGAGACCGGGTTTGGGATGGACGTAGCGTTCGTGTGTAGGTATAAATCTGTGCCTCGATCGAGAGCTCGGGAGTTGGGGAAGTGATGGTCAGGTGAGGATTTAACGAGTCATGCCTATGATGTGAATGCATCGAAACCGTTGTGTGGTCCACGTAACTATATCACTTGTTCATCCATTGCATATGACAGGCAACTGAATAAGTTCGATGTGAGAGCTCTGGACAGTCCACTAAACTCAAGTTTCATGATCATGGTCAAATGTGCATTCATTCATCCGTTCATTACATTACTTTTACCTGATGCTATGCTAACGAGTTATACCTTACCGAATGATATCTCCTTTTCCATTCCAATTCCTGACGACCGTCTCTCACCCACATGGATGAAACCACAAGCAAACACGCCGAGATGCAAACTCCTAATTTCCTCATTTCCTAATTCCTTCATTTACTCTTCTGTCACACACACTGTTCTCCCTTGATTCAACCCCTACTTCAGTGTATAACGACTTGAAGTCTCTAACGCTTCACAGTCCTTCGAAGACCTTTGATCTTCCTCCCACTAGGACTACCTGGAGTATCACCCGCCACGCCCATACTGAATCCCCCTTCAGGTGTAGCAGGTCCCGGACTTCCGAACCTAGGTGTAGGACCAGGAGAAGCTGCCCCTGTACCTGTTCCTGCTCCTGCACCAAAGACGAACGGTTGGTTGTTCGTTGTAGACGCCCCGAATTGAAATCCAGGACCTGGAGTGGGTGCCGAAGGGGTTGACGGAGCAAAGGAAAATTGAGAGGAAGGAGCTGCGAAAGTGAATCCTGGAGATGATTGTTGAGGAGCACCGAAGGGATTAGGATTGGGATTGAGATTGGGATTGGGATTGGGATTTGCTCCGAATCCTTGTGCTGGGGGAGGTGCTGAAAAGTTGAATGTGGAGGTGGGTTGTGGAGGTCCGAATGGATTCGAGTTGGAGTTGGTAGGATTTGAAGAGTTGAAGGAAAATGAAGATGTGGATGTTGTTTGTACAGGATTACCGAATGTGTTATTCGTGACTGTCGCTGTGGTTGTAGGAGCGCCGAATGCGACTGTCGAAGAGGGTTGAGATGTACCGAAAGGATTAGAAGGTGCGGGGGCGAAAGCAGGTGTGGAAGTGGTATTAGAAGAACCAAATCCGTTGGAAGGGTTGGTAGGACCGAATGAGAACCCTGGGGCAGGAGCTGTAGAGGTGGAGGGTGGACTGAAAGGATTTGGAGCAGGTGTTGTACCTCCCGAAGCGGACTCTTTCGATTCCGCAGGTCTGCCAAATGAGAAAGCTGGGGTTTCGGCGGGTTTACCAAAAGTGAATGCGCCGGCGGCTCCTGATGTGCTAGATGTCGACGAAGCTGTTTCAGGTTTACCAAATGTAAAGCCACCATTTGCCGGGGTGGAGGAAGTACCAGTCGACTGAGTGCCGATGGTAGATTTGAAGCCAGAGAATGGGTTTGCTGTACTGCCGCCATTACCATTTGAAGACGTTGACGCAGGGGCGCCGAAATTGAAGGTTGATTTCGGTGCTTCGGTAGGAGCTGCAGGTGCTACAGATGATGAGCTAAAGTTGAATGCCGGAGAAGACTCTCTGGGGGTGGGATTGGATGAAGCACCGAATGCAAAAGTCGATTTCGGTAATTCGACTTTAAGGGTTTCTGTGGCAGGAGCGGCAGACGTAGCAGGAGCACCGAAGTTGAATGCAGGTTTAGCAGCTTCGGCTGGTGCGCTGGGGGTGAACGAAAAGGACGTAGTGGGTTTAGGTGCTTCGGCTGGTTTCGACATCTGGGCCTCATTGCTCTGAGATGATGGCTGTGACGACGGTGCACCAAAATTGAATGCCGGGGTGGTAGTCGCAGTCCCCGTCTTGGCAGTACCAAAGCCACCAAAGGGAGAAGGAGTGGACTTTGGCGGCTCGGAAGGTTTATTGCCGAAATTGAAAGTTGCAGTGGAACTCGTAGTGGCTTCCTTCCCTGAGCCTTGGAGCACCGCAGGGACATCGGCGGACTTTGGTAAACCAAAGTTGAAAGTGCCGGTGGGAGCAGGTAATGTAGGTGTAGCCACTACAGGCTCTGCAGGCTTTGAGGGTAAGCCAAAGTTGAACACCGGTGGCGTGGTAGTGACTGGAGTGTTGGTTCCAGACGAAACGGCAGACTTCGATTTTGAGAAAAAGTCGGGAATGGCATTTGTCGACGATGCCTTTTCCTTCTCCTCGACTACAGGAGGTTTACCGATTCCCAGACTGAGTGACGACTTCTTCTTCCCTTCGCCAGAAGGCGGTGCAAAAAAATTAGAGACAGGCGGTGTGGCAGTAGGCAGTGATAGTGACGCGGCAGGTTTTGTAGCGGTGAGAGAGAAGAAACCGGTCGAATCGGGTTGGACGGAAGATGACGAGGGTTTGGACTTGTCTTTCTCAGGAGGTGAGTCAGGTTGAGCAGTGATGCTATGTCCTGCCAATGGGGAAGAAGCACGAGGACGAGTGGATAGGGCTGAATTGAGTAAAGTGGAGCCAAGACGAGGAGACTTGGGAGTTTCGGCACGTGGAGGTCCTAAACGACTCAACAATGAGCCACCTACAGGAGCTGTAGGCTTGTCCCTTTGTTCTGGAGCGGCCGCAGACGTGACTCCTTTCTCAGATACAGGATTAGACGCCAGCGCACCGAAGGAAATTCCAGAGAACGACGGTAAGGGGATCTTCACTTGTTCCAGCTCTTCCATGGGTGGCAAATCTTCCTCTCGAGCTGAGAATCGTCCGGCTGATCCAGTCGGTGATGTCGCGCGTGAACTCGAGTAGCTAGCAGCTCCAGTATGTGTTCTTTTCGACATGGTCTTGGCACGCAAACTTGAGCTTCCCTTCGGTAATTCCCCATCCTGCAGCACAGTATATCCCGCCGCGCCCTTGGATTTATCAGATGGTGAAGGTGCCGTCTCTGTGATCATAGGTACAGCCGATATATGCGGTACGGGCGGAGGTGGAGGTGAAGTAGCTTTGTCTACAGTAGCCTGTCGTTTGCTTCTTCTCGGGGTTGATTCATCGACGACTGCTTTTTTGATAGAACGTCCTTTACCATTCGCCTTCCGTCCCTTTGGTGTCTCTTCAGATTCGGCAGAGACATCGCGAGATGGTTCACGTCTTAGTCTGGTCGACCGTCGAGGAGTGCCGGCAGGGTCTGGTGATCGTGATGGTGAAGGTGAGGGAGCGCTTGCACGACTGCTGACTTCTGTCCTCGCTTCCGATGGGCTTCTGCTCGGAGATGAGCTCGGCCGGTAGTCTACGTATAAGCTCATCGTAAGTCATTCGCGAATACAGGGCTAGCTTACCTGTATCCATTTCACGCATCTCCTCCCGTTGTCTAGCTTCCCTCATCGCCTTCTCAGCATGTAGTCTCCTGCCGTATGGACTGATCAGTATAGAAGTCCTCTCCTCACCCAGCCGGTGATTTTCTCGTCTCTGTTTTGCCGATGCACCAGCCTGAGCGGTAGCCAATGGGACTTGGACTGCTTTTCTGATACTTCTTGACGAAGCACCGACGAGTTCCGGAGGCAGGAATTGACTTTCTGCTGCAGGTTTGCGTGCGTCTGACAAAGGGGTTTTGCGGAATGACTCGAGCGCCATGAGGATACGCTCCGCTTCATTTTGAGGTACAGCGGGTTGTTGATCTGGCAGTCAGCTCATGCACACATCAAACAAGGATATCTGTCTCTCTCTAACAAATAATTGACGAATGGGGAAAGATACTGACCGGCTCTGAGATCGCTCTCTCGCACAAAACCTCGATTACCATCCCATACCAATGGACCTTTCCGAATTTTAGGCATACTGGTAGAAGGAGCGAGGGAGCTCAACCTTTTGGAGGCAGCCTGAGAAGCTGGTGATGCTGATCCCCAACGATCACGCATAAACCAGTCCTGCTGTCATCATTAATCCCTCCTCTTCAACTGTTCTTGATAAATCACTCACCAGCACACTGTTTTCTCTCTTCTCCCTATCTCTATCCCCATCGCCACCATCGACACTCATCCGATCGTCCAAAGCACCATTCGAAGTGAACAACATTGAACTGGAAGGTCTCAGTGCGCGACCTGGACTACGACCCATGCTAATATCCGAAGCAACACTGGCCTGTCTGCGAATATTGGCCGTGGTGGCAGCTCGTGTGAGACCGGTGGAAGGTTGTCGTGTGTGAGAGGACGAAGGCTGGTGACTTGCAAATCTAGGACTGCTAGGTGAAGGTGGAGCTCGGAATGGTGATGCTGAAGGAAGTGCATACTACGAGTCAGCGAGTGACATGAACTTGATCGATGGGACAGCTTACCTCTCGACTTTCTGACATTCTTGTAGGTGTTTGTACCTGTCGACTGGGTGTGGCAGGTCTTTTGACAGGTGCAGGAGAGGTTTTATGATGTTTCCATGGACTCCAAGGTTCTTCCTCTCTCCTCCTCTTTTCTCCAGTATCTCTCCTCTCCTCTCTCTGCGATGTCGACGGTTTAGGTGTATCTGGTACGTCCTCTTCATCATTGGCAAGAGCAGCCAAATCCATTCGTTTCGATCTTGTCAACAAACCTTTACTTCTCGTGTTTCTCGCCGGGGAGAGTATATCTGGTGGAGGATCCATATAAGGCATACTCTTCGATCCTACCATCCCCATGGGTCTTGAATAATTCGTCATCATTCCTCCTTGTCGTGGAGCGGATGATTTAGGAGTGAGAGTAACATGAGCAGGTAAAGGTGGTATCATAAATCCCGAAATCGCACGACCCGTCACACTCAATCCTGCACCATTACCAGCATCAGGTTCATATTCCCCTTTCTGATGACGTCCTTCTATACCCCTCCTTTGTAATGGGGATTCATGTTCCGACATTGGGTCTTCTAGATCGGCATCGAATCTCTCTCTGTTCTTTCTAGAGGGGATGGGTTTCGAAGGTGTAGCTAGCCAATGTAGGGGTTTGGAAAGGAGGTTTTTGGCAAGTGAGAACAGAGAGCTTTCAGAGCCGGATCGAGTGAGGGAAGCGGATGAATTACTTTTCACCATTCCTGGTCGAGTGGTTTGTATAGGTCTTTTAGGAGAACGTGATCTTTGAGGAGATTTTCGATCATTCCCGAAACCACCACCAATTCCGTTGAATCCAACACCATTGTAATTCTGTAAGAAATCCATTCCGCCGTCGACTCCACCCAAACCAAGTGGATGGGCGGGGTTTGGTCGACCGGCGTAACTCGAAGGTCTGGAGTACGGTTTGGATAATGAGTGTAGACGAGGACTGTCAGATGGTCTGGTAGCTCCTGCTAAGTGTGAATACGAGTTGTTTTCTACCCCGGTCATGGGATCTTCGCCCGAGGTCGAAGGGAATGGGAGTCCCCGTCGGCGGGACATTTTGAAATGTGGATAGGAGAGGGTATAAAGTATAGAAGGATACAGCGGAGAGTATGAGTTGCGATCGTGAGCCGTTATATGTGGGAAGGGATATGAGAAGCCTTTGTCGACGAAAGAAATTTATTAAATCAAAGAGACAAACCACAAGTGAAAACACGCAGGAGACTTGAGATCGTTTTCGTTTTATTCTCTCTAGTCGACTGACGTTTCGAAGGACAACGTTTTTGCGCTCTTCTCGGTCGGCTGGAAAAGAGAAATAGCTCCAGCTGAGAGCTGAACAAGGAGCCAAAGGCCCAAATGAGAGGGACAAGGTAATTCTTGATGTTGAACACACGTCAAAGATTCTGGACGGCGAGGGACGGGATTATTTCTCGCGTCATTTTCTCATTTTTTATCCCAAAACGAGCGACAACTGGTTCAGTGGCTCAGTGGCACGGACGGTACGCGGTACAGGGCATGAAGATGCATGACTTTAGGGCCAAGGGACTAATTATGAACAACAACTTAGGGCATATGCACATGTCATCGTCGGGTTTGTTCAACATTGCACAAGACTACAACTATCGTAAAGTTCCTTGTTATAACCATCCGATCCGAAGGAATGAGAAACAAGAATACTCCGTCGGAATCGAAGAACGGGTTCATGACTGAGGTCTTTGTTCTTCTCGAGTAGGTTGTGAAGACTGTGTCTAAGCATCTTGATCAGGGCAGACGACAAGGACGAACATTATCAAACGCCCCATCTGCGTTGTCCGTCAACTGCCATCCTAAACCGGTAAGTCCTCTACCGATAGCTTCGATGAAAGCTTCTCGTCTTTGAGAAGCATGTTTGAATCTAAAGTCCACTACGGCCTTGGCATTAGCCTCATAGTCAGCTCAGAACCATTCCACTCTCTCAAATATCATCAAAATCATTGAGAAGAGAGTCATGCAAAGCTTGAGAGGGTAAACGGGAGAACACACCTTGACGCTTTCAAGAAACCCCCGGATATCCTCTTCAAGTTCAGGAAGAAGAGCTTCATAACCTTCCTGATGAGCTCGATCGAATCGATCCTTGGGTCTTGTTTTCGTGGCGAGAACGACTGCCGGTCTTCCATTCGCAAGACTCTTCGGGATCACGTAGTCTTCACGTGGTTTAGAATACTGTCCATTCCTGTACGCCGACACGGTCTTGGCGAATTGTTCGTCAAAGTCGTCCATCGTCACTTGACTAACGCTGACAGCCGGGCGATATACTTCTACATCCGCTTGATATACCAAAGGCAACGAAGATCCAGCTGAAGATACGGACTGACGAGAAGATTCAAAAGGATCATTCGTTTTGATAGGAGGAAGTCGGATCTTATTCGGAGGGGAAAGAGAACGTGAAAAAAGACGATCTTCGTCCGTGTCATCATGCATACCATTAGCAATTGCGTTTTGGGCGTTCAAGGCGGCTTGTCGTTTTGCCCCTCCTCTGGCAGACGAAGATAGCTGCAGTCGTGGTCTAGGAAGTTGTGGCGGTGTGGGAGGAGTGACAGCGTCGTTCAGAGGAGGAGTTTCACTTGTCATTCGAGATTTCCTCAACTCTTCTTGATGACGTTGAGCGGAACGTATGATATAGAAAGCTTCTGAGCGTATATCGCTTTCCGGAGGAGAAGGATAAACGTCTCCCATTCCTGCTCTTGGAGCAGTAGGAAGTGGGTTTTCGTCGACGGTCAGGCCGAATGTAGCTGAACGAGCGGAGGTGCTTTGAGCTGGTACCAGGTGATTTGAGACGGAGGTAGACGTCACTTCTCGATGACCGACGGTAGCTCGTGTGGGCGGAGTCGAAACGGGGTTATGGTTAGATAAACGAGGTTTGGTTCTGGGTTGTTGTCGAGAGGAGGATTTAGAAGGATGTGAATCAAATGGATCAAGTTGAGGTTGAGGAGTTGAAGAAAGAGAAGCGCGGGAACGCTTCTTCGATTCGGAGCGTATTTGAATCATCGAAGTAGAAGGGAGAGAAGGTTTGGAAGCTGTGACTTTAGCTTTTGTAATAGAAGGAGAGTCATTCTTTGCTTTGGCGGCCGCGGTCGCACGGGTCACGCGAGAGTGCATGAAGATGCTATACACCGTTTCCGCGGATTGGAACGAAGAGAGATATCACCGAGTCGCCGAAGGACAAGGGAAAAAAGAAGGAAAGAAGGTTGTGAGGTCAGTTGGAAGGAAGGAATCGGTTACGGACGAAGAATGATGAGTGAACGCGGTGATGACGAAGATAACGTCATGGTATAAAAGAACAGTACGCCGAAACTTGCACTGCTACCTCGAAGAAGAGGGCGGTCAACGATAAAGGGCATTATGAAACATCTTTTGAGGGATTGTACAAGGAGTATGACATAGGTACCCTTGACAGGGAGGGTGTTGCGTCGGAAGGGGGAGGCTGAGAGAACAGATCGAAGGAGGTATGCGAAACGAAGTCTTGGGAAGTAATTCCAAATTCACAAGATCTTTGTCAATCTGTTGATGGAGAAGTCATGAGAAGTAACGAGCCCGCGAGCCAACGAGCCAAGGGGACAACAGATTATGCGTCATATCGTAGTAGGTAGGGGAACGTAGATGATTGATCACAGGCTATTGGCCTATTGGGAAGAACTTAGACAGATTAAAAGTAACAACTTACGTTCCGGCTTGTGTGTCACGACAGAACTAACACTAGGTTGTGGTTGTCCCCTACTTTTATCTGTCAATTGTACATTTGCCGATCCCTCTGTTTCATTAACATTCCACCCTTACGCGTCGATTCAGTCTCAATAGTAATAATTCAATATGCAGATAATTTCTCACATATAAAACTCACCTCGACTAATGGTATTTTCGGCAATTGCAGTCGAACCATGTCGAGCTGTACCTCCTTCCAACTCTTCAATAACATTACCTTGTTCATCTTCAACGACTAAAGCCCAACCTTTCCAACCTTTCCTAGCTGCCGGTTTCTTCTTTGGTCGCTCATGTTCCACAGCTACCGTTACATCTCCTATAGCACGTTCTCTCGGTATGTCATTGGTGGTTGCGAGGGGGGACGATTTATTGATGGAGGAGAAAGATTGGGGACTGAGAGCGAAAGGTGGGGAGATAGAAGTATTTGGTAATGCTGGAACGTGATGTGACATGATATTCAGCTTGAGGAATTCAGGTTCTTGGAGATGGCGCGCGGAGATGGAGATGAGATACTGGATCGAGAAGAGCAAAGGCAAGCAAGTCACTATTGTCAAGTAAGATGAAAGTTATAGATGCAGGAATAGACAGAAGAAGAGATAGGCTGACAAAAAAGCGTAAAGGACGTTCAAGTGGTGATGTGGATCTGTCGAAAGGTAAGTAGTAGTAGGAAGGCCAAACGAGAAAATGACACAGGATGATGATCACACGGAAGAATTCAATCCCTTTACAAGATCTCTTCTCTTATTTCTTGCTGTTTTGGGCCTTCCTCTGCATGCACCGGTACGCGCTACGTGTTTCTCGATACACAGCTCACCGAGTAGACCGACGTACCGACGTGCAGCTAAATCTTGCTTGTCTAATGCGGTGGAGGTGTGTGTACGGATGAAAGACTGACGGAAAACAACCCGTCATCGTCTACTTAACTTGACCCACGCTGAGACGGTTGGTCAAGCGGCCAATGTTGCCGTCTCTATCTAGCTCCGCTCTATCCTCTCCCTTCTTCCTACTACTTTGAGTCGTGCATTGATCAATTATTCAAGTGACCCCTGTTACTTTTCTTACGCCCAAAACGCGTCGTATCCTCTTCCCTTCGTCATGATGAGGTGTTTTTGAACAAAGGGGGGAACAGTGGCACGGCATGACTTCCGACACGCCACACACCAGTCGAATTGTCGCGTAGCCCCACCTCCCCTCAACCTCCTCCTATGCAAACCCGTTTCAGTCAAGTACTATGACGCACATGCATGAATGTGTAAGCACCCCGACGAGAGGGTTTTGTGTGAGGGATGAAAAGGGAGAAGCAACGAGCTTATTACTAATGTTACCTAAAATCAAAGTCTATAAACAAAAATCTCCACCGATAAATCCAGATCAACTGGCTGACTTTCGTCCTTCTGCAGTCCAGCTGTGAGGGCTGTGTGCTATGATATTCTCCGCGTGTGCCGGTTTATCTCGGAATCGAGTCATATCTGGCTCATCAGTTCCAATTCCTCACTCAGACCTAGTGGCACTCACGTAGGAGGGATTTCATTTCCTAAAACTTGCCCATCGTCAACCTCTGGCACACCGCCATCTTGGTGAACATGAACAGCACCTCCACTTCCGCTCGTGCCCGTTGGGCTCATCGGCGGCGCTCCGCTAGGTCCACTCGCTTGACCGTACGGATTGGCGACGTGGAACTGCTGTTGTTCTTGATAGGCTTCACGTTGCTTGGCCGACATGGCTCCGACACCGGCGCTATACCCAGCAGCACCTGCCGCCACGCCCGCAGGAATAGATGGCATGGGTGGAGCGTCCACACCGGCTGCTCCCGCACCGCGTCCGGCAAAGCCAGCGGAGGTGGCAGCAGACGAAGGACCGCGAGACAAATTTTGAGCATTGCCATACCCTTCGGAGGAGGCAGAGCGTGGGTATTGGGTCATTTCTGGCGAGTTATTGGTAGTCGAAGCGACGCCTGGAGCCCAATAAGGGTCGACGTTGTTTGCGCCAGGATCGGCCAAATCGACTTGGGCATGGTTTTGAGCACGTGCAGGGTCGAACTGAGCGTCAGCGATGACAGATAGAAGTAGTCCGTTTCCGATGGAAGGAATGTATCTGGTAGACGACGGGATAGGCAAGGGTATGAGTACGTACCATCATATCGTCAAAGTCATCTCGATGAGATCTTCGCCTCTTGAAGCAGAAGAAGTATAGTAAGGCGGCGATAAGGATGGCGCCGACGACACCTCCGACGGTACCTCCTACAATAGCGCCCGTGTCTGCGACGTCAGTGACGGGAGGTTTGACGTCGAAAAAAGACTCACGAGACGAGCTTGATTTGCCGGTAGGAGAAGATATCACGGCTGATGTAGATGTTTCTTTTGAACCATCGGCATTGGTGAGTGTCACCGTTCTACATATTCAGCTGCTGATCGTCCTGAACGCGGATTGAGGGGAGAGATCGAACTCACACATAACTGATAGAACCCGCGCCTGCAGGGATGGAGGAGCCAGATGGGATGAGCGACAATGAACCAGAAGTTGAGATGCCCGCAGACGATGTGGGAGCACTACTGGTTGGTACAGCTGAAGTAGTACTAGCGCTTGCTGTAACAGAAGCGGAGGCTGAAGCGCTAGCAGATGCCGAGGCTGATGCAGACGAGTTGTCAGGCGATGAGGTTGGCGCTGTTGCTGACGAGGATGGGGGTGGAGCCGACGAGCCCGGAGCTGACGAGGTGGGTGCAGGTGCCGAGGAGGTGGGGGCGGGAGTAGATGAAGGTGGAGGCGATGAAGTTGGGTTTGCGGCAGAAGCTGAGGCTGATGAGCTTGGAACGATGGGAGATGACGAGTCCGTATCAGACGATGGGAGAGCAGTCGTATCGGTCGAAGAGGTATCAGACGACATGTCGATAGAAGAACTTGGTGAATATGAATTATATACGGGGGTAGATAACAAAAAGGAGTCTAGAAGAAGGAATAATGTGAGAAGAAAAGAGGTCTGATGTGAAAATTTGAGGGGGAGTGACCACTACCCCTCGAAGATTCGATGAATCGATGAAGACCCGAGAAAAGACAGTGTCGGGTTGATGATTAATGATGTTGGGAACGAGGGAGATAACACGAGTAATGCAGTGGAGTTGCAACACTACTATGCAAGGGTCTCGCTTAGATTGATGGGGAGACACTCTCTGAAACCGATGGTGGAATCACACGTCTCCTCCCACTCGCGTGGTCAGGGAGAATTTGGGGGTAGCTGAGTGGGGATATGTGAGGGCGTGAGACGACCAAGACAGGGTTCAGATACGAGTAGAACGAGGTGGAAGGTGTGTACAACGATGAGAAACAGATGCCGCCCAACGCCGAGGACGACCGGGCTGCGGTGATGGCAGGGTTTACTTGGCTTAGGGGCTAAGGGGCTGTGCGTGACGAGTGTGGGTAGGGTGATGAATTCCAGATGGAGCTCCACAAGATGATTTGATCAAGGATGACAACCCATCCAAAAGTAAAGAAATAGACTCACACATTGTTCAAGAGACCAATAGGCAGGTGTCGAGCGGAGAAAAGACAAGGGGAAGAATGGTTTTGATATACGTTGAAAGGAAGAACGTTCGGTTATTGTTGACGTTGATCACTCCACAGGCCACAGGCCACTCGGCGGCCGCCGGTCTGAGTAACTTGTCAAAAAAAAAAAGACTATTCTCCTGTGTCTACACTTTACTAAGCGTCGATGTTGATGTATACAAGACGAGAGATGAAGAGTGTAGATGTACAATGTGGAGTATCAAAGAGAGATGGATGAAACCCACTTAGACTAGGGTGACAGAGGGAAAAAAACGGGGGAAGAGAGATGAAAGGTACGGCATGGCGACACACTTCTCCCTTGACCCGTCTTATGCATGGCCGTCTTCAATCTCGGAACATATTCAACCCGCGTTAATGGGGCGGTGTGAACCCACATGCACCGGAGTTTGTACCTCTCTTGGCAGTTCAGCTTTGACTCGAACCTCTTCTCCCACTCCCGCCTAAGCCGCCTAGTAGTACCAGTACCTAACGTACTTACTGATATGATGCTAAGAGGCACTACATTTCTGCATGGTGACCGTTGGACGTCACGGACGCTTGGTCAGTGGCAGTGACGTCGCCGGTGTCATGTTGTTCCTATTCACCTTCAGAATTTGTCCGTCACCCCTAAGGCAAAAAAGTGAAGGAGAATTGAAAAATGAGCTAGGCCTACTGCACGTAATTTCGGCTCGTTTCGCAGATCTCCGTCAGGCGCCAGGCCCAAATCCCTGTCTCCCTGTAGCTTACTAATACTACTATCGATGCCAGCCATAAATGTATTCCACGTAACATAATTATTATTCTTCGTTCATATCTTCCATCTCGATCCACAAAACTGTTCCGTCAAGGTCGGCGTTGTCTTTGGTTGTTGAGATAATGCTTTCCGGGTGGATATCTTCAATCGCTCGAGTATAGATCAACTGTCGATGTAAGGGGTGCTTTACCGTCAACGTCGTCACCCGCGTATTTTCGATGGCTCCTCTACCCTTCAGCAAATGAGGAGCTTCGCGGCCAACCTCTGGCCATAACATGCGGGAGATCACGAGTAGTCGGACGAAACGGAGAGAAGGGAGCGAGGCCACAATCTGAACAAGGAAACAGGTAAATTGGGGTATCTGCCAATTACAAGCAATTGGAACACAGGACCGCGGTAGGGGCTGAAGGGTCACATTAAATGGACTCACCGATCAAGACCTATCCACTGATCGACACACTCCTCATATCATCACGAGTCCACTATACACGACCGGATGAGGTTTATACGCATATGGTTCAGATTGCGGGAGAGAGGTGGGGGAGCCAAATTACTGAGATTGTGAATCAGGTTGATCGACGGAGAGACGGTCGAGGATCAAGGTGGGATTGGGGATTGGAAGAGAGGAATACCGGAAGTGGGTTGATTTCTCCTGGTATATGTCAGTCACCCTCTCACTTATGCTTCCCTCTTAACTCACAATTTTACGGACAAATTCCCGTTCGCGTCATACACACAACTCTTGGCATCTACATCTATGTTGAGTGAGGTGAGCAGGTGAGAATGGGGAGACTTGGTGATAAATAAAGAAAGACCAAGGTGCGATTCATAACTCCTGGCCATGACCACTTGATATCATAATCTTGACGTACTAATCATCGAGATGTTAATATACTGACACTTTTCATCGCGGTCTCCTTCATATGATGAGGAGGGTTGTTGGAAACCTGTGTTATCTTTCGTCAAGATCAAAGAAGACTCTCCCTTGCGAAGATCCAAGCACTCACCTGATAATTGAGAATGATAGGTCTGAGACACCCTTTTTACGCCACAAGACATGCCCTGTGGCCTGTGGTCCTATATCTCGGACCCAGGCCTGACAGGGATCAGTTGGCTATGACGTCTAATTGGGTGTCGAAAGGGGAACAAAATCTGCGACTAGTCAATCTTCATCCTCTCCATACCCTCCGTACGCCCGTCGGCCGTCGATCGCCGTCGAGCCATCGACGTAATTCTTCATTCGTTCTTCGGCTCTTGGATTTCTGTGATAAGGACCACGCGGCATGTAAAAGCTTACGACGATGGAGACGTGTATGCTGGATTCGGATTATGGATAGTCGATGATCGACGGTCTAGCTTAATGGAGAATAAACTTGCGACTCCGGGAAAGGGTGAGGCACGTATGCCCATGCACCACACGCCAATTAGGTAGGTACCCGCAGTCGCCCTCACGTCCACTCTTTGTGTGTATCATTTATCCCCTCGTATGATATTCAAGGAGGCTGTAATTCTACTCGGCTTCGAAGATTGTCCGGCGATGGTTCCCCATAACAAAGGTAAGGTTGACAATGATAAGATCATCCATCGTCCGAGGGAACGCCATCCCGAGGTCCGGATGGGGTGGTAGGTCCGTGCTTGAATTGAATGACCGAGGGTACTTAATTATGTTAGTTCAGGTTTGTCATGCGCCCGTGATGAGACTCACCCTGGAACGAGGTACCTCTTGAAACTTATAACCCTGATCATAACAGAAGAGACGGATCAGAGGAGAGATATTGTGTTTCACTCGTTAGGAACATCGTGGATCAAGGTCTTGGTGTTGGTCGGAAATCCCGCCGGAAAATGTCCAAATTGGAGGATTCAGGGTTGGTTCAGTCTGGTCTATCATCAGTGCATTCACAAGCTCGAAGAGAGAGGGCAAGTGACCTATTGTATTGCAGAGAGAAAACCGTTCGTTAACTACTAGCAAATCGGATCGAGAGTGTAGCGTACGTCTTCATTACCACTCCTTCCCCACTTCTGTCACTGCCACTCTGATCTACAGCTCCACCCCTCGTCGCTTTCCCGTGGCGTCAAAAGACGAGAGTTGAGTAAGATGACCGACTTTCAAAGGACCCAAGGTGCCTCCTCTAACCTCAAGAGGGCACGAAGATTAGCATCTCGCTTGATTCTTTCCCGAACGCCCATTGATGCTGTTCATGACGCAACGCGTACGCCTCTCTTTCCTCCTCCCCCTTCGGCCCATTGTCCAGATCATCCGTGCCGTGGCTTTCGATGTCAGAGACACAAGCCCGAGTCGGGAGAAGTAGAAGTGACGGACATGTGATACCACAAAGTACCGAGGAGCAGGATGAGCACACTCCACTTGCCTTCACCGATTTATCCCGTCTAGGATCGTCCGTCCTTCTCCAAATAGATAAAAGGATAGCCGTAGATATTTTGAAGGGTGGCGGAGACGTATCAACAGCCATTATAATGTCTGAAGAGGAGTATGAAAGTCCATTGAGATACTACGAAGGGATGGTAAGTCATCTATGCCATGTGGCGTTCAGAACGCGGAGCAACGGAGCAGAGTATTGACCGACAGTTTTTCTCTAGTTTTGTGGGTCATCAACAACCATTCCTTCTCTACTGACTGAGAAGCAAGATGACTATTGTATGCCGGTAAGTTTCGGGAGAAGTCTACAGAGGTATACTCACAGCCAGGCTCCTTCACACCCACCAGAACTGCATGTGGGTCCCACGTTCCATCTCATTTTACTCCCGGGTCACATGGCGCACGGGCTCATCCTCGTTCCCTATCCATCGTCTTCTTCGTTCACTTTTCACTCTGTTATATACAAAAGCTGACTATCTCTCCTCAATTAGCGTCTAGAGTACCTCCACAATATCTTTCAAACAGTCATTGGCAATATACCAGGTACACTTGTCTCTTTTGATGGCACCTGCAACTGGTAGCTGATCTCCAAGACGAAGTGTCAACACTTTTCCGTGATGGTCACCCGCATCACGTTCTCGACGTGGGGTGCGGTACAGGTCAGTGGTGGGCCCTCCTCTCAAGGATTCTTGAGTATGTCTGCTGACTGGCGAACAGGGCCAAGGAGATTTGTGAAACGTATCCCAACGTAGAGGTGAGTTTCCATCAACATCATCAATGAGCCAACTACGTTGACCACGGGGAAGGTCACTGCGATAGATCTCGTCGATGTACCCTTAGCTTCTCATCCTTCTAATTTCGAGTGAGTTTCAATCACATATCGGGTAAGTGCTAAAGCACAGATTCGAAATACGTGATGTGACCCTGGGATTACAGTACAAAGCGAGTTTCTTCGATGTGGTCCACATAAGGGACATTGGTTTGGGGGTGAGTTTAGTCTTTAGTCTCTCCTGCCAATCCTCTCTTTCTGGAATTCTTTGACTCGCTTGGTTTGTGTGAGATATCGGGGAGACTGCACGTTGTGGATGATCCAACCATCCTGGTCAGCGCGTCCTCCATCGCGCGTCATTGCTCCATCAACATGACCATCTCTTTTCATTCATGTCCTATCTTGGTTCGTCCAGGCTTCCTCTCATCTCACATCCTGCAGGATATCAACACATTATCACTGTCACATTTCCAGAACCCAATGACCAAATTGATACCATAGCCGCGAGATCGCAATTGCCCAATTGACTGACGCCCTTCCCAGATCCGGGACTATTCCGAACTTCTCCGTCAATGTGTTCACGTTCTCAAGCCAGGTGGTTGGCTTCTTGTGTTGGAGCTTGAGTGGGAAGTCGCTCATCCTCACACCGGAGAGAATCCAGAAGAACGGTATCCCCATCTGGTGCAGTTCGTCTCTCCTTATCTCAATCATTGTCATGACCACTTCAACCCGTTTCTCCTGCGTCGTTGCCCGTGCGTGAGGTGAACGCTAACATCAATAGACTCCTGTAGGTCATATATCCATTCTCACTCTTTCATATTGCTCATGCATCAGAAAGTTGTTTCGAGAAGCAATGCAGGAAAGAGGGCTTAATCCGTGGCTGGGGTACAATCTCTATGAGACCATTGATGAGATACCCGAATTAGGAGTAATCACCAGTATCCGAACTTCAGCAGCACTAGGTGGAACAAGGTTATGTGAGTTCCGCTCCTGTATGAAGTTGTATATTCCTCGACTGACGCAATCGTTCTCCTGACCTCATCCACATACTACCATACTTTACCCTCGAACACAACATCGTGCACGACCTCATTATGATTGGTGCCCACAACAACCATCCCTCGTCTTCTGTGACACCGCATCAACCCCCCCTTGCCCGTTCATTCCCATCTTCAACTTTGATCTCTGCAGCCCCCACCCAGACATACATTGCCGACCAATCTCAAAAGGCCCTTTGCGAGTTTGTCAAATCTGTCAAGATCATGCTCCAGGATTACGGAATTGCGGATCCATCCGAGGTCGCTTCCGAAGCGTTGGCGGAAGTGGAGAAAGATGGAGATGGTCTGTGCTGGTTTTTCGACTTTTGTGCCGTTCGGAAACTTTCACCAGCGGCTACTGCGGATGATGAGGATGAGAACAAGTACCAAGAAGAGTAGGATCATATTCTGACCTCGTTCTCTCTGCCTGCGGTGTTCAGTACGGAGGGATCGACGGTAGATCATGGGGGAGTGTGGGACGATCGAACACGGTCATAGATGTGATTTGTGTTGGCCGATATATGAAAAAGGAATATCAGGAGTAGATGTGAGTGGGTGATAGGATTTATACAGCTTACAGACACATACATATATTCCTCTGCACGACACACCAGCAATTGGGAAGCTTCTGTGGCAGGTGTCGAATGGGCAGTGCCACTAACTAAACTGCCACGGTGACATCGTAGCATTTCTCACCCATCTCACCGTTTTACCATCCTTCTTCATGACTCTCCTAAATGTTATCGGAAGGCCTACGTCATAACACCATCGTAATGGATTGACACAGTCCTCAACCATCAACCTGCGTGCTACAGATGTGACGTCGGAACACCCCTCCGGATGTGACCTCCACCTCCACCTTGAACCTCCACCTCCTTCCATACGATAAAAGAGCTGTCCCGGGTAACACCTTCACATGCTGTTTCGTCTGCCTTTTCAACATCTTCTCCGTACAAATAGCGGTCAACTGAACAGATACTCATCGAACGCAACTTTCAGTAAAATGGTGAAAACTCTTCCATTCGCCGATATCTCAGTGCCGGTCCCTGGCTTTGGGTGAGTGTCCCAACCCAGATCCGCGTCAATTGCTGACGCGTTTCCTTATCAGTGCGATGGGCTTCTCTCAAGGTTATGGTCCTGCAAAAGAAGAAGAATCCTTCGAAACGATGGCCAAGGCCGTCGAGATCGGTTGTACTTTCTGGGATACTGCTGCGGTATACGGTTGCGGACACAACGAAACCCTGATCGGGGAGTTTCTGAAGAAGAACAATTGTCGGGACAAAATGTTCATCGCTTCCAAATGTGGTTTTGAGGTGAGCTCATCATGGTATGGCAAATGCCAAGTGTCTGAGCTGATTGTAGATTGATTGGGAAGCGAAGAAACCTCTTAAAGTGACCAACTCTGCCGAACATATCAAGGAATACATTGAAGGTTCCATCAAACGTCTGGGAACTACGCCCGATCTTTACTACTTGCATCGAATCGAACCTGGTCGTGATTTGAACGAATCTATCGGGGCTTTAGATGCTATTCGCAAAGCTGGAAAATGTAAATATATCGGTTTGAGTGAATGTAACGCTACCACTCTTCGTAAAGCATGTCAAAGTGAGTTTAGTCCTTCTCTCTTTCAAATGGATTAAACACTAACGAGTAGTCGCCAAGATCGATGCATTGCAAATTGAATATTCTCCCTGGTTCACCGACCACGAGCAAAACGGACTCATCGACACAGCACGAGAATTTGGAGTTGCCATTATCGCTTATTCTCCATTGGGCAAAGGTGTCCTAACTGGGAAATACACTTCCCCCGACCAATTCACCGAAGGTGATACTAGAAAGACCATTCCTCGTTTCAGCGCCGAAAACCTCAAGCTCAACCTTCGAATCGTGGAGCAGTTCAAAGCGTTGAGCGAGAAAAAAGGCTGTACACCTGGTCAATTGGCTTTGGCTTGGGTGGCAGCACAAGGCGCGCTCGCGATACCAGGCACGAAATCTGTAAATAGGTTGATCGAGAACTTTGGGGCGAGGGAAGTGGATCTTAGCGAGGATGAGTTGAAAGAGATCCGAGCGGTTATCGAGGATGCCAAACCCGTTGGTGAAAGGTACGTTGTATATCTCTCATGAGACAGGTGCTGATGTTAATACAGGTATGGAGAAGTCCATCTCAAGGCTGTAGGTCATTGAGTGGAAACCCTTTTGACTGATGAGAATCGACGGATGATCACGAAATGCATTCAGTGAGAACAGACGGAGTCATTCATACGCATGGTGGAGAGACTCTGAAGATTACTGACCTACTGACTTATTAGCAAGTCAGGGATCTTTCAGCGTTTGAGAGATATTCGACAATAATTTAGATCGGGCGATTATGGTTGAAGGGCACTATTGGCTGGCAATTTGTAGGTTAAGACAGGTCAGCAGCTTCGACGGAACAGATGGACGGTCACATTATTGCATTTCAGTGACAGTATACCACATGAACTCTCCCTCTGTCACTCAAAGGGGGTACATACAATTTTGATTGAAAAACAATAACGAATGACACTTTAGTACAGTGGGAGTTACGCTCGCCTGAAGTCATTATACTCTCCCGAGATGTTCGGAGGTAAAGCGAGAGGTCGTGGGCTCGAATCCCACAAGTGTCACGTTTTTGTGTCTTTTTGCTTTCCTTGATAAGGGAAGACACCATCCACAGGTTGTGCTCTCTTGTTCCTTACAGGAGATGAAGAAACAGTGGAGGAAGTCCTGTTGAAAAGTTTTCGCGATCGCCTTGTGCCCGTCTTGCCGCGCACACCACTGCGGTCATTGCCGCCCACGCGTCATATGTGAAAACTTGTAATCTATTTTCCATCGCTTCACGCATTCTCCATATATCAAAATAGGTTGAGAGGACAATGCCCCAACATCATGCACTCTCAATAGGTCGGTCATGAATTGATGCACCCATGTTGCATCATCACGCATTCGTGTCATGGATCTCGGTGGAAAACTCGTCTTTACACTTGCACTCTTTAACGCCGCGCCTCAAATTTCTGCATTTCCCTCTCCACCTGCCTCAATGTGGCCATCGCCTCGTCGGCCGTCGGCCACAGCGCTTACTTTTGTTAGCTCTTGGTACTTCTCCCATATTTTACCCCTTAGCGCCGCCAAAGTCGCCGGTAGCTTCTTGATAAATTCTTCGTTTGCCTCGAAGAGCTTTTTGAACATAGATATCGTAAACTCCTTTCAAGAGATCCACCAAACAAATTATCTTCCTCAGCGACCGACATGTTTATTCTTTGAGTTGTTAACAGACAGATTGGGAATCTCAGTCGGGGAGAAGACTTTCTCTTTCGATATTTTATTATTACCGGTGATCTCACTCGTCATCGATTGTGAATCGATGGTTGACATTATCGACATCATTGACCGTTGACATCATCGATCGGCATGACATCCCCATCGATTCCAACGCGCACTCACACGTCACCCCCACTACTCACTCGATCACTAACTCGTCACCCCTCTCACCTCTTTGACTATTCCTCCAATTCACCTCCATAAGCTAACCAAAACTTCCTCATTTTCTTTGAAGCTAGCCCCATCATGTCCTCTCCATCCTACTACGATTCTGATGATATCGGAGATTCCAACGAACCTGAGGATATATTTCAGACTATCAAAGAGGTCGAGGAGGATTTTGGGCTCGTCAAGCACCGCGTACCTTCACGCCGTCGTCAAGCAGAAGAAATGGGAGACCCCGAAGACTACGAAGCGTTCGCAGCACGACTCGCAAGCGACCCCTTGGCCCGACCAAGAGCAAAAAAGAGTCGTCTTCAAGTCATACGCCATCGTCAAGAGGAAGAGATGGAGGCGCCCGACGTGACACGAGCGTTTCATTTCGTCCTTTCTTTAGAACCAAGGGTCAGAATGCAGCTTCTCCGTGACATCGATCAATTCGGTAAAGCTCATCGTGGGCGTGATGGTCTGGCAAAAGGAACTCTAGTAGGCAAAGAGAGAACAAAGGCCGGCTTCATGGGTAAGTAAAGAATATAGAGATGGTCTATGGCTGACCGACCTCAGATCGTCTTTGCGACTTTCTGGGCCGCATTGTTCGTCGATCCGTGAAGCGAAATATCTCTGGTGATTTGATCACTTTGCGTCAGGGAGACCACAGAGAATGTCAGTCCCGGCTCTTTCGAGAAGGAGAGATGAGCTGCTAAGAATGGTACGTACAGTCCGTGTTACTTCTCACAACCCATTAACAATTGGACACCCATTGCTCCTTCCCCCAGAACCGAACCTAAGATATGTATTCAACGTCAAGATGATTCATCATATTCTTATCATCAGCTGATTACAGGTGAAAGTAGTTCCTTTTCCGCCCATGTCAGTACAAGAGCAATCACATGTCAGAGAAGCTATGGCAGCTGTACGTCTCCGTCCCGCTTATCACGCTAACATTTCAGCAAGCTCGAGCCTTAGTCAAGTACTATGACCTCGGACATCCTAGGAATGAATCGCAAGAAGACTCCGACCGGTCAGACAAAGAGCAAGTCAAAGCGGGAGGAGACATTTTGGGGAGAGAGGGTAATGATGCCGGAAAATCGATGGATGCGAAGGTGGAACGCGGGTGGGAGACGGGAGACGGGTGGGAGATGGGAGACGGGTGGGAGATGGAAGACGGTTGGGAGATGGGAGACAGGCGGGAGATGGACCAAATGGGGACGAACGAGGCAGGAGAATTCTCGGAAGAAGACGAGTCAGAGGGAGATGAGACTGTAGATGAAGGGGACGGTTCAGAGGAAGCAGAGGGTGTAGGAATACGCAGTGAGGGGGTCAGAGAATGTAGGGTACAACTGGCCGGCGCTGCACCCACCCGAGAGTACAGTGAGCCTGACATCACTGTAATTTCCGTTGGCTGATTGGTAGATTCCATGGCGCTACCTAAGAGTAAAGTGACCAGGTATGTCTGAAAGAGTATGGACAACCTTGTTCTGATCCTCCAGATCCATAAATAACCCTCATCAGACGGCCGACGAAGATGATTCGGACCCTGAGACAGACACACTGGATTCAACATTCCTCTCTTTCCTCCCAGATTGTAGGGATTGGCGAGATAGACTCGATGAGGAGATGTTTGAGCTCGGCATTGGACCATCAGTGTTTGAAGACAATGCCATCTCGTTTGATAACAGCCATATTCCCGCATCCTTCTTTGACGAGCAGGGAAATTTCAAGTGGTGAAAAGGGAAATTTACGCGGAGGAGATTCACAGCCGAGTCTTCGTGTAGTGAACAGGGGAATTTAAGTGATAGAGATTCATAGCCAAGGCTTCATGTAGGATCATGTTAATGTATGTATTTGTGTAACATGAATCATGGCACAACGGCTTCCTCGGATGGTACCACATTCATCAAGAGCTACATTGTTTCTGAGCCAGAAGTACGTTAAGGGACAACACTAAAGTAAATGCGCCGAGGAGAATATACCACAACACATCTATCGGTTAAAAAACATCAACAACCTGCGTAACTTGCCCCTCCTTCTGGATACCGTTCATGGAGTATAGTAAGTATCTCGTCGAGTGATAGCTACCTTCAATGGCGGCAGTGATCGTCCACTATCCCCGAAGAAACTGCTCCCTCTCCTCAGTCCTCGTGGTATGCTGGTGGGGTCGGGTGAATTCATAGTGTAATCAGGTTGGAAGAAGGAGTGTGGTATATTAGGAGTAGTGGGTGTGACGGGAGCTGTGAATGACATGTGAGACCAATTACCCATCGAGCGAGGTCTAGATCCGGAGTGTTCAACTTCCGACGTATCTTTCCCCGGATGTACAGATGACCAAGGACCGGGTTGAGTATGAGGAAAAGATGAGAATTGGGTATGTGAAGTATGTTCGTAAGTATGTTGTTGAGGTAGAACATGGGGTGGTGGGAAACCATATGATGTGCGGGAAAACGGGGTGTATGGAGAGTTGGGGGAATCTTCCGTTGGACTAAGTGTTTTGATGGTACCGACGGAATTTCGGTATGACGATTTACGACTTTTCCCAGTGCTAGGTCTAGCGGTTCTGTGGATCAGTCCTTTGTAAATGTTGTTTGGGATGAGAGTAAATTTGACATACCCCGGACAGGGACCACGTTTCTTTTGAGGACCTGAATAAATACATTCCACTCCACTTTCTTTACATCTTGAACAAGTGGCAGGTTCCGCTCCTGTCGCAGCGGAAACACCTCCAGCATCACATCTAACTTTTCTGTTTCTACAAGCGTTGCAAGCTTTGGTCGTCCGACTTATAGGTGCTCGCACACCTATGGATCCGCTCGTTCCTTGTTCGAAAGTGTGCGAGGTGAGAGGACGATGATATTCGTACGGTTGACTGGAGTATCGTCTGGATATGTTATGTGTGGGCCAAGCAGAGGCTGATGTGGGGATTGGAGGAGCAGTGGAGAGATTTGGTGGAAGATGATATCGGAATGGGGGAGAATCGACAAGGGGGTCGAATGTGTTATAAGTGGGATATTGCACAGAACCTGCTGGAACGGGATGTGAAGATTCGTTGAGTAAGGCAAATAAGCCAGAAGGTCTTCGAGGTTGTTGACCAAGTGAAAGAGGTGAGGGAACTGATCCCTTACGTTTCGAATCTGTATGTTCCCCGTCTGATTCACTTTCGTCAACTGTCACGGGTAATTCTTTCTCCCTCGCTGCGGCTTCAGATAACACACTCAAAGCTCCAATATGCTGATGGCCGGATAAAGGAGAGGGCATAGAATGGAGAGGAGGAGTTACGAGCGGTGGCGAAACGGATTGTCTGTTACTAGACATTTCGGAGGTTCTTCGAGAGGATGGAGCGCTGGAAATAGGAAGAACAGAGGAGAGTGAAGGTAAACCATCTTTTGCGGGTGAAGATGGGTTTCGATTAGAAACGTTGAAAATGGATGGGTTTGGAGTGTCCGAAGGACGATCGTCTTGGATGAGCAAATTTCGTAGTCCAGGAGACAACGCTGCTACCTCGGTATTGGTCGTCATATCGACTAAATGATGATGTGCAGGAGGAAAGGAGAAGACCGAAGAAAAAAGAGCGTTGGCAGAAACAAGTGAGGGGACAGAATGACCGACCAAGAGTGATTACAAGAAAGTCGAAGAACAAAGGGTTAGTGGGAGTTGGTGAACGGAAACGGATATGCTCAGAGGCGCTACTAAGCTTTGGAGCTCGAAGTGACAAAATCTTGTTCCTTCGCTGCCGTAGGGTCGGACTTCGGGGAAAATACCAAGCTTCGGTAATTGTTCTTTGGAGGTTTGTCCGTAATTGGCTAGATGAATGATAATCGTTCCCACGGGAATGACAAGCGGAGGAGACACAGGGCCTGGATTGTCTCAGAGTCTAAAAGTTGAACCGAGACTTTGGTTTTTTTTGAGGTGAAGTGTTGGATAAGGGTGTTGGTTTGCGACACCGGAGATGAAGTGAATATTGAGGGGATGGATCGATAAGCGCTGCCTTGACGGGATGTGGGGGATTGAAAAGATGTGATGAGTGTCAATCAAGAGTTAGTTATCTTTTCAGTCTTTCGTCAACAAACTTTCATCCTTCTCTTGAAGATCTGACGCCGTCAGGGTCATGTTCATAGCGTACAGACAGCACATTGGACGAACACAATACAATCTTTCAGCTTTACAAACGGACGTGTCTCAAATCAGTCCGATTGCCCTTACGCCTCTGGCCGCAACAGGGAATAAAAATACTCCGTCTGTTCCTTGCCCCGTGGGTTGAACCCTTGAAGACATCCTGTCGGAATACGGAATGACGGCATAAAGTCCGGCCATCCGAGCCGGAGGAAAATGACAAACCTTAAAGCACAAAGACTGACCTCAAGTTTTACACTAGAACAGCTTCCGCGGATTCGGGGACTCGCGGAGTTTCTTGTCCTGTCAGTTGGACCGTAAAGAACGGTGGCTTGTAGATGAATAGATTCCCACTTTGGAACAAGTAGATCCGTCAGACTTCAATTCATTGTCGAAGGGGAGATAAGGAAGGATTTCACTCACTTTAATGTTTGTCCAGAAGGGGGGTCGCAAAGGCGTCGAGAGCATGACCAGGGATGTAAGGTTTCACTCCGAGCTCCACATCGGGATAATCCCCCGTTTAGCAGAGGTCAAAAGGGAACAAGCTTCTCCGCGGATATACCTGAAGTGTGGGAACGTGAACCACATGTACTTTTAGCATGAAGCTTGCAGTGGGTGAGTATGAGTTTAGCACCGTCAAAGAAGTCAAAGAACAGAGAGAGCTATTCTGGAAGATAGAGACGGATGAGAAAACGCCACTTCTAAGGACAGAGCCGATCGAACCGAAATGCCGGTATCGCCGACAAGATTTGTGGTTGTGTCAGTTCATTGGAATTTTGCAAGACGTTAAGACCATTGCTAGTATCCTCAGCATGTCTTCGCAAGCTTCAAAACCTCCCGCACCCAAATCTCGACATCGAAGGAAGAGACAACGTCAAGAACATTCCTGGTCCTCCTCGTCCGATAGCTCGGATGATGAACCCAGTCGAACTCTCAAACTTGATTCGATACCGATGGAGGTAGACGAACAACATGGAGAATCATCCTCAGCATCTTCATCCGTATCATCTTCATCGACCTCTTCAGATGATAGTGACGATGACTCGTCCGAATCTGACTCCGAATCTGGGCCCGCACCAGCGGCTACCCAGCCTGATTCTACCATTGAACCCAACAAGACTATTCGGGAGAGACAGCGACTACCGACCTTGTCACCTACACCACCTCCACGGACCATCCCATCCTTCCTGCCTGATCCTTCGCATGGTACGGAGGAGGGAGCAAAGGCGCAGGAAGAAGATAGGCGGACGGCATTCAGGAGAGTGTATATGGACAAGTTGGTCGAGGCATTCGGGAGTGATCTGGAGAAACTCAGAGCTGTGAGTTCTGCCTAAGAACCTCGTCTGTAATATTGATGATTAGAATGAGCCGACGTTGGACGCAAAAAGATTAGGAGTGTTGATTGAATCCCTGGCCTCGGGTGAGTTTCTCGATGATCTCGTTGATTCGATGGATCGACGGTCTATTTCACTTCCTACGTCATTTGAGCTCGACAGTCATCATGTGTAACGAGAATGTGCTATTTCCTTGTCTTCCCCAATCACTCGATCGATCATATCCTGAGTATAAAATGGGACGCTGACGATCATCAGGTAGAGAAGTTTTTAACGATCCTCAGTCTACCGACAAGGGAGGAGTAGATGAAGTTGGGGTGTTGTTAGGAAGTAAGGCATGATCAATATCACGGTCACATCATTGCAGTCAATTGTTGTATACTTGCATGCACAAAGGCTTCTTTTCTATGAGTGCATGGCTACATGCTACATGCTACAGGTGCGCTGCGGTACTACCATCGCTAGGAGGTTTGCTAATTGAGGGGATCAGATAACATTTGGATGAACAGGGGCGACTCGGAAAAGTTCAGCTGAACATTGAGATCTCCATCTCCGATCTCCCTCTCTCACTCTATTCCCTCATCTCTCAACATGGCTGAAGGTCTAAAGAAAGTCTTCGCTGAAAAGAAAGCCAATGTGAGTGTCCCTCATCCGTATCATTGCCCTGCTGATATCCAGGATGAAGCGTGAGCTCACCTCCTTCGCTCATCGGCACCATTCCAACGACGATGGCATGCCCGCTAACTCTCTCAGTGTCTTTGTGACCTTTTTGACCGCCGGATTCCCCACCAAAGAAGCTACAGTTCCACTGCTACTAGCCCTTGAAGCTGGTGGCGCAGATATCATCGAACTCGGTGTACCATTCAGTGACCCTATTGCCGATGGACCTGTAATACAACAGGCCAACACCGTGAGCTTGTTCACAGTCGCAGTCAAGTTCCTCAACTCTTCAAAGCAGTTATGATCGGCTCCTCTTCGAATATCATCTGAATGCAGTAAAAAGATCTACGTGGGGGTATTAGAATAAGACACCATGTGCTCACTCTAGATCGCCATTGAGAACGATGTGCATTATACCGATTGCCTCGACTACGTTCGTCAAGCCAGGTCTCAAGGACTCAAAGCCCCGGTCCTCTTCATGGGTCAGTACTGGTAATCTTACAATGACACCAGCTGACCAGAGTAGGTTACTACAACCCTGTCATAGCGTACGGTGAAGAGAAGGCAGTGGTGGACGCACGGGAAGCAGGCGCGAACGGGTTTATCATGGTTGATTTACCTCCCGAGGAGGCGGTCAAATTCCGAGATATCTGTACTTCATCTGGGTCAGTACTTCATTCAGCGCTTTGAAATCGTATACAGCTGACCACCAGCATGTCATACGTGCCTCTGGTCGCCCCATCGACCAGTATAGATCGCGTTAAATTCCTCGCCAGTATCGCCGACTCTTTCATCTACGTTGTCTCAAAGGTGCGTCCCAAGCGATCAGCAGAAGTGTCTGACCGGTGCACTACTGATACTCAGATGGGCGTCACGGGTTCCAGCGCCAACTCTGCCATGTCATCCGGTCTTCCAGAGCTTGTCCGTCGTATACAGTCTCTTACACCTGTCCCTCTAGCTGTCGGTTTCGGTGTCGACAACCGCACGCATTTCGAATATGTCACATCCTCCGGTGCTGATGGTGTCGTTGTCGGGTCCAAAATCATCAAGATCATTCTCGAAGCTTCCAAAACGAAAACCGCCCCTGCGGCTCTCGAAGCTTTCTGCAGAGAAATCACCCTCAAAGGCCAAGAGAAAAAGCCCTTGGGCAGAAAAACACATAACGCCGATGCTGCCGGCCATCCATCTCCTCCTCTCCCCATACCTTCCGCCACTCCTCTCGAGCAGAACTCTCTGAAAGTCAGCGGCGGTGGCAAACTCCCTTCGAAATTTGGCATCTTCGGGGGGGCATACGTACCAGAGAGCTTGGTGGACTGCTTGAACGAGCTAGAGGCGACGTATGTTGAAGCGAGCAACGACCCTGCATTCTGGAAAGAGTTCGAGGACATGTATGGGTATATGAACCGACCGAGCGACTTGTACCTCGCCGAGAGACTCACGGAGCATATGGGAGGGGCAAAGATTTGGCTGAAAAGAGAGGATCTGAATCACACTGGTTCACACAAGATCAACAATGCTGTGGGGCAGGTGCGTCAGGCTGGTAGGTAGTCGTACACAGCTGACGGATAGATTTTGCTGGCCAAACGTCTTGGGAAAAGTCGGATCATAGCAGAGACTGGAGCAGGGCAGCATGGGGTGGCTACGGCGACAGTTTGTGCGAGGTTTGGAATGGAATGTGTCATTTATATGGGTGCGGAGGATGTCAGACGGCAAGAGTTGAACGTTTTTAGGATCAAAATGTTAGGAGGGACAGTGAGTCTCATATCCGACCAATCGACACCATCCTTCCACTTCATGCCCCATGCGAGACAATCATGTCCTGCTCCTTCGTCCTGCAACCCTCTATGACACATCCCTCCAGTATCAATCACCCAATGCTGACGTTCAGGTCATACCCGTCACGGCCGGCTCTCAAACCTTGAAAGACGCCGTCAACGAAGCTATGCGAGATTGGGTCACCCGTCTGGACAGCACGCACTATCTGATCGGCTCCGCCATCGGACCTCATCCGTTCCCCACCATCGTTCGAGACTTTCAACGTGTGATAGGTCGAGAGATCAAATCTCAACTAGCAAAGAAGGCCAATAAACTACCTGATGCCGTTGTGGCTTGTGTCGGTGGGGGAAGTAATGCCATTGGGACTTTCTACGATTTCATCGGCGACGAGAGCGTGAGGTTGGTGGGGGTGGAAGCTGGTGGACATGGTGAGATCTCCGATACATCATTCAGCGGTATGCTGACTTTGCAGGGATCAACACCGAAGCGCACTCGGGTGAGCTGCATGGTTGATTGTGATGATGTTATGGTAACTGATATATAGCCACTCTGTCCAAGGGAGTCATCGGCGTCGTCCATGGTGCCTCTTCATACATCATCCAAAGCGCAACAGGCCAACTTACTCCCACCCATTCCATCTCGGCAGGACTGGATTACAATTCCGTCGGACCGGAACATTCGCATTTGAAATACATCGGTCGAGCAGAGTATATCGTTGCGGATGATCTTCAATGTTTGTCGGCATTCAAAACTGTCACACAGTTGGAAGGTATCATCCCAGCTCTGGAAAGTTCTCATGCGCTTTGGGGAGGAATGCAGCTGGCCAAAACGTTGCCTAAGGATAAGGATGTGGTCATGTGAGTTGTACTTCCCCTCTCCTAGTTTTCTCTTCCCTAAAGTACTGTGCTCGTACGGACCGACATCCTCTCGTATACGGGACCAATTTAGAGAGGAGACTTATCAGTCGCCCGACGACCGATGCGGCGACAAGGTCAAGATGATCGGCTGACGTATCAGCTGTTTGAGCGGTAATGGTGCCAAAGACGTCGCTGAGGTTCTTCTCACACTCAAGAACAAAGAATGGGCGGACAAACTCGACTGGCATGTTGCTCAATAGTTTTCAGCTATTCGATCAGAAAGTTTGAATTCATGTGTATAGATAACATCTGATGCATTTTCTTCACCGGTGCGCGCCCGGGGCCCAATTCGAGGTCGTCCTTCTTTCATGTTCTGATCTTTTCTTTTCTTTTCCCTCATTCACTACTTTCCTCCTCCTGACCGGTTCGAGAGGCACTCTTCATATTCGACATAGATGCCTTTCCTACGCTCATCTACACGTCCAGTGGCTGTAGAATGTTTCTACTGTCTCTCACCTTCTCTACTTCCTCCATCACTCGAGGACCGTAAAGGAAAGACTAAAGTCGCTTCTCCGGGGACCAGATGGAATTGGCGTTGCGAGCGATGTGGATGTTGGAATGTGAAAGATGAGGTGAGATCTTGCTCGTGGCTCTCCCGCCCCACGTTATCGTATCGCCATAAGTTACCTGACATACGAGTGATAGTATGTCGTGACACTAGTCTTTCCACGTTCCACGATCTCCTCCGAGTCGTACCAATCTCATCACCTATTGCTTGACATAACACACCCACATTCGACTCTTCGTGACTTATCTGAGCATTTGTATTTCCGGGAGTGCTGCGTGCTGCTAGCTGCTCCACTCAATCTTGCAAGTGGCTGACGTCTCAGAATGGAGAAATCTTATCTTCTCTCCCGGGAATGTACGATTCTTCCCTCAACAAATCCTCCTTCTCTCTAAGAGGTCAACGAAGTTCCTTTTCAAAGAGAGAAATACATCTGATAAGTTAGCTAAACCATCCAACGCTCATCTACCATCTAGTTCTAATACATCACCGTTTTGTCATAGTTGTCTGGCGAACCAAACTTTGATAATGAACATGTTGGCGAATTATCTTCCTGATGATTCTGTGAGTTCATCTCTTTCGTTCCCTCTATACAACTATATTCATTTGAACATGAGGTACCAGTTGATATTCAGGACCCTTCTTTCCCCACTCTGTACGCCAATCTACCCGATTATCTCACCAGACTTCATACTCGCTACCCTCCCGTATGTCGTGATTGTCAACCTGGAGTGGAACAAGTTCTCAAACGATCCGATTCTCGTGCTCAAGTAGAAGCGTGGGGTTCAGCTTTAAATAGAGGTATAGTCTCTCCTGGTCGACCGCCTCATAAGACATTAAGAAGATGGGAAGTTTTGGCGTGGAGAATAAGAGGGACTTTATTCGTATTGTCCAGTATCGTAAACTTAGCCCGCGGGGTCTTAAGTGAATCTCCCTTTTCGTCTCAAGGGAAGGCAACTGACCAAATAGTCAATGTGTATCCTGCGATACTGGGTGGAATGCTGGACAAATCATGGTTGACCAGAGGATTAATAGCTTTCAACATGTTGTCGATTTGGTGGATCGCTTGGGATCCATTATGGCTAAAAAGAACAAAGACTGGAAATCAGACACAGGTGAAAGGTAGAAACACATGGATTGTAAGTTTTGTGACTCATACATAAGGTACTACAGCTGAGAATGCAGTTCAACATGATGATCATCTACGTTCTTAGATTAGTCTCTATGATACCATTATTGACGTCCAATCAATGGAATGGCATTGTTCCACTTGTAATACCAGCATTTGAAGTTATTGTAAGTCTTTGTCATTGGTTGCTCCCTCTCCATTCCATCTCGTGGACCTTTGACCTCCATCTTTGCTTTAACCCACTCCTGTATCAACACAATCATGATCAGTAGCTTTCCCTTCACTCCATCCCCCGACCGTCTGCCGCTCATTCTCAGATGAACAAGATTTCCGCTCATATAATAGTTACTCCTACATGCAATCTCATCAATCCGTATCTCACAACCAATCATTATATCCCTAGTCCGTCCCACCCAATCCCCATCTCACTCAACTACCCACCCCAACACCCTCTCCGACTCTCACTTATCTCATTCTCCTATCTCCTCATCCCATCCTTCCCAAACCAACTCCAAACTTTTCCATAACCCCATATTCGGTCAACCTTCTTTAGATCCAAAACCAAAGGAACAATCCGAGCCAATGGATTGGGAACCTTCACCCAATCTTCGTCGTCGACATTTTATAAATGAAGAAGAAGATCTCGATCTTGATTTATCACCCAAGAAAGGGAATTGGGATAGGTTCGCATCTAACAAACAAAGGATGTTCGATGGGAAACAGGAAGAAACGGGTTTAGAGATGTTATTAGCTGATTGGGGTTTGGATGGGGAGATTAAATCATCCGAGGGAGTCAGTGTCAGACACCCTCAATCGATACCCCACATCAGTCGTATACTAAGACTTGTTTCCATCTTCTTGGTTATATGTAGATCTGTGGGAATTGCGATTGTACTTTTAGATACCACGTTGGAAAAGTTGGAAGTGAGAGGGATCGAAAAGATGGTAGAAATCACCCATGTCCCACTGTGCGCTTTGGAGCTTGGAGTATGTGCTAGTGTCATTATCACCGACACACTCAGTTTAATCAGATCGAGAGGGAAGGTGGGAAAGCGGGGACGAACGTGGATTGCTTTGGTGGATTTGTTTGTCCATTTTGGTTTCTTGACCATGCGTTATACGTCCCCGTCAACTTTGCAGTGGTGGAAATTTCCTTTCGAATGGTCAATCTACGCAGCAATAGGAGGATTTCGTATATACACTTACACGTAGTCTGTTTCTTGCATTTTTTTGTCCTTCTGGACATATAGATTTGTCCCTTCAGCAAGAGTCAGACGGGTGTCCGTCGGCTTCATCTTCAGGATTATACGAGTCCTCGTAGAGCCATGACCCACACGTCACTCACGACTGACAACTCAGAACATCTGCAGTGAGGATAACACATGACGTTGGTGAAGCCTATCAAAGTCCGATGCGGACGTGACAAAAGGAGTAAAAGCACAAGCATGCATATCAAGCAAAAGTCCATCTCATGATAAAAATAATAATGTGGAAAAGCAAAACTCTCATCAAAACATGCCAATGTCGTTCATCTCAAGTGAAAAAAGCAATCAGTGCAGGAATAATGCTAAAATTATGTCGAATGGTTTGTTGGTAAGTCGTATGGGATGGTGTCGTGAGAAAAGACGGAATAATTCTCGATATAGAATGTGGGAAGTGGGAAGTGGAATGCAGGGTGATGGTGATGTGTATATGATGACTTTCAATTTTACGGTGAAAGAGTTGCTATGATTGGACAAAATGTTTGGAAAAAGGGACGAAAGGATATTGCGAGTGGACGGTCAATGTTCAGAGACTTTGATACTAGCCATAGCTACTGATCAGCGACTATCTGTCTATCTCTTTTCTGCACTACCCGTACTCATCGACACAGCGCAAATTTAGTAGATATGGATGAGGAGACAAGCACGAGGAGAGCACATAAAAGGAGGAATTATTTACCTTGTGAAACATCTCCTAGACCGGCATCAACGGAAAACCCATTCAAACCATGTCCATGCATCGCCTGATGCGATGGCAAAGGGAAAAATTGCCCAGTGGAAGTGTTGGGGCCACCACCTTGGACCGTACTATCGCCCAGAGGTACTCGTTGAAGTCTGACAAAGTTGAGAGAGGTGATATCGAGAGATTGAGTACGATGAGAGGCCGCACGTGGGGCTGTACCGGGATGACGGGTGGGGTGTATGGTGAGTTGACTGAGACGATCTTGTATGATAGGGTCTGAATCTCTTTTGGAAGGATCCGATTGACTTGGATTTTTCATTGGCTATAAGTCGTCAGCAACTGAGCTTCTCATTTGCGGTCATTGACTGGTCCTCTTTTCATGCCTGTTGAGATACTGCACCGGTAACAATGTAAGATGCTTAGATGAATGGGCCCAGCGTACAGGTTAAATGACTCAGAAATCGGCTCTGAAAAGGGAGAGACTCGCTGAAGGAAAGTTCACCAAGGGATATGGGAACGTCACACTCACATTGGAAGACGGCTGCCAATATTCCGTTGCCCGCTGTGGTATCGAGAAAGCTCCCACAAATCCTGAATTGCCAGTATTGTCCATACTCACAAACCTCGTCCCGTGTCCGTGACTCTGAGAGGGATGTATCAAAACTTGAGTAGGTACCAATCCCGTTGCACCTGAAGAATTGACCCCGGTGGAATTTGTCCCATCGAAAAGAGCACGGACGTCGGCATTACTTCCCACTCGATGGTGACGGTTCATCAAGATTTCCGAATCATCAAGATCAAGGTCGGATCGGGAATTTGCGCGCGCAAGTAGTCTGGCGTTCAACTGAGAGAAAGAGGCATCGGTGAATGAGTCCGCTCGACGTAAAGCAGGAGTTGGGTACACTTGGATCTACGAGTCAGTTCATTGGGCCACACGTCATTGCGGATCACGTACCCCATGTCCACTGAGAAATTCCTCGAGCGAGTCTCTTGCAGCAGGTAGGAATTCGATGTTGCTCCTCAGACATTGAAATTTGAAAATGGCGTCTGTCTCGCTGAATAAGGGAGACGCTGAGATGAGAATGTGATGATCTCTTTGTATGGTACTTGTAAACTCTGTGAATTTCTCTCCTCTTATCAGGGGTATGAATGCGGGGTTGGGTGGGACGTGGAGGTTGATTTCGAAAGGGACATGGTCCTGGTAGTCAGTTGAATCAAGCAAGGTCGTGAAGCCAGCCCGTGAAGGGAGCAGGGAGGGTATTATAAGGACAGGAGAAAAATCCCAGTGAAGGCATGAAAGATTAAAGCCAAAACTCACCAGCAACATCGCTGCGGCGATATGTATCTGACTTTCTGGGCCGAATATATTGACCATGTCACTTCCAGTTTCCTTTGCAGGGAACTCAATGTGCGTATTGGTCTTTGCCTCGATATCGTGCAGAAATATATTCTTCTCTCCCAGCAGCGCCCGGTGATACTTTCGTGGGATGATCAACGAATCGGAGATAAAGTCCTTTTCACTCTGCAACATCAGTCTTCTCGCTCTCGCATTTCTTATAACTCCTCTGCTTTGAACATTTGCCGGGAGGGAGGGGTATCAGACCCCGATATTGAATCTTTGCAGGGAACCGTCACAACAGTTCAGCGTCGAACCGACGCCGGAGAGAGAGGCCGAGTTTACCAAAGGGAGAAATGGAAGAACAGAGAGGTAGAAAAGAGAGAAGCGATTGACTCACTTTCGGTATTATGAACCGAGTTATGGCCCCCATGAGATTATTCAGCTGAGCCGCATTCTTCGCTGGCGTCCTAGCGATGACATTGTCTTCATTGTCCACGTATCCTCCAAGACTGTTAAACTCCTCGTTGTTTGAAAACTTGACGTACACGCCGTAAGTCCTCATAATCTGTTGAATGTTCTTCCCTCCCGCGCCGATGATACGCTTATGATGTTTTTCTGGAATGTAGAACGACATTTCTGCTGGAAGTTCCATCTGAAGAAGCGACAATCCTTGAAGGGCACCAGGAACTCCTCCCGTGATATCAATGAGAAAATTGTAATCGTTACATGTCTCGAATCGGATTTTGACATTTGCAGATTTCATAATCTTGTTGATCTTGCCGTTCTTCTTGCCGGCGAGGAAATCACGATGTTCAACCGAAAGCTCAATCTGGAATCGAAGTTCACATTGGAAAATCTGACAAACTCAGCATGTGCCCTTGCGATAGTGAACTTTGCTGCAAGGAGATTCAAACTCACCTTGACCACATCCAAGTCGAGAACCATAAGAACTGCTGACCGGACCTGATATTCAAGACCGTATATCTCAAAACAGTGGTTCTTGAAGACTACTTCGGCCCCGGTGACTTGCGATATGTTTTTGAGGACCGGCTGCATTTGCAGCGCGTTGATGGGTTGCAGAGAAGTGATAAAGTCATAGCTCACTGGGAGCAGCCAAACCGAAGCTAAGTAATACTGGCATGTCTACGAAATCAGCCCACGTTCGAATCGAGGAAGAAACGACTTGCCATGGCCATGAGACACCGAATGGTACGCTCGATACTATTGCGATGGTCTCCAAAGACGGTGATCAGGCTCCTCTGCGTCCCGACGGAGGGAACCTGTATATATGTCCCATTGTCACTCATGATTTTCCTCAATTCGTCCACCCTTTCGATCAGAAGCCAATCAAGCTTTCGAGGTAAGATGACTGTATCTCTTGAGATGACCAAATGGCTCTGAGCACATCAGCACATCACATGTACAGAGAACATGACAGACCTTTTGGGCAGCGGCTTGTAAAAGCATATCCTTTGCTCTTTGCACATTGAAGAACTCTCCTGTTATCAAAATCCTATTCGCTAAGCCCAAGACCCCTTGCTCAACGCCGTGGATACTCAATCCTGGATGAGGTCCAGCACCAAAATGACTGGGTCGCACGCCTGTGCCGGCATGCACACCCGTCATGTGCATGGGCATTCCATTCATACCGGTGTGAGTCGCCCCAAGACCAACGTGCATGTGACTCGGTCCCGGATGCTGGAAGGGCGTGTTTCCGTTCATACCCATGCGCATGCCCGTCGCCTGATGCGACATGTGCATCCCATTCGACGGATGACCCATGTGCATGTTGTTTACTTGATGAGACATAGACATGCCTCCAGGCTGATTACCCATGGGTAGACCGACCTCATGCACTCCGGGGCTTAGGGAATGTTGATAAGGATGTGGTGCGTGGAGATGGTGAGGGTCGTGGGGGAAATGAGGTAGGGGATGTGAGCTTCCGGGATGGTGATTTTGGTGTTGCTGATGACCCATATTCATTGGCATTGGACTCAAGCGATCGTGATATGACGGGCTGGGCATGTTCGGGATACCAGTGTGGTTCATTCCCATCGGCGGAGGGTATTGGTGCATGGCATGGCCTGGATAGGGTATTCCGCGAGGTGTCTGAGGGTTCATGTCAACGGGATGGGGCTGGTAAGGATAATGGACGTGCTGATGGGGATTATAGGTCGGACCGTTGTCGTCTCGCCGGTGAGTAGGAGTATGAGGAGGGTGGTAAGATATCGGCCCGGTGAAGTGAAACGGGGGACCGATGCCAGGACCACCAAAACCGCTCCCGAAGACTGGACTAGGGGTCATGCCGTTTGGGTGCGAGTTCACATCATTCATCCCGTGTGGGCTGGGAAGTTGGTGACTGTGTCCGTTGCCCATATGGGCTGACAGAGGCATGTTTGACATCCCCGTCGGCATGTTGTACAGATTATTCATCTGGAAGGCCATCGGGTGCATTGCATTGGGCTGAGCCGACATGTTGATGGGTCGGTACGCAGAGTCTGGCGGGGGACTTGAGGAAGGAGAATTCAGCACACCGACGAGTTTCGTTGGAAAATAGATATTAGTACCAGTATTTTCTTGGATGGCTTGTATGGTGCTTCGCTTTCTACCAGAAACGATTCCGTGAAGTTTGTAATCGATATCGCAGGACTCAACGTGCATACCGCTCTGTGATATGAGTCCTTCGTCCACACATATCTACTCAAGACTTACCAGCTCATCTTGCAGGACAAGAATCCGAACCTTGGCGACTTCTACGTTCTCCATATTGCCAGTGATGATCACATCGCACATACGCTCCGATTCGAGCCCAAATGTCACAGTTTCCTTACCGTCCGAAACAGTTTTGGGCTTTGAGGGAACGGAATCGGCAGAATTGCCGTCTTTTCCATGCGGATCTCTGCTGGACGGGCTACTTTCGTTGCTTAGGGGAATGGACTGGGCGGTCGAAGAGTGACGAGAATCGACGTCTGGGGAGCGTTGTTCCTTGTGGAAGAGCGGGGCGAGACTCAACAGGACTTCTACCTCAACACCTGCGTCGATCCGTTCTTGTGAATTGACGATGGATATGTGGGCTCCGCTGAGATTGACGATTTCCCTAAGCTTCTTTTCAACGGGCGCCTTGACGTGGCTGGAAGATGCCAAAGGGTCAATGAGGAAGTCTACGCGAGTTACAGAGAGCGCCGCACGGTCGTCCCTCGGGCACTGCCTGAGCAAGGCTCCACGAGCAGCGAGAACGGATGGCTGGGGTCCTGACAAGACAACATTGTAAGCCGTGCAGAGTGGTGCATTGGATATGTTGCTGTCCAATAGATCGAGTGAGTAGGTAGAACCAAGTCGTTCCTGGATAAACTCCTTAGTGACGGTGATAGTACAGCCTTCTCGGTTCCCAATCTCCCGGCTCAGTGTCTGCACCAATTTCCAATCTTTTTCTTCTTGTGCATTACTCGAGGAGATGATGGACGGGTTTGTGTTGCTACTATCGCGGGTTGACGACTGAGAGGCACTGAGACTGGGCGGGTGAGACAAAGTCTCTGGGGCGAGTGAAATTGATTGAGAGAGGGACCTGCTGAGTGGTATAATATTATTATGACTTTGTCCCGAGCGTAGTATGACGAACGAGGTGGTGTACGAGTCCATGGTTACGAGCTACAGGATGTCGTTGGTGGGGTCGTAAGAATATACAAAGTGGACTGGTAGGTGGGGAGACGTGTGTTGGTGAATGGCAGTAGGGCAGTAGCTAGAGATGTCAACGCTAATATATACATAGGAGACACAACAGGGTGTCACGGTATCGTCGAGATCACGGCCACGGTCACGGAGGTGTTAATGACCAGCTATGTCACGATGACGTCTCGCGACGATTGTTTGACGAACGTGTTCAGTCACGCGGTGGGTCTTACCAAAAGTCAAAAGTAGCAAGTCTCCGCAATCAAAATCCGAGCTCCAGCCATGGAAGTCAAGGGTGACCGTCTGTAAAAGAGGCAGCACGAGGATGAGGTGGCCGGAAGAGAGGTGGCATAAGAGGAAAATAAACTCACTAGAAGTATTTAATTTTTCACAAGCTCGTTTGCATGACGAGTTGTGAAGCTCTGACTGGATATTCAGACAGTACTGAGACAGTCGTCAGCGGTTTCCAGCTATTTCCTCAGAGGGGAAGAGGTGGTAGTCGTGACAGGGGGAAGGAGCAATGGCACAAGCGGATACGGCAAGCAATGTAGATGGTGCAAGAGAAACACAAAACGATGGGGGAGGGGAAGAGAGATGAGAAGGTATAAGGTAAGGATACGGTGTGGGAAAAGAGGACGTTATGACGGGAAGGAAGGGGGGGAGGGGTTTAGGGGGGGAGGGAACAAGGGGCTGGAGAGTAAGAGTACATGTGGCATTATCGCTTCCTTACAACAACGTGACAATCACACCACACAGCCCCCCTATGCATCGTATAAGCTATGCATCGGTTTATCATAGTCACCCTCTTACCCACTTCGGACTGATAGTCGATCGTTAGGAAACTCATCGCCGATACAATCGTCACAAGTCGACCGAAGATGTTCCCCTGGCATAAAGTGCAACTCATCTTCCCGACCGAGAACTGCGGCACGACATCCTTTGAAGCTTCCCGATGATGATGAGGTTTGCATCTGCGATACAATCTACCAATGTGGTTGATACTGTTCTCTGACAGCTCCTTCTGGTATATCGAGATGCCATGAGCTAGTTGTCTCATACCGGACAAACCTCGTTACATGATTTCCGAAGTGATGCACGCGGGTACGCGGGGGACAAGGGAACATGTTCTCCCCCCGTCACTCGTGATTTTCAGGCACCCAAAATCAAAAAGTATTTGATTCCGCTCTTTCTCAACTTCTCTCGACTCGAGACATTCCTGGCGACATGAACACCTTTTCATGTTGATTTGTCTACTCTGATCTGACTTCTGAGCATACGCCAGTCTTAACTGCTCTCAAAAGCTGAGTCTATCCCTCTACGATGCGTCTTTTTCGGCAACTATTTCCCCGGGTCAAGTTGGTTCGACATTATGCCTCTTTCCCCGAGATCAAAGTGAGTGATTTCTTCTTTATCCGACGCTCTGTCCTGACTTCACAGCCATGTCTCGAATACACTTCCATAACCCACCCCGACACCCCGGCTCCTCAAGCTACTCTCGATCTCATCCGCTCTCATAGCCAATATCAACTCAACACTTACATTCGTCCTCCTATCCTTTTCACCAGAGGTTCCAAATGCAACCTCTACGATTCCGTTTCTCGTGAATATCTCGACTTCTCCGCAGGGATAGCCGTCACTGCATTAGGTCATTCAGATCCAGGAGTCACAGCTGTGATAGTTGATCAAGCATCGAAATTAAGTCATTTATCTAATGTGTATTGGAACGAATGGGCGGGTGCTCTTGCGAAATCTATCGTCGACCTCACTACTTTACATGGTGGTTTAGGACTCAAACCTATTGAGACTACTTCCTCGACCAATCAAGATTCAGAATCAAAAGTCGGAGCTCAGGTATTCTTTTCTAACACGGGTACGGAAGCGAATGAAGGTGCTTTGAAATTCGCTAGGAAATATGGGAAACAAATTGGCGGAGAGACAAAAACTGGGATTGTATGTTTCTCAAATGCTTTTCATGGAAGAACAATGGGAGCTATTTCTTGTACCCCTAATCCTAAATATCAAAAACCTTTTGAACCTCTTATCCCCGGTGTGAGGGTGGGAGAGTATAACGATATGGACGAAGAGAGGATGAAAGTTTTGATTGATGATTCTGTATGTGGAGTGATTGTCGAACCTATTCAAGGTGAAGGTGGAGTGGGGACTGGAAAAGTTGAATGGTTGGAAATGTTAGGGAAAAGATGTAGAGAAGTAGGAGCTGTTTTGATATATGATGAGATACAATGTGGGTTATTTAGGACGGGAGAAATGTGGGCGCATTCGAGTTATCCTGAAGATGCTCAGTGAGTATTTCATATGAACCCCCCTCCCCCGGTTTAAATCTCTTCTCTGACGTTCAACATTCACTCATGTCTCCTTCTCCTTCTCTTACTCTGGTCAGACTGACGACTTCTATCATTCAGATTTCATCCTCCCCCCCTGACTTTCTTTCCGCCCACAAGAGTATATCTCGAATATGATGGTGAATAATACTGCTTGTGAGAAAAGAATTAATGGTTCAGACCCGACATCATAACCATGGCCAAACCTCTCGCAAACGGTTTCCCAATCGGTGCCATTCTGGTCCGTTCCAACATAGCCGAATCAATCACCACCGGATCTCACGGGACTACTTTCGGTGGTCAACCCCTCGCCACACGAATAGGTCATTATGTCTTATCTCGACTTTCTGACCCTTCTTTCATTACTTCAATCAATACCACCGCTCAACATTTAGATGGCCTTCTTTCTCGTTTACCTCGACTGTTCCCAAATCTTGTTTCTGAAATCAGAGGGAGGGGTTTGATCAGGGGTATAGCTTTCAAAGATGAGAAAATGCCCGGAGAAGTGGTTCGGATGGCTAGGGAGAGAGGAGCGTTATTTTTGACAGCGGGGAAGGATACGGTTAGGTTGGTACCGGCTTTAATCGTGAGTGAGGAGGAATGTGATAGAGCTATTGGGGTTTTAGAGAGTTGTTTGGCTTTGTTGAGTGAGAAGCAATAAGGGCAGTAGATCTTTTTTTGAGTAATTAGAGATGAGTTCAGTAGATAAGGATAAGAGAATAGGACGAGATCTGTAGAATGCATAACTGTGTGACTACACATGACAGCATCGCTCTTGATCAATCGATAATCTGCAGCTACACCAGACAAAAGATATCATGCTCAATCAATCTTTATTCTTTCCCCTTTCCGTATCTACCCTAGCTTCTTTCAATCTTCTAGCCAATTCCTGTCCACTCCCACTTCCTTTCCGTTCAACCTCATTTTCATGTCTAACAGCATCCGCAGCCGCTTTTTCCTTCTCCTTAGCTCTCTCCTCTATCAACTGCGTTCTTCGTTCCAATCGATTACGTTGATATTCTTCCATACGATGTAGAGCGTCGGATGCCGCACCACGTTGAACGGCTTCGACGAAAGAATGAAATGTTCGGGATTGTGAACCATCCGAGAAAGAGGTTGTGTACATGTTCAAAACTGATGTAGCTGGACGAAAGACACGTGCTACGTTTTGTGGGAAAGAAATGATTGGATGAAGGAGAGATGTAAGAGGGAGATGAACGAGTGTTCTAAATATTAACATCTACTTTCCCCATTTCAAAATGTGTTTATTTATCTTTCATTTCTTGTCGACAGGGGAGAATATAAACTAAGTGATGTGATACAGATTGAAGTAAAAATTGCCTACTCACCCATGTTCACCCCAATCCAAAATCTCCATCTTCACCTCTTCTCCCCTTTTAGGTCTCATACCTCTTGATATCGTTCCAAAATCATGTTCACCATCATCATGTTCCATTTCCTCCATATACCTTCCCACTACTCCTTCGAATGTTCCTCTAAGGTAAATAAATGAATATGGTTCCACCTTTCTCCTCAACGCCTCGAAAGGATTTCTCAGTGTATTCCACCAATCTGTCGATTTCATCTCACCCATCTCTTCTCTCTTATTAGTCTCCAAATTTAAAAGTGGTGTTGTAATCGGTATGGATGAAGAAGAAGTACGATGTACAATTTTCGGTCGTAATCTCTCCAACTCTTCTTTCTGAGTAGAAGCTAAATGTCGACGTCGTAAACAAAACATTCTACACATGGCAGGTCCATCGGCCCTTTGACTACAGAAGGTTAGACATTTCTCAGGAACCACTGGGACTCTGTTTTGCCGTTGTGAGGCCAGGATATCGGCGGCGGGGTTGACTTCGAATGCCAATAAAGTATCGGCTTGAGGTCCGAGAGGAGGGAGTAGAGGGTGGCGGGGGATCGAGCTATTTGATCGAGTTTGTTCTGGCTGTCGGTGAGAATGAGGGTCATGTGAGGATGTGGGAGGGGTGTTGGAGGATGATGTTGGTGGTATAGGTGACATTCTGTTAAGACAAAGAACCAAGTTGAGTCTGTAGGTCGGAGATGTGGAGTTTGAGTTCGATTGATGTGTGTCAGCTCAGCTGGGAAGGACCGGTGACCAGTGGAAAGGGTACAAAAGTGGGATCATTTAAGTTTTCATATAAAAGTCTGCCAGGCTTCCATTTCTGACGGCGTGAGTACAAACTATCACTTGCTAGTTGAGTTGAATCAATTCAAACCCAGAACAACGTCGAGTTGGAAACGATACCCGGGATCTACATACAATCATGGTGAGTCTCAGAATTGATTTGGAAGATGACTTCCTCACTGACCGATGTAGAAGATCAAAATGATATCTCGGTCTCTTGACGACCATCTACCTTCCTCGTGAGTCCCTTCCCTCGCTCTTTGAAGATTTTGAACATCGCCTAATTGACAAGCTCCACCGCTCCACATCCACTTCAAAGAAACCTTGCACCTCATCTTCACCCATTTGCCAAACCCCGTGAATACACACGAGCTCTTACCGCAGCGAAAATCGACAGGATGTTCGCCAAACCTTTCGTTGGCGCTTTGAGTGGTCATCAAGATGGAGTTTATTGTCTTGCGAAAGATCCTCGAAGAGCTGCCGTGGTAGCTGGAGGAGGTGGTGATGGCGAAGTTATCGTTCACTCTCTTTCTTTACGTCGACCTCTGCTCAAAATTCCCCAAGCGCATAAGGGTATGGTGGGAGGTATGTGTTGGACAGCCGAAGCTAGAGATGGGAAAAGAGGTCTTGTAACCGTTGGTAAACTCGATGGTGTTATCAAAGTCTGGAGAAGTGAAGCATTTGCACCTGGTTTAAGAGATAAAGAAGTTTTTGAAGGAAATGAATTCGGAGAAGGTTCTTCTGCTCAACCTTTAGATGTTTTAGATGTTGCTGGTGCATTAGGAGAAGATGGATTTGATTTCGATGAAGAAGGTGGTGGTTTGAATTTAGATCAAGGAAAAAGAGATTTGATAGGAAGTCAATTGGAACCTAGTATGACATATGTGGGAAAGAATGGATTCAACGCTGTGGATCATCATAGAGAAGAAAATCAATTCGCTACGGCAAGTAATGTGGTTCAAATTTGGGACGAAATGAGATCAACACCATTATCAACTTTAGCTTTTGGGAATTCTCAAGAAACTGTGAGTAGTGTGAGGTTTAACCAAAGTGAAACCAGTGTATTAGCCTCGGTTGGGAATGATAGGACCATGTGTTTATATGATATCCGAACTGGAAAAGCAGAGAGAAGAATAGTAATGTCTGTGAGTAGACTCAACTTCTCTTCCCATTTACTTGAAATACGGTGGACTGATGAACAGTTTCGATCAAATCAACTTTCTTGGTGTCCAACTTTACCCACGGTCATGTTACTCGCTTCGGAAGATCATAATCTATACACGTACGATATAAGAAATCTTGAAACTCCCACGCAGATATATAAAGGACACGTGGGGGGTGTCATGGGATGTGATTGGAGTGAGTCTTCAAGATAATCGATAGAAATATTTACTGATGTTAAGGTCCGACTGGGGAAGGATTCGTTTCAGGCAGTTGGGATCGAACTATCCGTCTATGGAATAGAGAGTCTGGCAAGTCGAGGGATGTATATCACACAAAACGGATGCAACGGTGGGTTCATTGTCGCTGATCATTTTCCGACTTTTCTTTTCACCTCTATCTCCAATACTCGCATACAACTGACCTTGCTTGGATACTGCAATACCTTTTGATCATATCATGAGTGACGTTGTGTCGGATGGAACTACTATCAGGGAGAGGACGAAAGTGAAATGCTAATTGTCAGAGTGTTCGACGTTGCATATACACCCACAGCAGACTTTGTCCTTTCAGCTTCTGATGATGGTAACGTCCGGTGAGTCTTCAGACTTTTCTCCTTTTGTATACAGAGACTGAAGAGGAGAATATGGAAATCGAACGCTTCTAAAAAACTTGGACCCGTATCAACGAAAGAACGTCAAGCTATAGAATACCGGGAGGCGCTCATCGAGCGATGGGGCACCGTGGGAGACGTTCGAGCGGTACACGAGAGAAGACACGTGCCTTCCAGCGTTCACAGCACTATCAAACTCAAGAGAGATATGGTGGAGAGCATTAAGAGCAAAGAGGACAGAAGGAGAAAACATTCTCGAGCGGGATTGGAGAAACCGAAAGCGGAGAGAAAGAGTGAGTCGTTCGTGTTGATCTGTGAGACTGTTACTGATTTTACCCAGAAGCTGTCATTGTGGAGCAGAAGTGATCGGGGCAATGTGTGTTATAGTATCTTCAACTTTATGCATCCAAGTATTGACTTGTCTTGGAGCATGCAGAGCACGACTAGAGCGCTTGCCTAGCAGAAATGTCCAACTACAAGTAAGTATCGCGGAAAAGGAAAGCCACAAAGATTGGTGCCACAGCCACGTGGACTGACGATTTTCTCGGAGCACGGAGCAATCACCTCACTCTTCTTCCATCATCCCATTTACTCACACACAACTTGAGTGTAATCCTTGTCCGTGGCTGTCTTTCCTCCATCACGAACACATTCTATTATGTGGACAACAACTGGGAGGACAAATGAGCATAAGTGGTGGCTTCCTGCTTGGGTACCACATATCTTTCAGCTCGATCCCTTCCCCTTGCTTCTCTTGAACTTGAGCCTCCCCACCCATCAGATCGCCAGATCGTCGACCGTTTTCCTACCCTTGACGTCTTGCATTCTGACATTTTCGATTCCCGATATGCGCCCCTACTAAAACGCGTCCCAGGTACTGATGAAGTTTGATGGTGAGGGAGATCTGATCTTACGCTATGTCCCCTTGAGTTATCCTTTTCCCTCGGTTGATCGACCTTCTACGAATGTCAAACACATAGCCAAAGGAATGCATTTTATTCAAGCTACATACTTCACAAAAGTCAACACGTCTCTTTATATCATCATTTACCTCTATCATTAGTTCCACTGACCAATCTAGCTATTCTTCTTCAATCCATTCCATTCCATTCCAATCCGACTGACAACAATCGACTTTGTAAAGGGTATGGCGTAACCCTGAAAAGTTCCCCGCTATGCCCTCTCCTCCTCTTTCTTCTCCTGTACCGCGTCGTTGGCGTGGGGATGGACCAGAAGAAAGGTTTGCAGCTTTACTCGCTCCAGAAGCTCACGACGATCATAGCGGTTCTGGATGGGTTTCAGCCAGAGAAACTCCTTCTGAATCTCTTGAAGATACTTCTGGTTCAGAAGCTTATGGTACTGCTCCAGATACTGCTCCTACCACTCCTGCTCCTATCATAAGAACTATCTCTCCTTCTCCTCAAAGAAACGATGCTGGATCTCCTACCAGATCCGTACGATCTACAAGATCAGGAGGGAGTAGTCCGTTACCTTTACCCAACAGGTCGGAAATCTTTGGAGAACCTCAGGGTAGAAGTTCGGGAAGTTTTCTATATCCCAGGTCTACACAACAACAAAGAGGATCATCAGGATGTGAGTTTGGGCTTTTCCCATTCATTGAGCCAGTTTGAGCCAGTCAAAGAGAAATTATAAAAACGGGCTGATGAGATAGTACGACCTAATTCTCCTCCGAGACAATCACAACTTGGTAGAAGCGATTCTCTTCGACCTGTATCTGCTCAACAGACAGGACAATCGACTACGACTTTGGATTTAGCTTACGATGGTGTATTAGCTTCTCTTAACGTACTCGCAGGAGGTCCAACTACTCAACAAAATACAAATTCTTTCAATCCCAATTACACACGGCTTCCCAATCCTCCCGTACGACCCATAGAATCAACTAACACTCCTCGGACTCCTATTCGATATGGCAACGAAGGTTATTTCCCTTTGGGTAGTTTGGAAGCCGTCAGTGAACGTACCGAACCTGGTTCAACCAATACTTCCATCCATGGAAGTCCTATGCCTCCCCCACGCGGACTTCCGGAACATGCTAGGATCGCATCACATGATTCTCAACGTACTCAAACAGGAACTATGGATACAGCTTCGGTCGCTTCTATAGCACAACGATTCCCTCTTCCACCTTCACCCGTTAAAGGTCCTCGGATTGCTGCACCACAGACCAGTCCGAAAAAAGCGAGTGATCTTATTAGGTTATTTGAATTACGTGCTACTGTCCCAGAAACCGTGTCGAAAACTACGGCTATGGCTTTGGGTTCACCATTTCATACCCCTCAACCATCTTCACAAGACGTATCGAAAAGGTTTGAGTCTATTTTCGCTCAACCTAGTCAACGAACTCCTCCCAGTTCTTTCAGAACTCCATTTTCTGATATCTCTTCTAAAGTCCCATTGGGAGAACCTATTCCTCCTACTCCACCTCCCAAAAGTCCATCACCAATCTCGAACATTCGAACTTTGATCGCGTCATGGAGACAGAGAACAGGATCACCTTCACAACGCGTTGTCGGATCTCCAGGAAAAGGCGATGGACCAAGATTATTTGGGAGAGACAAAGGTTGGAATGTATCCATTCGTAGGAGAAGACGACAGGAAGGAAGGGAAGGAAAAACTTTGGCTGAACAAACGGAAGATAGGCCAGAGATTCAATATCTTTCCCATCAATTTTCTCCACCTCAACAATTTTTCACTCCTCCACCAGGTTCGACAGGAGAGAGTGGGGATGTTGAAGGTGGGGGTGGGGGAGAACAAGGTCAGCATGGTAGGACACCTTCGATAAGGTCTCAAGCGATCAGCGAGAGAGATCCATCTCAACCTAAGATGTTGACTGGCGAGGTGAGTTGTGGTTCTATCTCCTTTCGCGGCGCCATCTTCTTACGGGGATCGGCCCGAAACAGTCGAGTTACTGTGCTGGGGATATCATGACTGCAGCCTAGTACATGACGATAAAATTCGTGGCTGACATGTGAAGCCAATCAGGACAGGAGCCCTGTATTATCTCAACGTTCATGATCCCGACACTGCTCCGGACTATCGATGGATTCAAGCAGACGCACGACTATTCCCTGAAGGTCTTCAACTTACTTGGCGTACTCCAGAGGGGTCCCAAGCTATGGTGACGCTCGACTTGGAGTATTGTGAGGGTGAGTGGACTTCCAACTGTCTGATGAATGAAAGCTAATGGGAAATAGAGGTTGCTTCTACTTATAGCCCTAACAACCCTCAGGCCGGGGACGACATCGGCGCCATGGCCGCCAGAAGACAAGGGGAATTGGCCGAGAACTTGTATCCGTTCAAACTTGTGAGTATCTTGATTCTGACCCGTTGCTCTCATCAGAGTTCGCTCCCAATGTATCCATTTCAGATTTGAGTTGATAATCAGGTATATGATGATGGCACCGAAAGACTGGCTTGCGATTCTGCCAGAGATAGAGGTCAGTGACTTCTCTTACTTTTGCTTAGTCTCCATGCTAGTCCATTTGCATTCCTTGTCGGCTGAACCTCGGGTATCCTTCGCATTAATAAACATGTTTAATTGACTACCTTACGATTACCTCACTGACTGTTAGTACGCTGGGTCAACGCAATATGGACAGTACTCGAGCGCACTCGTACCGTAGCCACAGGCGGTCAATCAGGATCCATTCGTTCTGCTCCTCATCTTGGCTCTGGGTCTGACGGCGGTGGCTCTGCTTCGACACACGTACAACACGTTCCTTCGCCTCACCCAGGATTTACTTCGGATGATGCCATTATCACCACATCAGGAGGTCTAGCCGCTCCTCTCGTACAACGAGGATCGAGACGACTGGCTGTTGGACCACAAAGAGGTCGAAGTTTACGTCGTGTTGCCAGTGAAGCCGATCTATCTGAATCATCTGGTCCACCAGAAGCACTTCCCTCTCCCTCCTCAACCGGTTTGGGACCTCTCACAGCTGAGGCAGCTCGAGGAAGGGAACGACCCGCTTCACGAGATTTCACCTTCGCCCGTGGAATTCCTCCCCCTCCGCGCGATTCATCGTCATTCGGATTGGGATCCCCTCGTTCTCAAATGTCCCAAGAAACGAGAACGTATCACACTCCTGGTGCTCCAAGCACATCTCGTACTATGGGAACAGCGAGTCAAGGTCTGTTCACCCCTTCAGGAACGTATCAATCCATGCAGACGCCGAGCACATTTGGGACTGTACCGAGTTATCATTCTGCCGATCCACTTGGACAAGGGAGTTTGTTCAGTCCTACTGGTTCGGCCTTCACTGCGAGACAACCAGAATCAGTAACATCCTTCGCTACTGCCACAGGTACTATGCAAGCTGGACAAGTCCCTCCTCCAACTACGCAATCGCCCAGCGCTACTCTTTTCTCGGCTCAGCAACCTACCAGCGTCTACACAGCACAAGGTCCGTCCACAACTGCCCATACAGCCACGCAAGGTGAGACAGGGAACGATGCCAAGAGTGTTTCCGAAACGATGGTTACTGCTTTACCACCTCCGACTCCTACCCGAACGGCTGAAATCCCACCGTCTACCGCCACGGGAGAGTTCAGAAGTGCACAAGGTCCGTCATCAACGACTTATACAGCTCAACAGCCATCAACACCAGGGTGGACTGCACCAGGTCTTTCTTCTCCCCACTTTACCGCTCAACAACCGTCGACGACAGCATGGACAGCTCAAGGACCTCCATCGGAAATGCATACGGGAATTCCTCCCCCTACACCAGCTGGGACTGTTGGATATCCCGAATCATCGATCGGTATGCAGACTGCGCAACCTTATGCAGAGTCTGTATCGACTATTAGAGGTCCTCAAACTAATCTCGAAACTGCCAGTCAAGGGATATTCAGTCCGACATTCGGTACCGATCGTCCAGACTCTACGACGGGTCACACGGGACCTGAACCCTCGCATGCTTCTTGGAGAACTGCTGTAGAACCATCAGAAGCAGCTTGGACAGCGAGCGAACGAGATCCAGCTCGATTTTCGTCTCAAACTTTCGGTACGGTTCCTCCACCTTCGACCGGCATGCACACGGCGCAACAACCTACAGAATCACCATATGGTTCATTTGCCACTGCCCCGTCTACCTGGCAATCAGCTGTCCCGCCTCCCACCACTGCGCACACGGCCGTTCCTCCTTCGACTACTGCACATACAGCCCAAGAAGGGGAGTTCCAGACCCCTCAATGGACGGCTAGGGAACCTTCCGAATCGCCTTATGCGGCATATCAGACTGGTAGCGTACCGGTGGTCGCTGTAACTCATGCGACTCCTTCGGATCAGACAAGCCAAGGGAGATCGTTTGGAACTGCCCCTCGAAATCTATCGACTGCATTGAACACTGCACCCTCTCAAGCATACGATACGACTTCTCTTCTGTCTGGTCAGTATGGTACTACAACGGCTGGAGCTTTAGGTTCACCATTCCATAC